AGCATTCGATGGGGTACTCGGGCTCTGAGCTTTGTAGATCATCCGCATCGAAGTAGGATCGAGAACTTTGACTTGGGGGTGCACCGCTGTCCAAGTCGGACGCATCAACAGCACTATCAGCTTGAGCTTGGGTGGACCCGGAACTCAGAATGTCTGGATCGACGCACTCTTGCAGGTCTGCGCCTGAGTTCGTAGGAGTTGTACGATTTGCCGCGGAGGCGGGGGATGCTGACGTAGCAAAATCCAGGAGGTCGGCATCAGCTTCAGCAAGAGGTTCGAAGTACCCAAAGCCGCATTCCGTGTAGCCATTGCCTGATACAGAGCATAGCAATGTGGCAGGACCGTCGCTATTAACCTGTAGTGGTTGGCCTCGTGGCAAGGCAATGTTGTCGCTTGGTGCCGTGCCGACACCATAGGGTTTCCCTAACACTGAGCTTCGCTGTGGTACAATGGTGATTCTCTTCTTTGCTGCAGTGACCTCAGCCTGCGGTGGCGTCTTTCGCTTGCCAAAAGGAGAAGTCTTTGGTTTGGGAACACTATGCACGTCTTCAAGATGATGCCATAGATCATCTGATGAATTGAAGGCGGCTGGGCATAACATATGCGGGCATGCAAAATTGCTCGGGCCCTGACCCATAATATATGCCGGGAGGCAATCAGACAGGTGACGCTTCCATGAATACTTGTCGACATAATGTGTCATCCGCTGGTGGGCCGGCAATTCTTGTCGTCCCAAGTGAACCGGGCAATATCCAGCACAGGCGACAGCGTGACGGAACACGATCGGGTCACATCGAAATGGGATATCACCACTCTCAATGTGAGATTGACAGTGGTGTTTCCATTCTCCTTGACCCGCCACCCACTTGCTGCAATGAAAACAAAATTTCACAAAGCTGGACGTGGCTTTGTAATACGACTCGTGACAGTCGTAAGTATGCTGCCACCTCTCTGCTGGGGGAATGCTGGCGTATGATGTTAGCGGAAGCAAAATATTTCGCCTTAATATGACGATCATACCTGGCCATAGGTTTACGACATGATGGGACTGCGCAGTAGCCTTTAATAGGCCGCATAACTTGCTGATACGCGGCGTTGTCGTTGTTTTCACGCAGAGCGATGAGGTCTTTCAACACACTGACCCACTCCGAGCTCCTTGGCCATGCCCGCAATGTCATGCCTTTTGCGAGGCGCAGGCGTTCGGGAGGAAGCATGTGTGAAATGCGATCGAAGTGTATTTGGCGCCAATCATGTTGTTCATGCGGATCGTCGCCCCGATCGTAAATGATCTTCTGGGCGGCCTGAATTTCTCTGAGCCGCTTGTTTTCGATCGCCTTCCGTCGGTCATATTCAAGACGTCGTTGATCTTTGAACTGCTGCTTCTCATCTTCAGTCGTGGCTTCGCGGATTCGTCTGCTGAGCTCATTTATTCGTCTAGTCACTGCTTTGTACTCCAGACTGCCTTCCAGCTCTTCTTTGTCCTTGGCGGATAGTGTCAAGTGGAGACCTGGGTTCCACCGCATGGTTGCAGACCGGAAGTCTTCTACCAGGTCTGTCCGCGGCCGCATGTTGAGATACGTACCTGCTCCGTCGATGGTTGACATATTGCCGAGATAATGGTTGACAAGCACGTGCGTGTTGTGCTGAGAAGCAAAGCGAAGAACCTGGCCAAGAGAATAGCCTCTGTCTGTACGGCATTACGTAAACGGTTAGATCTTGGTTGTACGACAGGTCCAGGGCCGTACCGTTGCATTTTATGAGGGCCTCACGACGAGGAGCATGAAGGCCCGTGCCGTTTGTGAGGCCCGCTCGCTTTGCCCATTTTGACACTTCATCACTCCACGAATCTGGACTTCGTGTTTTGTCGGTTGGACCGTTCCGAGTCCACTCAGGGAAAACGGGTCTGTCTATCATGTGACGATCCCACTCTATGATGCGGAAACTTCCCTTTTTGGGAGGTTTAAGAGAAAGCGCTTGCTCAACAGTGGTGAGCTCCGAAGATGCCCTCGCCGAAATGACATTGGCGAGCCAATGCAAAAGCGGTTGAGCAAATAAAGGTGGCGGTAGCCCATCCGGAGCTTTCATCTGCTCGGCGAACGTATGTTCAGGCCCGCACGTATTTTAGTTTCTGAGATATGCAGACGAAAGAAGCCGACTTACTGCATAGTGACAGTCCCTTTGCAAATTTCTCTAGTGAACTTCAAGCGGAACTCTGGCACCCCATCCGCCCAGGAGATCAAGCATTCCAGGTCCTACTGGTCTTAGCGCAAGGTCAAGGGCCATACCAACCCCAAAGACGCACCTGATAACGGGCCTGACAAACTTCCTGGAGTCTCGCCGAGGTGAAGCAGTGCGTATTGAGTAGGTTTGCATTGTCTAGTCGGTACGCCTCGTGGATGTAATGATGGTAGTCATTACACCAAAGGCGTTCTTGCATGTGAACATAGTTCTCAATAGTCAAGAAAGTCTTTTTCTTGTGGGCCTTCTTCCCTGTAGGCAGCCCGAGCTTCTTTGCGAGCTCGCCTTCAATATACTACAGAAGTCAGCCGCAGGGAATTGACGTCGTAGACGAGGAACTTACGGGAGCCATCGACAGCCGCGCATCAGGCGGGATGTGTACATTGTGGGCGCGCTGCCAGGCACTGCAGAACTTCCTCATCTCGTTACGCACGCTTGTTGCAGTTGGCCTCCTCTTCCCAGTCTTGTCTAGCCTCCCTTTTGCCGCCAGAGCAATGCATTCGGCATACTGTTTCAACGTCTGGATATTCGTTGGCGTCGAGCCAGGGAACCTCCGCTCGAATCTGCCTGTGGCTTAGCTGACGTTGTGGATAGTCAACTCTACCGACTCACGCTTCCCATAACTCGAGTGCCCTCTCATATTCGCTGGCGGTATTTTCGCTGATGTTCCTGTGGACGAAGTGCGGATCGAGTTGTGTTGTGTCAGTTGGGAGACCGCCTTGGATAGCAAGTGCTACCAACTGGTCGGCGTCACGCGCAGAGCCTCGTTGTCTACCTCCCATTGTAGCAAGCGGGCCAACAATTAACTGGGAAACCACTGTAGATGCGGAACAGTGAGTTTAATAGAGGCAGAAGTCTGGGATGGGCACCAGTCACGAAGGAACGGGCACGCTGACCTAATTTATACCCTACTTGGCGCATTCAGCCGGCATGGCTGCTCCAATGACATCAAGGCGGGCCGCTTCCATTCTGGCCGCCGAAGCTATTGCCCGGTTTCTCGACTATGCACAAGCGTATACGCGATGCTGTCATGTGAGTCAATTCAGACTCGACCTCAGGGCAGGCTCAGGGCAGGCTCAGGGCAGGCTCAGGGCAGGCTCAGGGCAGGCTCAGGCAGCTCAGGGCAGCTCAGGGCGGGCTCAGGGAGCGGCCTGCTTAGCGCCTGAGCTGGACACCATTAAAGCAGCCACGAGTGCAGGGGTTTGGAAAGTCGAGATTCGGATCCTATAACAGCACAAGAGCGACGAAGAACGACAGAAGTGCCGTTTTAAGATAGTCATGACGACCTGAAGGTTTCACGATGCGCGGAGCATATTGTCAAGCAAATCTTGCTTATGTTTGGCGGCGCTACGACCCTAAGCAATAAGATTGAACCTTGCGCAGCAAGTTCAGGTATCCAGCCCAAAGTGAGGCAAGCCGTGACGCTTTAGTAATGGCAGCCGTAGCTCTTAGTCTTCATTATGCCAGTCGCGCGCCTAATATGACACTGTACAATCGTCTGACCGTGTTCCAGATATCTCGATACTCCCAATGCGCCCAGTATTCCAAAAATCAATATTCCCATCGCCCATGGAGCCCCAGTTGAGCCATGATAAAGAAGCACACCCAAGACCCCAAAAATTTGTACTCGCTGCACCTCGATACGCCATACTCGCTTGCTCCTATACCCTCACAGAGGCTCCGTCTCCTTGGCGGCGACAGACCGAATCAGGCGCTCGTACTTTGCCTGGGCCTCTTGCTCCGGGTCTCTGAATTTGATTGTGCCGCTCGAGTCCAGTGGCTTGTTCGCATTCGTAGTCCATAGCACTCCCAGTTTGGTTGGCCGCGCTGGCTCCGTCTCTGGCTCCGATTTTGGCGTGGACACCCCCGTTCTGGGCTCGTCGACAGCCACGGGGCCGTCGACGTCGCCGTCCTGCTCAACTCGTGGCAGTCGCATAGCCAGCAACACGTACTCTGCGCGCGTCATGTTGTCCATGACATCATCCATGTAACGGCGCACTTCATCCTGCGGGGCCACGACCCGCGCCAGGTTTTCCAAGTGCCGGCCAGAGCTTGTCTGAAGACGAATGGTGACGGGCTGATAGTAGTCCAGGGCCGGGTCCCCGCCATAATCCGAAACGCTGCCCTTGCGGACAATCAGGAACGAGGCTACAACCTGCTGGCCAGACGGAGAGGGCAGAAACTCTAGTATGCTAAACTTGGGAAACAGATACCGGTCCCCAGTGCCGAAATCGAACACAACGGCTGATATATCTGGCCGGGCAGCGGGTGGCGGTCCTTTCGAGCGCAACGCCTGTGGGTTCGCTTGCGGTACGGCAGAAGGCGTTGGCGGCTTTGCGTGACCATTGGGCACCCCGTTTGGTGTTGGCTGTCTTGGCTGAGGCGGAGTCGGCGGAGGTGCTTTGGGGACAGTCTTTGCGTCGCGATGTAGTCGATCTAGTATTTCTTTGAGATCCTGCGCATCCGTGAAACCAGGACGGCCTTCCGCGATGCGGCGGATCATGTCTTTGGTCCTTTGGTCTTCCAGAGCCGTCTTCACAAGCAAAACGACGAGAGGGTCGCTCCGCGGCGGTGGCCGTAGTTCGCTGGATTTTTGGTTCGGGTTTGATGCGAGAACAATATCTAGTATCGTTCGAACCTCATCCGCAAAATACTTGACGGTGCGTCCGTCAACGAGCAGTCTATCGGCGGACGGCCCCTGCTGGCCTCCCCTGGACTTGTATTCTGCATTCAGCTGATCAATTATCTTCTGGAACTTGGCCAGCTCCCCTTCTTTGGCCTGCCCCACGGCCACGCGTTTCATTAGATCGCGTAGCTCGGGGTCCCCAGACGCCTTCTGGGCGAGAAGGGCGATGACTGGATCATTGGCAGCCGGTTTGACTGGCGCTGGCTTCGCACCAGCGGCGCCTGGGGGCGGAGCTGCGGGCGCAAGAGACCCGGGAGGACGATTCCCAGGTTGCGCCAGGTGGGGAGCGGCGGGCGGAGGAGCCACCGCCGGTCTCGGTGGAGGGTTTGAGGGAGGCCGGGTGCCGGGATTGTGCGGGATCGCCGTCGGCGGCACTGGTGATGGCGCAGGTGACGGTCGAGGCGGAGCACCCGGGCTCGGCGAGAGGACAGGTCGTTGAGCGGCAGGCTGAGGAGGAGTGGGCCTCGGAGCCGCGACTTGAGGAGGGGGCTGAGCCTGCGGAGTTGGTGATGGCGATTGCAAAGCACGCTGCGGCGCCGGGCTAGGAGACGCAACAGGCTTGGTTGGGGCGGGCACGGGCATGGGCGCCGGCGAAGCTGCCGCGGGAGTCGGGGTCGGCGGAGGGGGCATCGACCCGTTGGGAGGACCATACTGGAGGACAGGCCGTGCTAGCGCTGGCTGCTTTTGCTGTTTCTGCGGCTGTGACTTCGGCGCCGGCGCCGGCGATGGGGATTGCTTCTGCGCCGAAGACGGCGGCGGATCCTGTGGTGGCAGCTTCGATGCCTTGACAGCGAACATGGTCGCTTCGACGATATGCGGCTCGATAGTAATCGTGACGGTGCCGACCTTGGTCATGCTGTCCTTTGGCGGGTTGTTAGGGTCCTGATGCAGGACGCCTTTTCGCTTGTAGGGCTTGGTCCAGTATTTTTCGAAAAGACCCTCGTTGATCCATTTGTGACGCGAGCGGGACAGGGACTCGGTGAGGACGCCGCTAGATCATGTCAGATTTTGGGCCGCAGACACGAGGACGTGCGAGCCTGCTTACCTCTCCGACAGAGACTGGAATTCCTTGGAAGACAAGTCCAGGGGCTGTGGATCGTCGACCGTGGGAAGCGGCTGGCCGACTTGAATGGACGTGGGCAACGGCGGCGGCGGAGGAGGCGGTGGTGTCGGCTCTCGAACGGGCTCCGGGGGCGGCGCAGGTGTCGATGATGGTTCGCGAGGTGTCGACTGCCGCCTCTTGGCTGCCTGCTCGAGCCGGGCGGCAGCCCGCGGTGGCAGCTTCCTCTTCCTCTCCATGGCGACGCGCGAGGGCCGCGACAGGCAGGCCGGGGGCGATGGTGTGGCACGCGAGACGGGTCGACTCAAGCTGGTGTTGAAGCTGGGCAAATCATCATAAGGGCGCCATGCGGAGCGCGGCGGCGGCTGAAGGCGGCGACGGCGGGCAACGCACCGCACGCGGAGCAAGAAGCTTGAACGAAGGCAAGAAAGAGTGAATGGGGTGGGTGGTGATGTTGGTGAATTGGATGGCGGGAAGTGGAAGCTGAGAAATGACTGGAGGTGCAGAGGTCAAGTCGAGCAAGGTCGAGGCCGGCGAGGATGCGGCGCGTGATTGGCCTGGGGCCAGAGGCGGAGTCTCGAAGTACCCTGTACTCCGTACCTGTGCTTGGGGAGCTCAGGTAAGATGACAGTCGACGCTGCATGAACCGTGCTTGGCTCAGTGGTCCCAAGGCTGGGCTTTCAGCCACAGCACGACAGCCTGTCCTTCCGGAAACAATACTGCCAGTGGCCAGTCGCTGGACGCAGGACGCGTTTTACGATGCGATTTTACGAGGAAGATGTTCGCCGAGCTTGCGTTGAGGTCGACGGAGGTTGGCACGCGGCTCTTGTGTTAGTCAGCCGGTACCTCGCCGGGGGTGGGGCTGGCCGCCAGCCACCCGTGCGGCAATGAGGCGCCCACCACGAAATGTGGTCACGGGCGGGCTCTGGAGTATTTGTACTTTGCCCCCTGTTGCACCTAGAGGCCCAGGGCAAGTCCCCGGCGGCTACGAGCGCATGGCTCCTGCGCTCAACACCAAGCTCCAGGTTATCTGCCATTACATTCTTCACGCCAAACTCCTCCTAAGATCGTTGATCGCAAACTGTTCCGCTAGCAGAAAGTCCTAAAAAGACGTGTTAGCATGACACTGTCCCCCTCAAGTGCTCACTACGGTCGTCAACTCACCCACGCTGTTGCCCACAGCATCGCCGAAACGGCCCATATCAGCCTCGCCACGCCTCCAGCCCACTGCCGCCTCACGGGCTGCTTGCGCAACACATTCGCAACCACCTCCCGTGCGTAGACGTCCGCGTCGACAAAGTTCTTGGCTACCGCTTTGCCATTCATGACGTTCTCTATCGACTCCTTCGCCGGGGCGTAGATGGATCCAGGCGCCACTTCGGTGCCGGGCTGGTTCGTGATGAAGTTTGTGTGCACCGCTCCGGTGATGACCTGAGATGTCGACGACAGTTCATAGTTAGCCATACATGGAACTCGGTCAGCGTGCAAGAGAAATAGGTCCACTAACGAGCACAACTCGCACCCCAAAGGGCTCCATCTCGATCCGCAACGTGTCGCTCCACTGGTGCACGGCGGCGCAGCTAGCATTGTACATTCCCTTCCACGGCTGTGGGCATACGCCAGCGATGCTCCCAATGTTGAGCACGGTGCCTTTAGCCTTGACAAGGAGTGGTGCGAATGCCTGTGTGGTGGCGACGCGTCCGAAGAAGTTGACCTCGAACATCTGGCGAGAGTAGGCTAGGTCCGAGTCTACAATGGGACCGGCTTGGCCTGTCAATTCAAGGGTCAGTCATCGACCAGTAAGACCGTATCAGATCAAAGGATAGCTGCCGCAGCGAATTCGCGAGATAGATACGAACCGAGGCCCGCGTTGTTCACCAGAATGTCCAGCGTCCCGCCGGTAGCGGCACCCACTTGGCTGGCCGCACTATCAATCGACGCAGCATCTTCTACATCCAGCTGCAGCACGCTAATGCCTATATCTCTCAAGTGCGCAACCTTTGACAATGCCCGCGCGGTGGCAAAGACGCGACAGCCCTGATCGTGGAAGGCTTGCGCCAGCGCGGAGCCGATGCCTCCGGCGCTACAGCCAGTGATAAGAACGGTCTTTCGCGTGCTAGATGTCATGTTGGGGAATCGCGGTATACACCGTGATGCAACAACCACTCCAGTTACAGAGGGGGACCTCAGCGTCTCGACCTATTTATACAGCTCGAAAGACCCATGACGCGTTCTTTCATCTCGCAGGGGGCATTTGCGGAGCGGAGATGCCTCCAAGTCCGCGAAGACACGGGTCGCTGCATGTGCTGCGGACTTGGCCTATTTATCTAGAGACCATCCACAAGGTGAAACGCAAATACTGATACAGCATGTAGAGAAGCTGTGCATCACGCCGACTGCCTTAAATACGTCTCGCGCCGCCCTCAAGAGAGCACTTTCTCCTTCTTTTGACCCATAGGTTCTCGAGGCAAGCAGGCACTGTGTACCTTCGTCCCGGACGAGCAATGTATCGCGCAAAGACAAGACATGGCCGAGAACGGAAGGCCAACAATCAAGCTACGCGCTTGCAAAAGCGGTTCGAGCCGGCGATTCAGCTGTCTGTGCGTCTCGTCGTGCTGTCTGGCCTTGCGCTGTATTCTGCAGGCTCCAAGCACGACCGCGCTGGACAGTGTGTCACCATCGCCGAGTGCGGCTCTTACTGTAAATGGCACTGGCCGGGCGCCTATGCGAGCCCGCCACATGCAGCGAGACTCCGCTGCATGAGCGGAACATGTCCATCTGCGGTGCTGCAATGAACTGCTTCAAGTGGTCAAGACTTCATGAGCGATCACGTAACACGCCAGGACTATGCAGCGTGAGCGCCACGTTATACGATCGAGAGCTCACACAAGCAAACCGCTGCTAACCGTCTGGTCTCTTGCACTCTACCAACGCATCTGCAATGCTAGACTAGAAGCGCCTGCAGGCACAAACGCCTGTCACATATCTTCTATCGTCTTATTCCAATCATGGGGAATCATTTCATCCGCCAACTTATACAGATCGGGCGCAGTCGAGCTGTAATCGACAACCTGCCCGTTTTCCACGTGCGCCCGCTTGTTGCCAACGTCGATGTGCCGCTCGAGGGCCCATTCTCTAATCTTTGTGAAGTTGCGGCACATGTGCACACTGTCCAGTCGCGGCTTCAGAGACTGGGACGTGTCCGACCAACGGAACGTGACGGTGCTGGTGTCGGAGTGACACATTACGGACTGTCGGAGGGACTCGATGCAATGATCTGTTGTGCAATTGCGGCGTTAGTAGACCTGCGAAAGCGCAATGTGTTGGCATGTTAGTTCCTTACCAACATGCATCCATTCGAGGAAGTCTATGGTTCCATCCGAGTTCACCATAGAGACGTTATAGCGGCGCGGATAAAATGCCTTTCGGATCACGTTCTGCGGTGTATAAGAAGAAGGACTTGACTAGAGTATCTGCAGCACGTACCAAGCAATGGAGCTGGTGGAATACATCTATTCCCAAAAAGTGATCTTGCTCGTGTCCGACCAACGGGATCTGTGCCGTCTTGTTCAGGAGTCGATCATGCGATTCTTTACCAATTCGCACGCTGGAACCCTCTGATTTGAATCAATTTTTGTCAGGACATCAAGCGCTTCTGTGATCAGACGTGTACTCACTGTCGTATAAGTCAACCCAGAGGGCGTCCGACTCGTCTGTCGGCCAACCTTGGTACGGAGAGATGTCGCCGTCGAAGCGATTGTGAAAGAGCTTAGGCGCGTATTCAACGGCCTCATCGGCGGGTGCTGCATGATGTATCAGCGTTGGCTGCATCAACGGACTGCATGGTCAAGAGTTTGCTCACAGTATGCACCAGGCTCGCTGCTGCTGTCCCACATGTATGGGCAAGGCTGATGTCGTGCACGCCACCAAAGGTAGACGCTGATGATTGCCAGTATGATGTTGAGGGCCCAAGAGAAAGATGTCCAGCCTAGAGATGTCGGCAACAATCTTTTCGGGCTGAATCGTCGCTCCTGATGCCCCAACGAGAGCAGGTTTGCATCTTCGCGCCACCGTTCACCCTCGTCGCTTTCTTTGTTGTACTCCATGCTATGTTCGCCGTGCAGCAACAGGTACCGACGCTCCGAAAAGACCAGAGATATCGAGGAGATTTAGAGTAGAAGTTGGGGGAACGATCGAGGAAACAAGAGTGGTTGGACAGAAGGGGGCAAAACAAAGCTCGGCACGGGGCAATTTTCTTTAGTAACCGCCAACCCAAACCATTCACCAAATGCACGATTAGTTGCACCACCGCGTATTCCTTCAGGCTTTGCAGTCCCGCGCCTCAACGTGTTTAGCGCCACCGCATGCAGGCCGCGCTGACTGCATCGCGGGGAGAGTTGACCTCATTGACGCTTGGCCGCACGGCAGCGGCAAGGCGAAAGAGGAAGGTGAGAAGGCACAGCCCGTATCGCCGCATGGCGTGCGAAGCTTCCGTTGATTCAGAAGTTCCTGATGTGCCTCATCGGCAATGCCCGCAAAAGGCAGTCATGCAATAACGTCTGACCAGCCATGCAACCGTGGAACTTATCGAGAGAACAAGTGCTGGGCATCTCTGCGGATATCCCGGTTTGAGCCCGATGCGGCGTCGTCAAAAGTTGGCGTTGACACCACGGCGAACGTCGACAGTGTGAGAATCCGTTTGGTCCAAACAGCTGTACATTCGTGTCCACTCCTGTGGGTACCAGACCTTCGCAGCCATGGCCAGTAGGTTGTCACTCATGTGTTTGCATGATCTAGCTGAGGGTGAGGCCGGCGCGTGTATATAAGAGATGCTGTTCCCCTCAATAGCCCTCTGTTCCCCAGACACTCACCAGACAGAACTTCCCCTCCCTGATTCCCGTCTCAAGTTGTCAAACCATTCACAATGAAGGCTTCCATCTTTACCTTGGCAGCCATCGCCGGCTTTGCAGTTGCGGCCCCCGTGCCAGAGTCGGTACGTTATCCCACACCGGGAGCCTGTCCCACCCCGCTCTACTCCTAGGAGACACTCTGTCTATAAGCGTCACATCTGGTGAACGTTTGCCTTCGGGAGAGAGTAGCGCTGATGCCGGCTTCATCATGGCTAACTTGAGCGGGAAGACGGACGGCAACAGCGCCGACGTTGACTACAGGAAACTGTGGCGCAAGGAACCCGAGGAGGCTGGCACGGATGGAGGCATCTACTCTGTCCGGCAGTGGGGAGGCAAGAGGGACGCGAGCACCGCCGATGACGACTACAGGAAGATTTGGCGAAAGGACCCCGAGGAGGCTAGCACAGATGGCGGAATCTACACGGTTAGGCTCTGGGGCAACAAGAAGAGAGACCCAGGCACCGACATTGACTACAAGAAGATTTGGCGGAAGGACCCCGAGGAGGCTGGCACGGACGGCGGCATCTATACGGTTAGGCTCTGGGGTAACAAGAAGAGAGACCCAAACACCGCCGATGACGACTACAGGAAGATCTGGCGAAAGGACCCCGAGGAGGCTGGTACCGATGGAGGCATCTACACTCCTGCACTCTGGGGCATCAAGAAGGATACGAACAGCGCCGATGCCGACTAGAAGAACATATGGTAGAACCTTGGTAGCTACCGACACTTTGTAGTCCAGGACAGGAACGATTTTCCCACCCATATTTGTGTTTACGAATGTCCTCCACTACCTGCAGAGACCAATATATAGTCATACTTTCACGCTGGATCTTCGAAGGCTGCGCAGCTCGGTCGCTACAGCAGCATTTCGAGCCATCGCAGCCTGGAGGCAGTTGAGACTTGAGAAGACTGTCACCATCGCCGTTGGCAGGCCGAGGCTCCATTGTCTTGGGGGATTGGCGGCGGCTTAGCTCTAAGTCTCTAACAGAGTTGGGAGACGTGGTAAAATGGAGACGTGGGAGTGAGAAAGCCGATCCTCTCATTCGGAATAGCAGCTAGGGCTACAGCTCAGTGCATGGCTAATACTGTTGTCGCGCGATGATGCGGACGTATGCTCGCGGATCGAATATTGGTGGTCGTGTCGACATTACGGGGGTCGCGTAGTCTGTAATTGCGTTAGTTATAACGTATCGCGCGGGGCCCCTGAAGCAGCTAAAGAGGGAGGAGCTCCACGTGCATTCCGTCCACCGCGGCCCTTTCCCTGCCTCCCTAGGACCTTCTGCCGCTCACGAGACGTCCGCCTGGGACGACCTGACATCCATTGAGATCCCTCGACGCCATCATGCATCATGCGCCAGGCTCCCGCCATTTGCACTTCGAATGAATAAATTCGCCTAGAGCGTGCCACCAACGAATGCTCCGTTGCGGCGCTTCGACTCGCTAACCGCACCTAGCCACCAGTGAAGGCAGTATTCGTCGAGCGCGAACCGCGCCTCGTCCCGTCTCCCTACCTTGCTCAGCAACCGTCACCACGCCTCGATTGGTTCCGGCCGGCTGCAGCCATGGCGGTCCCCATGCAACCGTTGCTGTGGACGGGCGTCGCTCTCGTCGTAGCGCCCTTTGCCTTCTATACCGTGTTTCTCGGCCTATTGGTGACGCCGTTCTTCCAGAGACAGTGAGTGGCGCCACTGCTTCGAGCCTGCGCAGACCTGACCTGACGTCTCGCAGCGCTCTCTACGCCCACAAGATCAACACCCTCCTTTGGTCCAACGTCGACCAGCCCGAGGCATGGGGCTTCGCCAGTGAGTATCCTTCAATCACCCCCGCTGTTTGAACCGCAGCTGATGTCGAGGATCCCACACGCGACAGGCAATCAGGTCACACCATTTCGCCTGGACACTCCAGACGGCGTCAGCTTGTATGCCTGGCACGTCTTGCCGCTGCCCCTGTATTTGAAGAATGAAGCAGCTTTGGCAAGTCAGCCGGCACAGCCTCCTTCACGGTTTGAGAATGCAGAGTCATTCAAGATTCTCAAGCGAGATCCTGAGGCCCGCCTGGTTCTTTACTGTGAGTGGAACTCATATGGCAACTACCACGACTGGCCATGCTGACAGGCAACAGTCCATGGGGTTCGTCTCCTCTCGCTCTTTGCTCCCCCTCACCACGCATGTCTTGAGAACACGCACTCACAGATGACAGAATGCAGGTCACATCGCACAGGCAGTCAGGCCAGACACGTACCATTCGCTGACTGACACATCCTCGTACCATCTGATTGCCATCGACTATCGCGGCTTTGGCCACTCCACTGGTGTGCCTAGCGAGGACGGGCTGATCACCGATGCGTCGACAGTCGTCGATTGGGCCGTCAACGTGGCAGGCATCTCGACGAGTCGCATCGTCCTCCTGGGGCACAGTCTCGGAACTGCGGTGGTCAGCGGCGTTGCCGAGCGGTTCGCGCTCAAGGGGGTCGAGTTTGCAGGCATCGTTCTCGTCTCCGGCTTCGGCGACCTGGCCTCTATGCTCAGCGGCTACCGCATCGGCGGCATCGTCCCCCTGCTGGGCCCCTTTGCGGCGTGGCCGCGGTTCGTCCGGCTTCTCGACCGCTTCATTGTGGACAAGTGGCATTCCGCGGACCGGCTGACCAACATTGTCCGGCACACCAAGTCCAGGCTGCGCCTCAGCCTCGTGCATGCCAAGAACGATTGGGACATCCCATGGACTGAGGACAACAAGCTGTTCCGCGCGGCCGCGAACGAGACTGCTGGCAGCTTGGACGACGCCGAGTTTGCGGCGTGGAAAGAGCAGCGGACGGTCCACAAGGGCAAGGACGCGTTTGTCACGACATGGAAGGCAGCGCCAGATATCATTATTCGACAAGAACTGTTCCCGTTTGGAGGTGAGTCTCTCAGCTCGGGCTTGTGTAACGTTTGCTGATCAATATAGGCCACGACCCTATCAATGGGTTCGCACCTGTGTCGCTTGCCGTGATGAGATCATTTGATCTTCACGGAACCGCCTACGAATAGAGTAGATGTGTGCATAGACGCAGATGGTCCATTCACATTCGCGTAGTCTCGGATGGTGCTGGCTTTAACATTTGTTAGATATGAAGACTCAAGAGGATTAGATGAATTGAGCATTCCTTAGCTAGAAGACCGAAATCTTGCATGGTCTGATGAACAGTCAATAATTACTCATTCAGTATACTCCAGTGACCACATGTCAATCCGCCAGCTGCGACAGGTTGCGTACGTGTCAGATTCAGGGCTGTCGTTCAAGTATCCGCCGTGTCCGGCCTGGCGTCTCGAAGCAGCTCAACGGACCCCGCAGCGCCAGGCACACGACCCGTTGACCCCACCATCCCACCAACCTTACCTTGGCACCTCTTCGTCTCCATAACCTCAGACCGCGCCAGCAACATCCCCTCCAGCACCATCCACGCCCGCCGCCGCCGCCGCCGCCGCAATCATGCCTCCCGAGGAGTCCAAGCCCGTGGAGCCCGTCGTCGACGAGACCGACGCCAAGCTCAAGGGCAAGCAGGCCGAGATCGAGTCCGACGAAGACGACGACAATGACCCCGCGACCACGACCGCAACGGGCGAAGGCGCACCCGCCGCGGCCTCCTCCTCGAGCAAGAAGAAGAAGTCGAAACGCAAGAAGGCCAAGGAGCTGCTCACGGGCCACAAGTCCAGCGCCGACCACGAGTCCGAGATCAAAAAGGCCATCGGCGGGCTCACGCCGCAGCAGATGAAGGAGCTGCTGGCGCTGAACCCGAGCCTGCGCGACGAGCTGTCGCAGGCGTCGGGCAGCGCGGACCCGTCCCCCGAGCAGGCCGCCGAGATGCTCAAGAAGATGAACCTGCAGGACATCATGACGGGGCTGGCCGCCGCGGGCAAGAACGTCAAGGACATGGGCGCGTACAAGTTCTGGCAGACGCAGCCCGTCCCGCGCTTCGGCGAGAACGAAAAGGTGGCCGAGGAGGGGCCCCTCAAGATCCAGACGGTCGACGAGGTGCCCAAGGAGCCCGCGCCGCTCATCCCGGGCTTCGAGTGGGTGACGGTCGACCTCAACAGCGACGAGGAGATCAAGGAGGTGTACGAGCTGCTCAACGGGCACTACGTCGAGGACGACGAGGCCATGTTCCGCTTCAACTACTCGCCCGAGATTCTGCGATGGTAAGACCCTCAAAGCTCTCCCCTTTCCCGCCTGATCGCGGCCCCCTTTTCATGCTCTCGTGCTAAACAGACTCGTCTCGCTAGGGCCATGATGTCGCCCGGCTGGAAACGCAAGTACCACGTCGGCGTGCGCGCCTCGCAGTCGCGCAAGCTCGTCGCCTTCATCTCCGCCATCCCCTGCCGCCTGCGCGTGCGCGAAAACTACATCATGTGCTCCGAGGTCAACTTCCTGTGCATCCACAAGAAGCTGCGCGGCAAGCGCCTCGCCCCCGTCCTCATCAAGGAGGTGACGCGCATCAGCAACACCGAGGGCGTCTGGCAGGGCCTCTACACGGCCGGCATCGTCCTGCCCCGGCCCGTCAGCACGTGCCGCTACTTCCACCGCTCCATCAACTGGCAGAAGCTCAACGAGTGCGGCTTCAGCCCCCTGCCCGCCGGCAGCAAGCCCCAGTACCAGATCCGCAAGTACGCGCTGCCGGATAGCACCTCGACGAGGGGCCTGCGTGCGATGACGCCCAAGGATAGTCCCGCCGTGCTGGCCCTGATGAAGCGCTATCTCAAACGCTTCGACATGGCGCCCGACTTCACCGAGGAGGAGGCCCTACACTGGTTCATCCCCAAGCCGAACGTCGAGCAGGTCATCTGGTCCTACGTCGTCGAGGTGAGCACACCATCATTTTCATTCATAGCCTGTCCCGCATTCACAGCACTGACCACATCTGCAGGACTCCGACAAGAAAATCACCGACTTCTTCTCCTTCTTCTGCGTCGAGTCGTCCATCATCAACAACCCCAAGCACGACGTCCTACGCGTCGCCTACCTCTTCTACTACGCCTCGGAGACGGGCCTCGCCCAGCCCTTCGACAAGGCCGCCCTCAAGACGCGCCTCAACGGCCTCATGCACGACGCCCTCATCCTCGCCAAGAAGGCCCGCTTCGACGTCTTCAACGCCCTCACCCTCATGGACAACGCCCTCTTCCTCGAGCAGCAAAAGTTTGGCGGCGGCGACGGCCAGCTGCACTACTACCTCTTCAACTACCGCATGAACCCCATCGCCGGCGGCGTCGACAAGCGCAACCAGCTGGACGAGGAGAACCTGAGCGGCATCGGCCTGGTGATGCCGTAAAGCAACGGATTGCAACATAGACCAAAGCGTATCGTGTTCGACGGTTTTCTAGGTAGCAAAAACATACATGCCATCTCAAGGGCTAGCTAAATACGTAAAAAAGACGGCTCTACAGTTTCGTCCACTCGTTCAGTCTCTCCTCGAGCAGCTCGTTGAACCACTTGAACCGCTCCATGATCGGCGCATGTCCCATCCCCTCGACAATCAGCCCCGTGCCCGGCTCAATCACGTCGATGAGCTTCTGCCCGTTGGCCACGGTAATCATGTTATCGCCCGTGCCGTGCATGACCATGATCCTCTCGCGGCCCACCGCGTCGGCCATCCCCCGCAGCTGCTCGTCCGACTTGCGATGCCACCCCGCGGCAACAAGCTGGCACAGGAACCCGCGCAGCGTAAACGCCCCATCCGCGCGCCTCTTGGTCAGCTCCTGCGCCTGGAAGCGCTGGAAGTTATTCTCAAACATGCGGTACCCGCCGGGCACGTCGCCGCAGCGGGGCGTCACGCCGGGGACGGGCAGGTCCTCGGCGTCGGGCGCGGCGAGCCACCCGGCGACGAAGATGGAGCGGCCCGTGTCGGCGATGGCGTCGCCCTCGGCCTTGGGCTTGAGCATGCCCGCGCGCTCGACGAGCGTCTGCGGGAGGGACTTGCCACTGCGGACGTGCGCCGACGTGCACAGCAGGGAGAGCGACTGGATGCGCTGGGGCGCCGCGCAGGCCAGCTCCTGGGCGATCATGCCGCCGAGCGAGATGCCAACGACGTTGACGCTGCGCGGGGCCGTCCACCCGACGTGGTCGAGCACGTCGAGCACGTCGACCGCCATCTGCGACGTCGAGTACCGCGCCAGCGGCTTGTCGCTGCCGCCCATGCCGCGGTTGTCGATGAGCAGCACCGAGTACGTCTCGCCGCGGTCGTGCCCAAAGTAGCGCGTCTGCCGCTGCCACGACGTCTTGACGCCGGCGAGGCCCATGATCATCTTGCGCACGACTGGTAAGCACATGATAAAGCGCGCGTTGGCCCCACGGTGAGGCAATAATACGTTGGGTGAGGGAAGGCTCAAGGGACACACGTACGACGAGCTTCACGGGGCCGGAGCCGTGAATCGCCCAGGCAATGTTGACGGGCCCGCCGCGGTTGACAGCCGCGCCGAGGATGCCATGTCTGTGAGGCTCCAGCGCCCAGATGGTGCCGGGATACGCAGGGTGCTGGAGCGTCTCCTCGACCGAGGGGAAGGTTTGCGACCTGCGCGCCCGTCAGCTCACCATTCTAGCCACAACATTGCACCGTCGCCCTCATTGGTGCTCCCAGTGAGTAGAGAAACGAGGCACCTACGCGTCTGCCATTTTGGTGAGCGTTTCCAAGAGGCCTGGAGTCTTGTACAGCTCAGCCGAGGTTGTCGGTGGATGGTCGCGGTTGGTGAAGCTGACGCTTAAGATGAACGGGTGGCTGGTGCTCACTGCTCACGTCCCGAGGCTCAAAGTCCGGGTCAGTGTAAAGGGTAGCACGCGACCACTGCAGCCAGCAAATCACTAGGACAAAAACCCGGACACAAAGATGCAGATGGTGGTGTGGCAGGCTGCATGTCAAAGACACGGCGATTTAAGACCAGCGCCTCGGAGATGTGACGTCGTTCCCGATCAGGCTACTTAAGGTCTGGTCCACAGTCCGCGCTGCCAAGAGATCACTCCACGGCCAAAACCGCCGCCAGCGACATCAAAGACACATCTCCACTACTCAATAGTACGCAGAATCCAGAGTCTATGCCATTTAAAATACGTATCTTACATCGCTTTGACATGATGATTGCCATTCGATCCGACCCAATTTTGCATACCGCGTATCGCGACCTCGTTCTGGCCGCTCAAGCGGTCGAGCTCTCTACACTCCAGGCTTGCTATGCTCGGCCACCGAGAGCTCATCGCTCGCCAGCCTCACGGCGGCGCTGCACCTCGCCGAGGGCCTTGGTGCCGCTAAGGAAGGCCGCGGCGCCAACAACGCCAATCGCCGGCAGGACCTGGAAGAGGTTCCAGCTGCTATAGTAGAGGAAGAAGACGCCCTCCATGGCCACGATCGAGCCGAAGAAGACGGCGTGGGAGACGGGCGCGCTGCCGAGAGCCTTGGAGATGTGGCTGACATTGGCACCAAGGACAAGCCACTGATTGTGTCAGTAACGCATACCGCTTTGAACGGGCGGGCTGAATACTCACCCCCACGAGGAGAGCCGGCACAGTGGCGAGGACGGCCAGCGAGAACACCAGAGAGACGATCTTGGGTGGGTTCTTAGGGCCCGCGCGGAAGATGTGGTGAATCTCCGCCAGCGATCCGTATCGCAGCGGCTTCTCGTATGCCGGCGTAGGGCCGTTGACGTCGAGCTTCAAGTTGATGTCGAAGACGGGTGTGACGGAGCCCTTGGCCGAGCCTTGGGAGGCAATGATCAGGCTGGCTTCGAGCGGCGACTGCGAGAGCAGGAGCTGCACCGGCAGGTCCTTGTGCGTCTGTGCCCCAGTCAGCGATTGTCGGCCAGCAAGTTGACTTCCGCTCCACGAACAATCTGCACGGTTCCCTTGCCAGACGCCTTCACGGTCAGGGGGAACGGCGCTTCCAAGCCAGACGCCTCCTTGAGGACGAGGAAGGCCTGGTGCGGGCGCTTCGCCTTGGAGCCCTCCTGGGCAGTCAGGGACACCTTGAGTGTGTCCTGGAAGCCCAGCGTGACAGACTTCTTCACTCGATCGGCGTCGGAGAACCTGCGAGGCATCTTGGTTAGCAGTGCTCGACGAATGGAAGCTGAGGCCTTCCACCCCGCCCGTGCTGGAAAGCTCCCACGTACTTCTCAACAACGTTGTCGGCGGCCCGGGACGCCACGGTGACGGTGCCGTCAGAAAACGTCCATGACGACGCGGCGTGGGCCGCGCCCGCGAGGGCCAGCAGCGTCGATGCTGTCAGGAAGCGCATTGTGCGTTGCGTGTTGCGAGGTGGTGGGACGCGGCGACACTGAAGATGACAGACAGCTCGAAGGAGCTCCAGTTCCAATTGAGGGTTACGTGGTTGCGCCAGGTGGGTCCTGATTGGCCGATGCTTTGGACGCACAGTGCGTCTCTTTGCGCACACTGTCGCCGTCTCAGGGTGCGACGACTTGCATCGACCATGACACGCGGGGCCAGACTCATGCGCGGATTGTTCCGCACAGCTATAGGGCATTTCATAAGGATAATGGACTGTATTCAGAAATATTCTATGTGTCGCTCCAATGACTGAAATCGCAAATCTCGTTGTCGTCTATCAGACCAAGTCTCGGTCCGTAATCGCAAGAACCCCAACGCCAGAGACCCCATGCAAATCTAAGCCACTATGCCTATAGCTCAGTCTTGGAGCTGGTAGCAGCAGTCGTTACACTCCGCTTCTGTTTTGTTGAACTCTGTTTCGGCATGTGACCCTTGAGGTCCATCCACTCGGCCGTGAATGCCGTCACGATCTTGGCCCAGTCGCGCGTGGTCGGCAGGTCAAGATGCTCGCCGTCGTCCTCCATCTTGTGCCAGACTTCAGGGAAGGGCGACGGAATGACGTGGAGAATGTCCACGCCACGGTGCATAAAGGGGACGTGGTCGTCGGAGATGCTCATCCACGCTGAGAATTCGCCAGAGTGCTTCTCTGCCTCGGGCAGGAACGCGTGCGTAGGTTTGGTTTCGAGCAGCCCAAGGTCACGCATGCGCTTTTCTATGGTGGCCATGTTCTTGTATGCCCAGTGTGTCGTCAGGAAATAGGACGGGATCTTGGGACCCGCCGAGCCGAGAAGGTCAAGCAGCACAAAAAGGCTGATGGAGTCGAGGGGGGTTCGGTAGGTAGACATGGAAGGGTGGAAGTGCGATTCCCATTCCGCAGCAAGGGATCTGATGGCCGGTTAGTTTATGCAGGCGATCAGTGTAGAGGGCTGCTTCTCACCTTGCACCGTAGAGGGAGTCATCGTCCGTCCAGTGTAGAAACGCCTCCTCGCCGTCTAGCAGCACAATCTGCACTCCATGGGCCACATCAAGCCCGTCGTGTTCGCCCTCTTCGCTCCATTTCGCCTTGAGCGCACTCTCGATGCTCCTCGCGACGTGCATCAGCATGGCGCACGGCGCGGCGCTGTCGGTGGCGCCGATGAATCCCGTCGGCTCGTACTTGCTGTCAAAGTGCGCGACGAGCGTCAGCCGCGACACCTCGCCCGTCGGCGCCCCGGGCGGATCGCGTCGGAAAATGAGGTTCGCAAACGGCACATCTCGATCACCCGTCACGGGCGTCCTGGATGTCGAGTTCTGCCAGAGGAGCTGCCACTCCGGCAAGTTGCTCTTGAAGAAGTCGGCAAAGTGGCGCTGCGTCTTCTCGGAGCCCTCGGTCCCCGGCACGCGGGGAATCAGTATCGGCGCCAGCAGCTTGCCATTGTGTATATCGAAGTCGTCGCCGGGCGAGGGGATCTGTCGCAGGTCGTCGTCGTCGAGCGTCGTCAGGGCGCATGCGGGCCAGACGAACGCCAGCAGCGCCGTCACCAGCAGGACGATGGCGCTGCTGCGCGAGGGCATTCTCATTGGCATCCCCGTCGCGTAAAGGCAATGCACATCGCGTGAGAATTCACGGTTCGAGGCGAGCAAAGGTTGCGGCGATAATGAGCGGTGCTTGGCACGGAGATGCTGCGACGCGGCCACGTCGTGCTCGAGGAGAGATGCGAGACACGCATCTCAGCCACAGTTGATCAATGCAGGGCCGGCACTGGGGCCGCTGCGGCGTGGCGTGTTCAGGGCCCTGCGCCCGCCGATTGCGGGGCATGAATGGGGGGCTAAGCCTCCAGCTCTCATGTCTGTGTCGGACCTGGCCATCAGGGGCCCTGTCGCTGGTAATGTAGCTGGACGCTGGGCTGCTGCCCTGGGCCCCGGGGATCGACAGCCACAAATCACCAATGCAGAACCTCGCTCACTGCCTGCCGCCTTCACCACTGCCCACCCATCTCGGCAATCCGGCTTCGTGGTCGAGGATGCCAATTGAGCCATGCCAACCAGCTGTCTCCGTAACCCAGGGCTGAATGGGGCCAGGCTTTCAATTCGACTGCCCGGTATGAAAACGCCCCGAGGTGAGCACGAGCTGACACGCTTAGCCTCGCTGGTGAAAATCGGCGTCTCGGTGAGGCAACCAGTGAGATATTCGGAGCAGGATAAATAAGAGGTATCGCCACTGGCAAAGTCAACGTGTCAGGAACCTCCTCCAAACCATCTGTGGTCTCTCCGCAGAGTGGTGGAAGCTGTCATCGTCGCTCCCGAGTCTTGGCCCTCTGTGCCTGTTACTTATTCAGTCCTGCAAGAGCAACGAAACATGTCGTCATTCGACAAAGACCACGATGCCGGAACCAGTCACGCCGGGACTGGGCCTCCCGTGGTGACGCCAACACCGCCGGAGGGGTACCACCCGGCACCGGCACCAGTTCCACCCCGGGCTTCCGCTCCGGCCGCAGCAACCGCCGCAGCTCCTCCGGCAGCGGCCCCTCTGCCCCAAAACGCAACACGGCCGTACCCCCAATACCAGTCGCAATTCCAAAACGCAGGCATGGCCACCGGCGCAATGGTCGGGGTCATGGGCGCCGGCCAAGGATCCGTGGGGAATGACATGCTCATCGGCGGCGTCGTTGGAGGCATGGTCGGACAGCGCATCGCGCAAGCCGAAAACCACGCCTACTGGAGAGACCAGGCAATGCAGTATCGCGAGGGCCGAGCGGCGGGAACCATCCCACCGCCGAACCAAGAAGATGCTGACAGCAAACCGTCGTGGTGGTCTAGGGAAGCCCGAGCTCAGCGGAGAGCTGAGAGATGGGAGCGAAGAGCAAAGATGAGAGACGGCACGGGATAGCTCTGCGACGTGGTGAACTTCGTATCTGTGTTATTCATGCCCTCGCACCCACCTTGATCTGGCGGGATTACTGCCAAAGACTGCATTGCTAGCACTAATAGGGGCGACTTATCATGTCGTGTACAATTACTGAGACGCCTGTGGTGGTTATCAACGATCTGCCTACTTCACGTACGTATCGACTTCTCAAACTTCGCATAACACAAACATGGGCCTCCCCGAAATGCGCGTGTTGCGTTGCTGACCATGACTGTGCACGGGTGTCACTTCGCCTGCCCAATCGGAGTGGTTGCGATTTCCTATTTTGGAATGTTTCCATTGCCTCGGCGCTCAACCTCTTCAAGGTCTGCATCTCATCCCGATTATCTTGTCAAACAATTTCACACCATAAACCATAGGTGAGTGCGACCGCTCTCTTCTCGCCCGAGTCGCCTTTTGGGCTTTTGGTGGCCAAGAGTTCAGTCCGTCCGTTTGGTGTTCATTCCCGCAAGCGAATCGAGACCCCTGCGGTTCCTGCAGGAGCTGAATGCAAGCACCCTGGCTAAGTCGGTGGAATCACACCCCGCGGTGGATGCATGCTTACCATCACAAGTTGATTCACAACGAGGGTAGGGACCGGGCAGGTGAATGATTGAGCCTCAATGCCCGGTTCGGAAATTACGGCTTCGAACCTGGAGAAGAGCATTGAGAGCTCTCCGAGTGCCGGCAGAGGTGTTGTCGGAGACGCACTTCAACTTCCGCTCAATCCTGCTCTGTACGGTTGTCGACTGCTCCCGCAGCTCACCACAGAAGTCCAGTCCAGCATGAGGTGCTCCATAATCGCGGTCCTCGCCGCCGCCGCCGGCACGGCGTATGCGCAGCACAAGTTGCTGCTGCCCGGATTCGGTGGGCAGGCAGACATCTCGCCGCGCGACTTTGGAGACGGCGTCTGCACGCTCGGAAGCACCTGCGAAGAGTGCTTCGGCGAGGGATACATCATCTGCGCCCGGATCGGGTGCTTCAACCCAGACAAGCACCAGCAGTGCTGCAATGCCGCGAGTATGGGCTCAAAAACTTCCTTACTTCCGGCATGACCAAATTTCTCACAGCTATCACAGGTCTCTGCGTCGGAAAGACAAACGCGTGCTGCAAAGACTGGGTACGCGCGCCGCCTCTCCCCCTTATACCGAAAGCTTGAGCAACGACTGACGACGAGTCTCTAGGGCGGTCCTGGAGAAACCGGCAAGGCCGGCGCGCCCGCCTCAAACACACGTTCGACCATCAGTCCCACGAGCACCTTGACCTTTCAGTGCACAAAGGCCGACTCTGGCGAGGGTTGCTGCCAAAAGGCGCACAAGGACATGCACTGGTGCAGCGGCGCGTTCCCTCAGTACCAATGCTACAACTCCAGAAACCAGTGGTGCTGCACCGACGGCTCCGTCTGCGACGACGAGGGCTGCTGCAAGGATCTGTTTGTAAGTCTCCTGGCTACGCCTCTGAACCGCTGCGCAGAGGGGATGCCTTGTGTTTGCTGACAGTGGGAACAGAGTGCATCCACAACGCAGCCGTGGAAGGCAAAGGCAACGCAGACGGAGTCGAAGGCGACAGACTCTTCGATCACGAGTGCGCCAGGCTCGTCTGCCGCCGCGACGACAAGCGCGGGCGGCGTGGGGGCGCAGACGACGAGCTCCTCAAAGGCCGTTGGCGCCGTCATGGGGCCAGCCGACTTGGGCATTGCAGGGGTTTTGGGATCCGTCCTTGGCGCCGTCCTGCTGCTGTAGTTTACTTTAGTCGTTTGCAGCGTGCATGTACAGAGTCAAGGCTCGCACTTCAAAGCTCTGTTCGCGATTGATGCAATGTCACGGTTAATCGGCATGTTGACCCTTGTCCGCCACATTGCAAGTTTGCACGACGTGTTCGGTCCATAGGGCTGTAGGGCAGAAGATTTGCACATTCTTTTCCCCGACATCCTTGATTTCGTTGCAGTCGACCCCTCGACAAGGCGGGCGCATCCTGCGAGTGCGTCCACGAACCCCGGCGTCGCCCCTGCAGAGGCTGAATACCCCTGCACCGTAAGCAACGAGCCTGGTTCGGCCGCTCGGAGCAATTGTCTGCAGACTGGACCAAGTCGGACGGACAACTCCAAAGCGCGAAGCCTCATGCGACTGAATCTTGCATCGCCGGGCGCGCCCGCAACGACTTCAGAATGGTCCTGGAGATTTCTGTCGGGGAGGCGTCGGGCCTGATTGCCACGGGAGTGTTTCTGTGTAAGTCGCAATCAGCGTGGTGTATAAACTGGCCACTGACAGCAACAAGTGCAACTCCTCATTCCGTTGGCGCTTCCGATCCTGCTGGCCGCTTACATTACGGAGAAGAACTCGGTTGTTACCTGGTACTGTCCCTACGCAAGACCCGGAGCACTTTTCGAGCCGCTCAACTGACAACACAGGTCCGTCCTCGGCCGTTTCCTTCACACATCACTATGGCCTAGCATTCTGCGAACCGATACCGCAGCCGGCGATGGCGTTAAGAGGCATGTCAGCTTCATTGGCATCTTCCAGACCGTCGCTCTCGCGCTCATTTCCGTTGCGTCCATCGTGACGCCGCTCGGCCTGTATGACACCGTCACGCCACGCGGCGACGCGCAGCTCGTGCCGTTCAAGTACCAGCACGACCTATCTCCATTTGGCATCGGTACTCCATGGCGAAGCTCCGCGCCATTCAGCCGGTCGTGCGGCACAGACCCGTGCCCTGGGACCATCAAGACCGAGACGTGCCAGAAGAAGGGCCTCGCGGAAGTATGCGGCAACGTCACCTACGACCGCGCCATCCCGAGCTCGCTGCACAACCTGTTCATGGACGGAGCCACTACCTTTTCGGCATCGGTTTCGAGCGTCTTCGATATCCAGTGGCGGGCCTTCTACAACGCGACGGACGCGTTCGGCAAGCTGGGATGGTCGCTCAGGTCTGCATACCGGCAGATCACGACGCTGATTCTCGAGCCGGACCTGCACGTTGTCGAAGGGGTCATTGTCAACACAGTCACTGGCGGTATCGGCTTCCGCAACCACACCGTGCCCAACACAACGTACGAGTACGGCAGCCAGTGGATCGAGGATCTGCTCTTCATCGAGCCCGAGACGCAGTGCGTAAACCTCAACTTTACCTTTCATTTCGAGCTCAAGAATCTCGACCGGACCACTGGAGTAAGCGGCGCATACATTGTGGATGACGGGGGGTTCTGGAACTTGTCACGCAAGGCACCCGTTCCGACTCTGTCAACGCCATGGGCGTACAATGGCCAGGGCGAAATTGATCTCAAGAGCAGGGCGTACAACGCGGCATGGCTGAACAACTACCTCATGATGCTGTACTTTAACCTCACCAATCCGGACATGAACAACATACACCGGATAGATTCCAAACCAGGCATGGAGATTCATAGCAATTCATCCATCAAGGACACCAACGGGACCACATTCTCTCTCCTCTACCAGGCCATAAGATCCAGTACGACATTTGGCGAGTTCCTCGTATGGAACAAAACCGCGCTCAATGGAAAGAACCCTTACAACGTCACGGCAAACCATTTCTCCCAGATTGGTAGGAACACTAAATTGCCAATGTTGTATTATCGTTGCTGACCATTGGCCAGGCCAGCAATGTCGTGGCGCCGTGCTCATGGACCCAGCAAACATCAACAGCACCTTGATAGCTTGCGGCCTCGTCTACGGTGCTGCGCAGCGTACAGATGGCGGTGATTCTTTAGTACCCGATCCGGGCTCCAAGTGGGTGATACCCGTGTACAGCTGCGCCTCGTCCGTCACAGCAAGCATCAAGACTGTGACTTTCCAGTACAACGGCACCGACTTGTCTGCACTGAAGGCTGCCAAGATCGACCCAAAGGAATATCCCACCCCCGCTGATTTGCCACTATGGGGCGTCGAAAACATGCACAACCTCAGCATCGGCAACGCCCAGCCGCTCTGGGGCGTCCTCGGCAGGGCCAACGCGACCGTCGAGGATCGCCTCAAACAAAACGTCACCACAATCGCTCAGGAGAAGCTGCACTTGCCGGGGCTCGTAGACGATCTGACGGACGCTCTGACGGGCGCCTTGCTCGACAGCTCACGCATAGGTCAAAACTTGCCCGGCATCAGCTTCTACGCCCAGGCGCTGCAGAGTGCCTTCAACATCGCGAGGCCCAGTCCCTTTGCCTACGGCGACTACTCTGGCCAGACGGGCCTTGCGCTCTTCGCCAAATGGCAGCAGCTATCCAAGAGCGCAGCCGATGCCTCCCAGATCATAAACCTTGTCTGGACCGATCTCGCTGCTAATGCCATCGTCGGGACCAAGGGCTGGGGCCTGACGTCCGTCGCCGCCGGGCTAGCCAAGCGCGCGACGGACGGCGGCCATACCGGCATGGTGCCCGTGACCGCGTTCCGGAAGCAGGTCCGATACCGCATACCGTTCGCGGTGCCGGCATTCGTCGTGCTCGCAGTGGCTCTCGCTGTATTCGTGACTGTAGCGGTATTGCTGGCCACGCGCAGGACCGGATTGACTACGCTACGGAGGCTGATTGACGCTACATCGCCCGGTAGACTGATATCGCAGAAGCTGTGGCCTGAGGAGGCATATGGCCTGAACACAAAGGAGTGGGTGAGAAGGGTCGGCCCGCGCAAGGTCGTGGTCACGAAGGAGGTAGTCGCAGCGCACTCGGACCAAGCTCCGGAGAAGGATGCCGCCGAACAACAGCAGAGCCTCCTGCCGAGCAAGGACGCCCCAGTGCTGAGCATCTCCAAGCAGTCTCCGATTTAGTTGAATTTGAAGCGCTTCATGCAAGCCTGGCGTCGAGCACACGAGCCTCCGGGTCGGCCCGGCGAGCCGAGTCGCTGTGCATGCGCGATACCACTGTCCACGGGAGCGTCCGAGGGCCGTTGTCGCAGCCTACTCTGTCTGTCCTGGGTTGAGTCTTAGGGCCACTAGGCACGACCGTGCTCCTCAATGCGACGCCATGATCGAAATCTCATAAAGGAACACTTGAGCCAATACCTGCGTACACTTTAGGTCATTGGTGTCGAGACAATCGGTCAGGCGTACCAAAGGTTCGACGGCCATGCGATTGTATAGCGCGGGCAAAGCATCCCGCAGCCGAGGCGAGTAGCGCGTCGAGCACTTGTTGCATTTGAAACCCGGAGCTGCAGAAGCGACGATTCCAGGCACAACCCTACAGCGAGTTGCAAACCAAGGCACCGTCAAGGACAGAATTAGCAACTGGGGCTGATTGGCCCGCCAATAAAATGTAGAGATTTTTTCATGGATACGGGGATGCGAATTTGCGGGAGCAAGGCCTATTTCCATGGAGAGGTACGTACCGTTGGTACTGACGCTGCCTGCGCTACACCCGCGCAATCGAAGTTGCGGCACCCCTGAATGTGGCGGTGCATGTCCCCTTTTTGTGGCGCAGGCCCGCCAGCCAACCACCATCCGCCGTCCGCCATCCATCTCATCAAAAGTTGGTCCTTACGTGTTCCCGAAATTCTTCACTTTCACCTTCGCGCTCCCCGTCCAGTCCCCCCCGCGTCAGTCGCGCCCATCGCCCGCCTAGCCCCAGCGGATGCAACTCGTCGCTCATTGACTGCACCTCTCACCCCACTGCCGGCATCATGGCGGACAAGAAGACCGACGACTTCGTGGTGCGCGTGCCCGACACGGCCGCCGGCCTGAACGGCGCCGCCGATAAGGGCCGTTTCTCGCCGCCGCGCCGCTCCAGCCCCGCCGCGCCCTCATGGCTCAAGTCCGTCGAGAGCAGCGGCGGCGTCTCCGTCATCGCCTACTGCCTGTCGTCCATCAGCATGACGCTTGTCAACAAGTACGTCGTGTCGGGCAACTCGTGGAACCTTCACTTGCTGTACCTCGCGATTCAGGTGAGTTTTGCGCGCCGTCTCAACTTGATGATGCCAAGCTAACGGGACCAGTCCATCGTCAGCACAGTCACAATCGTGGCCGGAAAGCAGCTAGGTCTGATCCGTGAGCTCGATGACTTTGACAGCCAGAGGGCCAAGAAGTGTATGCACCCCATGACGTTGCTGCCGTTTGCATGAGCGCGTCGCTGACCATTCAGGGTTCCCCATCTCTCTTCTCCTGGTGGGCATGATCTTCACCGGCAACAAGGCTCTCCAGTACCTCTCAGTGCCCGTCTACACCATCTTCAAGAACTTGGCCATTATCGTCACCGCCTATGGCGAAGTTATGTGGTTTGGCGGCAGCGTCAGCGCTCTCAGCCTTGTCTCCTTCTGCCTCATGGTCTTCAGCTCCGTGGTCGCGGCCTGGGCCGACTTCAGCAATGCCAAGTCAATCGCCTCGGCGGGTCTCAAGGCCGGTGCCCCTGCCGTCTCGACACTCAATGCCGGCTATGCTTGGATGCTCATCAACGTCTTCTGCTCTGCCCTGTATGTCCTAAGCATGCGAAAGGCCATCAAGTTTACCAACTTCAAGAACTGGGATGGTGAGTGCCCTTGGAAATTGTGGTCGCTGTTGTGCCCGGCTAACTCTGCGCAGTCATGTTTTACAACAACCTGCTTACCATTCCCGTGCTGCTGGTCGGCTCGCTCGTCATCGAGGACTGGTCGAGCGCCAACCTCATCAAGAACTTCCCTGTGGAGACGCGTCAGAGCCTCATGGTTGGCATGATCTACTCGGGTCTCGCCGCCATCTTCATCTCCTACTGCACGGCCTGGTGCATCCGCGCCACTTCGTCGACGACGTACGCCATGGCCGGCGCGCTCAACAAGCTCCCCGTGGCCGTGGCTGGTCTCATCTTCTTCTCCGACCCCGTCACTTTCGGTGGCGTCACGGCCATCTTCCTCGGCTTCGTCAGCGGCCTCCTCTACACGCTCGCCAAGAACAACAAGTCGAAGCAGTCGGGCCCCACGTTGCCGACGACGAACCAGGCGCCGATGAGCGCCAGCGCCCGCAGCGAAAAGGACGCCGCCAGCTCATGAAGACCCTCATGTTCCATCAAGCCGTGACGTCAAGCCTGCTCGCTCTAGAGGTGCACGAATACACGAGTCTGGGAAAACGGAGTTGGTCATTTCAGGATAGAGGGGGCATGTATTAACAAGATTGGTATGTAGCAGCTTTTAATTACAATAGATGACTTGTACGGCCAGACAACCAGCTTTCCCGCGGGCCAGTGCAGCGTGCCTCGCCTACTTCTTTTGCACGAGGTCCAGGTACTGTCCCACGACGTCCTTGACCTGCTTCTCAAACGACGTGTGAACGAAGCCAAACGTCTTTTCCGTCTTGGTGGCATCGGCCTTGACGGGCACCATGGGCAGGCTGCCGTTGTTGGGGAGCAGGCCGGACGCCACGGCCTCGGGGAAGTGCTTGGCGACGATCTTGGGGATCTCGGCGTAGTCTGAGGCGTTGAGCGTGCCGGTCGGGTTGTTGGACGAGACGATGTAGCTCGTGTTGCCCGGGATGGCGGGCTTCAGGGCATCGACATGCACGAGCGCCACGTCGTCGACGTGGACCGTCATGTTGGACAGGGGCGTCGGCGACTTGACGCCCAGCGCGACGCCGAGGATGATGCGGTTCGTGCCGCCGGCGAGCAGGCTCTTGGGCGTGGGGTGGATCTCCTCGGGGCCCATGACGAAGCTGGGGTGCACGTTGACGACGTCGAAGTCGGGCTTCTCGCGGGCCACCCACGCCTCCGTCTCGTTGAAGGCCGTGAGCTTGGACGCGCCGTACGCCTGGAACGTGTTCTGCAGCTCGCTCACGGGCGGCGCCTCGAAGCGCGACTCCGCCGTGTACACGTCCGTGGGGGAGCGCTTCGCCGTGTCGACGGGCATGAGCGCGGCGATGGACGACGTGATGACGATACGCCGCACGCTGCCGCCCGCACGCTTCGCCGCGTCGAGCATCCCCAGGGTGCCTTTCACGGCGGGCTCGATGAGCTCGCTCTCGTACTGGCCCGGGCCGATGTCGTCGCGCGCCAGCGGCGACGCGATGTGAATGACGTAGCGAACGTCGCCGCCCGCGAGCGCCGCGTCGTAGGCACCCGGCGCCATGAGGTCCGGGACGACGACGAAGGAGAGCCGCTCCGAGGGGAGGGCCTGCAGCGCGGGCACGGCGCGCAGCGAGTCGGCCTTGGCCTGCGAGCGGACGGCCGCGCGGACGGTGTAGCCGGCCTCGAGGGCGCGCACCAGCACGTGGAAGCCGATGTGGCCCGTCGCGCCGGTGATGAGGACCAGTTCGCCGCCCATGGTGGTGGTGTCTCGGGTGACTCGAGTATAAGATCTGAGAGAGAGTTGCGGTTGCAAGTGGTAAAAAGGGGCCGGTAGCCTTGGACTATGGTAGTATATCGTATGAAACACTGTTACTTCCGTGTGCTGATGGGTATCTTGGACGATGCTGCTGCTGCGACTTGCTTTGCCGACCGAGCTCCACGACGGCTTACACCGGTTTATATACTCCACGACGACACCGACGACGACGACGACCTCCCTCATAGCAAGCTCCGAGGCGCGGGCACCAATTGCGCAACCACCACCGCATTTCCAAGCAAGCCCGCGCCGCGCACACACACGCCAGCAGCCTTCACCCCATCCTGAAGCTTCCACGGCCCGGGCGTCTGTTTTTCCACGAGCTGAAAAAATGCCGTTCCCCGTCCCTCCTCGGCTCAATAGACCCAAAGCCAAAGGGCCGGGGCTTTCGCGACGATGGCGCCACCGACCCCCAAGCCAAGCCCGTCCTCGACGATAGGTAATGTAGGCAGGTAACTAAGGGCCCCCCCGTTCCCCCCTTTCCTCCTCGTTTGTGCTGTGCCGGCGGGCGGCCGAGGCGCCTGCGGGTTGGGCGTTCCAGGTCCGAACCGAGCTTGCTTGACTGCTGCGCTGGCATCGACGCCCGTCACTTTTTCGGCCCCGGGGCTTCCGTGACGGCCAGGGCGGGCGGGCGGCGGCGGCGGTGGTGGGGGGACGGGCATGGGAGAGGGGGAGGCTTGGCGGCTTCGATAGACGTGCGTCTGTTTCCAAAACACACATCTCTCAATCCCCATCTACATTACTCTGCTACTCGCGTTGAGGCACAGCGCTCGGCCGAGCATCCAGATCTGGAGTCCAGGGCCCCATTTTGCGCGACGTCGTGTGTCTTCTTTTTGCTTCAATTTGTAAGCCGAGAGAGGAACGAAAATCCTACCTACGTAGTTAAATCGTCCCTCGCGCGCCGAGATGGGTTTCGATTACTGAACCGAGTGCCGAGCGCGGGTGCTGACTGATTGATGCTCGCCCCCGTCCAGGTCCAGTGGTCCACGGCACTGGCACCGCACCGTACCGCACCCGCACCGCAGGCCGAACGGGCAAAGCGGCAGCAACGGCAGCGGGGCCGGCAGTCTGCAAGCCGGTCTGACCAAACACCCGTCGGTCAACAGCGCATCACGGATAATAACCCCCATCGAAAACCAAAAACAGAGATTCTCATCTCCCGGGCTCCTTCAGTTCAACCGGCGTCTTTGGTTCAAGGACACGGGGTCGAGACCAGCGCGCTGCCGCCTTGCCCGAGAGGCGCATGCAAGCAAGGAGCAACATCATGGGTGAAGACCCCCCTCCCCGGGGCTCTTCTCGCGTTGCCTCACCGCCATGGTCATCGCAGCTCCAGGTCACGGGCAAGACGTGTGCGTGAGCTAGAATCCCCGCGCGGCAAATACGTCCCGAAGGCTGCTTCTCCGTTGAAAGCTTGTTCATAGCGCTGCGGGAACCGGCACGCGGACGCTGGGCTTGGCCTGACCCCCGTTCCACAGCGAGAAGCGCTTGGCGTCCTCGGAGGTTCCAGGCGTCTCGGAGCTAAAAGGAACTGCATCCCTCTTCCCCGCCGTCGCAGGGCTTCCGCTCGGAACGACCTCAGCGTCGGTGCCATACAGGCGGCAGGCGGCAGCCGACTGACCCGAAATACATCACGACATACACGTCACACGGCATCATGCGGTAACAGTCTCACCAAAGCACAGGACTAAAACAAGCGGCCGGCCAAGGCGCTCACAGCTGCCACATGCATCAGGACTTCCGTCCCATGTATTCAAACAATGCTCGTCATGCGCGCTGAGCTCAACTGACGGGTGCCGACAACGCAGCCGCGCAATAACCGGACGACCCAAACGCCGCATCCCCGATGCTTCATGCCGCCGCGCACCCTGTCCTCCGATCCCCGTTTTATAAGACATGAGAATATGAGAATAGCAAGCAAAGTAGGCAACGGGGTGCTTCTCGGAACGCGGGCAGTATCCCTGTGGTGCGCTCTCGGCCCAAGGCGCTGCAGCGAAGCTTGCTCGATTCGGCCAGTGTGTTGAAACAGGACGTCTCGTCATGCCGGTTCGCTCGCTGGATACTCGCTGGCTTCGATTCTGGCCCCCCTTCAATTAATACTATATTCGAACGCGCTGGACACGGCGCGGAAAGGTGCAAAGTGCTGAAGGTCCACGGTGCAGGAGTCGATCAGGACGCGCTCAGTGCAGCTTGGTCGCGTCGCGGGCCTGCTTGTTGGCAATCTGCTTGTCCTTCGGGATCGTGAGGGCGTTGATGCCGAGGAAGTTGCAGATGCTCGTGATGACCAGATACGCCCAGCGGAAGTAGACGACCAGCGCAAAGGCAAAGTACGCCCAGAGGTAGTACAGCTCGGCCACGGGGCTGATCTCGGGCAGGCCGAACAGGGGCAGGTTGCCGACAATGGCGCCGCCGACCAGCGGCCACAGCATCACGGTCCAGTACGGGAAGGGCTGGCGCGTCAGGTGCGCGAGGATCATCTTGGTGGTGAAGCGGCCAAAGACAAAGGACATGGTGAGGCAGAAGAGGATGAGGTGGTTCTCACGCATCAGCGTGCTGTACGGCGAGAAGACCCAGGCGCCGATGCAGATGGTGAAGACGGCCATGGGTGTCCACTCGAGAAACACGGGCAGCACCGGCTGGTTGCGCTTGCGCCGCGCCTGGACCACGTTGAGGACGCAAAAAGGAATGTGCCCCACGACGAGCGAGATGACGATGATGCCGACCCAGATGTCCCGGAACGTCGTCTTTCCCAGCCACTCGCGCAGCCCGGGCAGCGACTCGCCAAAGATGTCGGCCAGCGGCTGCGTGTAGATGCCGGGGCCGTAGATGCCCGAGAGGATCATGATGCCGCAGGCGATGAGCAGGCCCTCGGTCGGTCCGTTGAAGACGCCAAGGTACAGCGTGTGCGTGTGGTACGTCTCCCACGTCGAGAAGAACATGGGCAGGCACGGGCACAGGGCCGTGAAGATGCCGGCGGGCGACGTGCCGAGGCCCATGGCCGCCGTCTCGAGCAGACTGGCCAGGGTGCAGTTGAGGGAGTCGATGCCGTGGTCGAACAGCTCGCCCAGCCCGCTCGACGTGCCCGTCCGTCGGGCCTGCTTGCCGTCGACGTTGTCCATGGTCTGGTACATGAAGAGGCCAAAGGCGAAGCTAAAGTACAGCCATGTCGGTCCCTAGACGGCCGCGCCGCGTCAGCACCTCGTGGTCGCGTGCTCCCTCTGCAGGGCTACTTACCGGGCCGACCAAGTCGGGCATGTAGATGATGAGCAGGCCAATGTTGCCGAGGATGAAGAAAAACCCCAGCAGGGTGACCATGTTGGGGGCGAGCCATAGCGGCAGGAGCTCGACGAAGAAATTCCACTAGTCTATCGTCAGTGTCTTGTCTTGATGCTCGGTCGCAGAGTCTTGGCGACGGGAGCTATAGAAAGCTGGCCGCTCGCGCAGACCAGGGGTCGGAGATCGGGGGGGTGCGCACCCAAGGGCCGAGGATGTATTTGGACACGGGGGACTTGTCGACGCTCGAGTACTTGTACGACTTGAGGTGGATGAGCGCCTCGTCCGAGATGCACTCTGCCGTGGCTTTTTCTGGCCGTGGTTGACGAAGCGTTAGCATTGTTGCAGACGAGCTGGCGGTCGGCATGCGCCGAGACGCCCCCCCAAGTCCACCCGCGCGCACGGGCGACGCAGCGCGACGGCAAAAGATCGACGCGACGCGAAGGGGGTCCGGGGGCATCACTCACTCGTGTTGGGCGCCATGGTGCTCGGGTCGTCGTGTTCGAACAGCGGCAGCGTCTCGCTCGAGGACGACATGGCCGGCAGGAGGAACGGGGGGAAGGACGGGAGGGCGGTTGGTGACGGGCGGCGGCCGGGTGGAGGGGCAGGCTATAAAGGCGATGCACGTCGGCTGCAGGAGAAGCGACGGCGGGCTTTGGAGGCGCGTGAATGGGCGGACGGAGCAAGACGGCGAAAGCGTGCTGCAGCAATCGCCTTGGCTAAGCCTTCAACGCATGGATGGATGGATGGATGGACGGATGGAGGAGGTGTCTCGCAAGGGATTCCCAAAAACCGGCGGCGCGCACATGGACAAAAAGGTCACTTGGACTGACCCTTTTCACCCTTTGCCTGCTGGCGCGGCCTGGACGACCAGTGGGGTGATTGGCCCGCCAGACGGGTCGCCGGCCAGATTCGCAGATTCCCACGCCGCCAATTCGTTGAGAGGCGCTGCATGGCGTTGGGAGGTGGCCCCTGGAGCCCCTGTACCAGCAGCCGCACACAGTGTTCAGGGGGGGGGGGGCNGGGGGGCCTGGGGAGTGGAGTGGAGGGCCGCGGGCAGGGCTCCAGCAGGGCCAGCCCAGTGGAGCTCTACACGGGCACCAGTGGGCAGTCCACAGTCCACAGGGCCCTCAGGCGGAAGCTGCCAGCGGCTGTGCTCCCGTCCCGTCGGCCAAGGTACCGCCGCAAGGTTCAGGACCCACACAGGATTGGCTGACCTGGCCCTGCGGTCTGTCGAGCAGCTGCTAACGATTCAACAATGTACCTCGGGATGGCGCACCCGGCCCAGCTAACCAGAGGTCACGGGCCCCCCTTTCCATCGACAAACTTGTGATCGAGGTCACCAGGTCCATGGTACGAAGTAACGCGAGGAGGAACCGACCGCAAGCCCAGGGTCACTTGTTGGAACGGGAATAGCACGAACCTCGCCTGCACGTGAAGGACGCGGCCAGCGGCCATTGTCGGCTTCAGCAACCACGGCTTCAGCAACCACCTCAGGCACGGGCACGATGCAGGTGAAGATGGATGCAGATCCAACAAATCGACCAGACGCCGGGTTTTTCGATGCCCGTCGGTTTTTGATTCGCGCCCTGCGGTCGGGATCATGCCGAGCCCAGCCAACAGCAACAAATCTCCAGTCCGCTTCAGGTTTTGTTGACGTCAGCCCCTATTTTCTTATACGAAGCGGAGCGACGACCTGCAGGCCTGGAAGCGAGGCGAGGTACAAGAGTACATGACAGGGCGACGGGAGGTGAGAGAGAGAGAGAGAAAAGGTACAAGGCACGACAACGTAAAATCAGCACAGCCCGCCCCCGAGGCAACGCAAATAAATGGTCGGTCGGCTTTCCTCATTTCATCAGAAATAAAAAAACTCGCTTTGGTGCGTCGCTCAATCAAATCAAACCAGAATCCACCTTGGGCTCGCCATTAGAAATTATCCGCCACAGCACAACTCAACACGGACACGGGGCACGAAGCAACCCCCCCAGACCGCCGTCTGACCAGCCTGCACCCGGGGACCGACCATCGCCAATTGACCCAAAAACGCCGGGAACGAGTCCAAACACCCGCGGCTGTCCCATGCAAACCGAACCATAAACCAGACTGTCAAATGCAAACTCCCCCGCCCGCCCGCAGGGTCTCCGCCGGCGGGCAGAGGCATCCCGGGCTTGTGCTCGGGCGCGGGCTCGGGTTCGGGGACGCCCCGCCCCGCTGTCGTATGTGGTCTCCCGTCGTGATGTACGTGACTCCGCCGCCCTCGCCGCAGCGGCTGCCGTCGTGCGACACACACGCACGCCCGGCTACAGCAGAGCAAAGCCCGCGAACAGGCCCGCCATGACCATCACCAGGCCGTACGCCTGTCCGACCTCGAGCGCCACGGCCGCGCCCTTCTTGTCGCTGCTCGAGCCGCTGCCGCCGCCCGGCGCCGTGAAGATGGTGTTGGCGTCGGTCGTCGTGGCCGTGGGCGTCGACGTCGAGGCCGTCGAAGTGTACTTCTTGGGGTCGGTGGCACCGCAGGGGTGCTTCTCGCGGCAGGCCGAGGCGCACTTGTTGTCGTTGCCGCACGCCTTGACGCACTGGTTGCCCCATTCCTGGCAGACAAAGTAGGGCAGCGTCAGGGTGTACTCGGACACGTTGGGCCGCTGGTTGTTGCCGCACAGGCAGCCGTATGTGAGTGTCTCCTGCAAAGGGGGGGTCAGCGAACGTGCCCGAGATGCTCGTTTGGCAGCGTGCGGGACCTTACGGGATCGCATGTGTTGACAAGGGTCTTCTGGGGCTCCATCTGCTGGCAGATGATGGGGCAAGTGGTCTGCTCGTTCCGGCACCAGGCCTCTGTTGGGCATCAGTCTTGTCCTTGAAAGCTCAAGGCTCTTCCGGGAGAAGCTCACGTCTAGTGCTCAGCGGCACGCTATCCGGGTCGATGGAGTAGTCACCCTGGGCGACGGCGGCGAGAGTAGCCACGACGGCCAGGACGCCGGAGCGGAGGAAATGCATCGTAACAGGCGTGAATGTGTAGAGGTAGAGTGATCGGTGCCAGGCGTCGACGGGCTGTGCTGAAATCAGGCTACACGTGGCTGTCAGTGTCCAATTCTCACTTGGGCATCGCCGGCCAGGCCACTGCTTGTCCGAGGAGCAGGAGTACGGGGCGCTGGTTCTCACAGGTAAACGAGGGCAGCGAGCGAGCAGAAGCGACAGGGCACAAGGCTGGGCTTATGGATAGCGAGTGTTCAGCAGCCAGCAGCGAGACAGCACCAGGACGCAACGAGAGGCGAGGCGAGGCAGACGGACGGAAGGACGGGACAGGGACTGTCTCTTATACACATCTAGATGTGTATAAGAGACAGGCACAAGGCTGGGCTTATGGATAGCGAGTGTTCAGCAGCCAGCAGCGAGACAGCACCAGGACGCAACGAGAGGCGAGGCGAGGCAGACGGACGGAAGGACGGGACAGGGAGGAGAAGAGAAGCTGTGCAAAAGCAAGCCGGCGTGGCATGGGCCGGTACGGTACTTGTACTGTAGCTCGCCATCTCCCACGGTCCGGCCGACCTGCCATCTGCCTGCGGCACCAAACGACCGGGGCGTCTGAAACCCCAATCCGGACCCCTGCTGTGGTGGCTCTTGATACCTGGGCCTGGCAGCTCCGTAAGAAGAAGCAGCAGCAGCAGTAGTAGCACAGCTCGGCAGCCCATCTCGCTACGTCCAAGCCAAAATTATCCACCAGGTGGCGGTCGGTGGCCCGAGAGTCGGGGTGCGTGTGGAGAGCAGCCAGCGGCGTGGACGCTTGGCCTGGACTCTCGTGCGGCCTCAGCGCCGCCGTCGCCGTTCGCCCCCTTCCCCCTCCCCGAAAGGGGCGAGAAAAGGAGAGGAAAGGCCACGCCGCGCGCGGGATGGAATGGAACAAGATGCAGCGTCATGCGCGACAGCGCCCGGTTGCTTCGGCGCCGCAGCGTCACAAGTGACGAGCAACGGGGACTGGTAGGCAGACAATCGGACGGACGTTGGGCCCATCCATTGAATGCACGGGCACAAAGTTGCACCCAGGTATGTAATTGCTTGTTGCTGGAGGGTTGTCATGGTTGTGCGTCCTGTCTCAGATGCCAAGCGCACGGCGGACCCCGTTCCACTGACAGCCACCATAAGTGACACCGTTGGCAAGCGTTGGGGCTCCATGCCCACCGCCCGAGCTAGGTATGGGTACTACCAGACTGCGCTAGAACGACAGCTCCGGGGTCCACCATGCCACCCATGGAGGTCAGTGGGGGGCGGTCCGGTGCTCTTTGTCCGCCAGGGCCCCGTTGCTCTGGGCGGCGATGCCGGCTTGCCCCAGCTAGCTTGAGCCGCCGCCCCAGAAGCCCCCCGGACCGAACGCCGACGAGGGCATCGCCAGTGTTGGAGATAGATGGCGGGTTCCTTGGTCGCCCGAACGCCTTCACCCGTGAACGTCCTAACGTCCGCCCGCTGAACTGAAATCCCCAAAACACCCAATGCTACCTGCCGCAAGCGGGATCAGCCCGGCGCGGGGCCTTGCATCCTTTCGTATTTGCCTTTGCTGTCGCATCCATAGCTAACCCCATCCCTGCGTGCATGCATCCACGAAGCGAAAACGATGGAGGCGAGGCGGCAGTTTCGTCAGCAGCAGGGTCTCGTCCTGCTACTGATACCTAAACCATCCAACATCCCCGCCGCACGCTAAAATACCCAGTAGTAGCACGTAAAAGCGAAGGTTCAATGCCGAGCCTCACGGGCAACGGAGTTCGTAAATCGGATGCGTTCATTCCAGGTGTTGCCGCGAGGACCAGACCACCACCACCACCCGCTAACTTATCGCTGCTAACCACCAACCACATCGGCATCGTCAACCACCAGCAGCCCAGCCCACTCCCACCAGCCCCTCTTCCCCCCTCTCAAGCTGCGAGCAGCTCGTTCGAATAGGGCGAGCCACAAGTGAGGGGGCGCACGAGGGGCGCGACGCCGCCGCCGGGCCATCGAACACGAGAAACTGCGCAGGGCCAAGGGGAGGGGCAACCCGGCGAGCACGGCGGGAGGGCTGGCGGAGTCAGATCCTCAGCATGACGCCAACCTACCCAGAGGCTGGAAGCGGATACGCATGACGCCGCCCAGGGTCGAGCTCAGTCCGCCACCCCAGGGGGAGGGAAAGCTTGCTCGAGAAAGTGGCGCTCCGGCCGTCTTGAAATTCTCCTAGGGTGCAGAATGCCAGCCATTGCAAACTCAGGGTGACCGTCGAACGTTCCAAGGCGAGCGGGTATCTGCCCTGCAGAATGCTACGTATGAGGAGCATGTCTCTCGACGTGGGGGGGGGCCAACTGGCGTCGTCGGCCGGCTGGGAACAGCGGCTGTCAGATGCATCGTCTGCATGACACCGCCCCAGTGCATACGGCTGCAGATTCGCCGCCGCACCATGGCGGGGTGGCCGCTGCGTGAGGCCACGCCGTCCCGCCACCGGCGTCGAAACCAAAAGCCTCAGGGTCCCACGACGACGAGTCTCCTCCTCCCAAGTACGAGGACACGCACGCAAGTCTGCCCGTGTGCCGCTATCCGCGCCCCTCTCAGACTACATTCGAACGGACGGAGCATGCCGGGCCACTACGTCCGGGTCTGGGCTCGAGTCGGCGGGCTTCTCAACACGAGCTCGTCGCAGGCGGCCAAGCAACAACGGAGGCGAAGCCGCGGCGGGTGGCCAGGGGCGAGACCGGAGTTGGGTAGACGCCGTGGTGGTATGTGGAATTGCGGATGCGGGTTTCTTCAAAAAACCGGTACGCCGGACCGCTCCGCTCGATGTGACCGCAGCAGTTTTCGAGAACTCGCCGGCCGAGAGCCCCCATGGACTGGGACGGCCGCAACGTTCCAGGTTCTCTCGCCCGTTCCCCAGTTTATACGCTCGGCTCCACGCAAACACGCCCGTCTTCAATGCTCCACCGCCCAAAGACAGGTGTTTCACGTCTTGCATCTGGCTGGCGCCTGGCACGGGCACGGTGGGTGGGACGCAGACAGACCTGGCAAGTACCTAGGTGAATGATATAATAATGGAGCTGGCCGTCTGTCCGACAATGGCGGCGTGACGACCGATTTGGCCTTTGTCAGGCTTCGCAGACACGTTGTGCGATGCGAGGCCTCTAGTGGGCGAATCCGCCCCGAGACTCTGGTCTGGGTTGTGACGAGAGATTCAATTGCTGGCATGTCTCGCACCCGGCGGATGCAGGTCGCGCCCTGAGGTCCCGTCGTCGCTGTCTTTCGCGGGCGGCGTCAGGTGCACGCCGGGAAGGGGCTGTGCTGGAGAGCTCGATGCGGTTTGCTGCTGAAGCCCGGCTTGCTGCCCTGCCGTCGAGGCTCTGAGCATAGGTGTCTATCCTCTCACGACAAGAGAATCAGTGAAGCGGAGCTCCGAATTCTTTAGGTGGTGGCTCAAGCTGGAACCTGGAAGCTGAGCTGTCCCAGCCCAGCAGTGCCCAGGGCCTCCGGGCACAGCATAGGAATAGTGGGGCCTACCGTTCCGGCACCTGAGCTCCGCGCTATGGATGCCATGCCATGCCCTGCCCTGCTCTGGTGCGCCCCGGCCAGCGCTGCAGGTGCTCCCGTCCATGACGTTCATGTTGGACGATATCCAATTCGCACTCGAGCAAGCTGCGTCTCCCACATCGCACCGCCCGAGCTGCACCGTCAACCCCGGCGCAAACCACATTCTTACGCAGCATTTGGTATCGCCCGCAGCGACCCGCACAAGCACCGCGCGACATCCTTGACGCCTTCTTAGCCTGCGGCACGGCGCGCGACACTGCAAGATTTGCGCCGCCCTTGCGCGCCGCCGCGCGACACAGGAAATCCGAACCCCCCGCCGCCCTCCCTTTCGACCTCGCGCAGAAACAAGCTGCCAGCAGAGCTTTCCCGACGCAGCGAGACACACATGAGCCACGCCCCTCGCATGGCCGGATGGCGTCGGCGGTAGACACGGACGCGCAGCGAGCGCCCGGCGGCAGCGACCTGGTCGCCGAGACACCGGCCCCTGCCAGCGGCACACCTGCTGCACCGGCGCAGCCTACCGGCACCACCGCAACAACCACCGGCAGCGGCAGCGGCCATGGCGACGGCGGCCAGGACGACGACGACGACGACGGGCACCTCGCGTCGTCGATGATGTCCCTGACGTCGGTCACGTCGCCGCCGTACTGGCTCAACTCGGGCGTCCACCAGCACCAGCGCAGCGCCTCGAGCCTGTCGGCCGACTCGCTGCCCGCCGGGGCCATCACGCTGCGCGACAACGACACGAGCGAGCACAACGACCGCAACGACGCCTGCTGGGCCAAGAGCGTCGAGATTGTCGACTATACCGTCGTCAACGGCAGCGCGACCAACATCGGCGCCTTTGTCGTGTGGATCGTGCGTGTCGAGACGCTCAACGTGGGTTTCCTTCCATCCCGGTCATGGCCTCTGATCTCCCACCTCATATATCCCCTGTCGGCAGCGCAACTGCAAAATGTCTGCTGACTCGGCAGGCACGCACAGGGCAGCTACATGAACATCCGGAAGCGCTACTCCGAGTTTGACGACCTGCGTCGGCGGCTCATGCAGTCGTTTCCGGGCTTTGGTGCCGCGGTCCCGGAGCTGCCGCCCAAGAGCGTCATCTCCAAGTTCCGGCCCAGGTTTCTCGAGAAGCGGCGGGCGGGCCTGCAGTACTTTCTCAAGTGCGTCTCGCTACCAATGCGTACCTACCTGATATACCTTGCACGTGCCTGTTCGCCGTGGCAGTGCTGACCTTGCCCAATGTAGTTGCATCATGCTGAACCCCGAGTTTTCGGGCTCACCGGTCCTCAAGGAGTTTTTGTTCTCATAAGGGCCACTTGGGCCCCCCTTCTATTCTTCTCTTGGATATATTCGGTTGGTCACCATTAGCGGTCACGGCGAGTCGCATGACGCGAGATGAGCATACAGACGGCTTTGAAAGCGAAGTCGTTGTCTCGGGTCGCATCGGCACCGGGTCCTGTACTACCACTACTATTACTTAACTCATGAGGGAGCATGGCAATGGAGGAGAAAGTCTGCCTTGCGGGCGCGCCGCCGCGGGCGGTAATGAATGATATAATGCATAGCTGCGCAGCGCGGCGTGGTCAGAGGTCGACTGAGCCCGCAGATCCTGAGACTATCGTGCGCCATCGCTGTGGCTTGGATCTGGCTGGATCTGGGCCCCGGGCATGTTCCGGGTCCGGTGTACCGAGCCGGATTCGCGCATCCTGCTGCTCCGCCTCGCCCAGGCTGCCTCATCGCCCGCGCCGACGCGGCCACCAGGGGATCTTTGCCTTGCGAATGCTGCTCCTGCCGCCGCTGCTTCGGCTGTTTGGAGATTTTGATTCGGTTCTGTGGAACCCCTCCCCCCCACGTCTCCAAGGCTTGGCCCGTTGCTGCGTTGCTGCTGAGCCCTGCGCGGCTAGGATGCGCGAGGTGGCAGCTGGCCGAGCAGGCCGAGAGAGCGAGCTTCGTCTCGCCGGCGCGGACGGACGCGTTGCGACGGGAGTGTCCTGCCCTACCCTGCCCTGCCATTCATAACGTAAATTGGAACCCGCCACCGTCCACGACGCCTTTCTTGCGATTCTCCCTTCCTGCGCACTGAAGACTGACGGTGACCGCGGCGACTTCTACTGTTGTCCTTCCATTCCATCCTCCAACGTTAACAGCGCCACGTCCCACGCAATACCTTACTTGCCGAAGTTACTTAACAACGAGCTCCGGCGTCCATCGACTGCTGCGCGATCCGTCGCCGACTTCAACACCTGCCGATGCCTCACGACTACCACCATCCCGATTTGCCGCTACCCGTGAGCAAAGGCTAAGAAAACAGGGCATCGCATCGCACCCTTTCCAAACTACCGCTCGAGCCTTGCCAAGTCGGGATCCCCAACCGGTGACAGCCCATGCTCGTCGGCGGCGTTCAGCCTTGTAAACCACACCGGGCCAGCGAACCCCCCGCCGCCACCCGCACGCTGCTGCAGGATAAGCCCCGCCGACGATAGCTAGACGATAGCTCCGTCCAGACTGGAGGATATAAAACGGCCCCCGTCAGCGGCCCTCCCCGCCCGGCCTGGACCATGTCCGTCGACAGCGGCCGCCATCTCTACCACCGAGGACGGAGAAGAAGCAGCTGTAGCAGCGCCATCAGCGAGCGCCCCGTCGAGACCGTCCCCAAGACAAAGGAATACATGGACTCGCTCGTGCCGCCCGACAAGGACCAGTTTGAGCACATCGCTCACGTCCAGGCCGAGAAGGAGAGCGAGGCGAAGCGCCGCGCCCGGGAGCAGCGCCGCAGCGCATCCCTCTCCGTCTCATCCCTCGGCAATGGCTCCTCCAAGGACGAGCGCGCCGCCGCCGCCGCGCGCGTCATCCAAAAGACGTTTCGCGGCTACCGCGCGCGGCGCGAGATGCAGGGCTACAGCCTCGACGCCGGCACCCGCTGGGTGACGGCCATCCGCGAGGCCCAGTTCCGCCAGTCCACCAAGCCGCGCGCGCGCCTCGGCGCCAGCGACACGGCGGCCGGCAGCGAGGTGCTGGCGCTCGAGGACCCCGTCGACACGCGCCCGTCGAGCGCCCGCATGAACTGGAAGAAGGCGAGCCTCGTCGCCCGCCGCGCCGGCCACGACGACCTCGACAGCGACTCGTCCTCGGACAGCGACGACTATAGCGACATGACGCCCGAGGAAAAGGCCGCCGCGAGGAAGAAGCGCGAGCGGGCCATGGCGGAGCGCAAGCAGGCCGCGCGCATGATGGGCCTGCAGTACTTTCTCGAAATGGTCGACTCCAAGCATCGCTACGGTAGCAACCTGCGCATGTACCACGAGGAGTGGAAGAAGTCGGACACGACCGAAAACTTCTTCTACTGGCTCGACTACGGCGGCGGCAAGAACATCGAGCTCGACACGTGCCCGCGCGACCGCCTCGAGCGCGAGCAGGTCCGCTACCTGTCGCGCGAGGAACGGCAGTACTACCTGGTGAGGGTAGACGACGAGGGCCGCCTGTGCTGGGCCAAGACGGGCGCGCGCATCGACACGACGGAGCAGTACAAGGACAGCATCCACGGCATCGTCCCGGCCGACGACACCACCCCGGCCTTCAACCCGGCCGCGCACACGGCGCACCCCGTCGACGAGGACGGCGCCGGCAGCGACACGAGCTCCGTGTCGTCAGCCGAGTCGCGCCGCGAGGCGGACCGCGCGGCCAAGTACGCCGACTCCGGGCTGGACGAGTCGCACGGCATCAAGAAGGTGACGCACATCTCGGCGTCGACCATCTTCAACAAGCTGCTGCGCAAGTCGGTGCGCAAGAACACGTGGATCTTCGTCGCCGACACGTCGTTCCGGCTGTACGTGGGCATCAAGGACTCGGGCGCGTTCCAGCACTCGTCGTTCCTGCAGGGCAGCCGCATCTCGGCGGCGGGGCTCATCAAGATCAAGAACGGGCGGCTGTCGTCGCTGTCGCCGCTGAGCGGGCACTACCGCCCGCCGGCGTCCAACTTCCGCGCCTTTGTGCGCAACCTCAAGGACGAGGGCGCCGACATGAGCCACGTGTCCATCTCCAAGTCGTACACGGTGCTCGTCGGCCTGGAGACGTACGTCAAGACGCGCCGCAAGGGCAAGGACTTCCTCGACAAGCTGGTGCGCCGCCGCGACAAGATGGTGGCGCCCGACGAGTTCCGCCGCAGGCAGGAGGAGGAGAAGGACAAGAGCGAGAGCGCCGAGAAGGAGCGCCGCGTCCTCGAGCAGCAGAGGCGGGAGGAGGAGGCGGCGCGGGCGGAGGCGAGCACCGGGGACAGGGTCGTGGAGAAGCTCAAGAGCATACCGACGCACGTGAGGAGTTGAGGGGGGCTATGGAGGCAGCTTGGGCGGTACCTACCTATATGATGAGCGACGGCTGTTTGTTTGTGGAGGAGGCATAGAGAGTATACCCCGGCGGTTTTGCATGACTTGTCACATCAATATCAAACACTGATGATGGAACTTCTCGTGGTACGTGTCAAGACACCTGCAAACGACAAGCGTTGGCAATGAATGACGTAACATTTGAATGAAAACTTGACGGGCAGGATAATGATACAGTTCGTACCGCGTCACACAAGAGCAGCATCGAACGTGAAATCAATACCGGTGCAGGGTAAGCTGCATTTAATCACCAAGTGAAGCTGCAGTGAGTGAACGTCTGTGCTCACGGGTCCACAACAAAAGAAACTGACAGGAACGCGCGACGCTGGCGCCACCGCCCACTGAGCTCAAAGCACCGCGCGCGAGGGGGGCAAGGGGGCGGGCGGCGACACAAAACCCCCCAAGGCCACCTGGGCAGGTGCGCACACTGTAGGGGCCCAGAAAAACAGCGGCCCCAGCGCTGTCCAAGCGCTGTCTGGCTCCCCCTTTAGGGGACCCCCCGCGGCAGGCAGCGCCGCCAAACGCGCTGGATAGCCTCAACCTAACGCTCTGGCGTCGCACGGAAACCGCCAGCGATCAATCCAGACAACTCGCATCCGCACCCCCCCTCAATCCGCCCATCGCCCATCGACAACTCGCCCGGGACGCGTCGCCTCCATCGCAGAAGCCATCCCGCGAGGCAGCGACAAGACCATGCGAGGCCCCTGCACCGTCGCCAATGGCCTCCGTCACCCGCTCCAACCGGCGAGCTGAAGGCCTCCCTCACCATCCCCATTCCGCCAGCGCTGTGGTCGCCGCCGCTGGCGGTGCTGTCGGCGGGCCCCTCGCGGGCCCAGCGCCGGCGGCAGGCCTGTACCCTCACGACGGGCGCCAGAAGCGCGGCCTCGACGCCGCGGATCGCGACATCGACGCCTTCAGGGCCAAGAAGACGCGCATCGCCGTCGAGATTTTGTCCAAGCCGACGCCCAACGACGCCGGCCCCAGGGCCAGGGCCCCTCCGATACCGCGACCGCCGCACCACCAGCTCCAGCACCCACAACAACATCAGCACCAGCATCTGCACCAGCAGCAGCAGCCGCAGCAGCATCACCACCAACACCACCGCCACGCCCACATACAGCCCTTGCCGCCGCAGGCGGCCGCGGCCAGACCTCCGCCGCAGGCCACGGCCGCGGACGCGGATCCGAACCTTACAAAGCACCAGGCCAAGGTGATCAATGGCATCAAGCACGAGCTTGACCGGCTGCACCCTCAGCACCCCGTCGCGCCGAGGGAACAAGGCCGCAAGCTCCGCTCCCAGGAGGCGACCCGCTTCAAGAGCGACCTGTCGGCCTATTTCCCTGACTACGACGAGGTCATCGGCAATGACCCTAAGGAGCAGCGTTCGTGCACTCTCCCAGCTTTGACCTCCCCTCTGCTGTGGCCGCTCTCTGACCTTACTGCAGACCTGCTGAACCCCGAGACACCGATTGTTGTTGTCGACTCGCGACGCGAGGCCCCCGGGCCCGTCCGAGGGTTACCGAGACCACCTCTCCAGCCGAACCAACCTGCTGTCGAGTTCCCCGTCCGCGGATACGGCGACTCGCTATACAACGACGTGTTTGACTCGCAGCGGATCGACTTTCGGTTCCTGGAGCCGCAGCAGACCAGCAGGAACCTCGAGGACCCTCTGCCCGACAGCCTGTTCGAGCCGATACACAAGCGCGCCGAGCGGCTGGAGCGGTCGATTCGCAACTCGGAAAAGGGACGCGCCCAACATGAAAAGGACCAGATCATCCGGCTGCTCGAGGGCCTCCAGGGCCACGACTGGCTGAGGGTCATGGGCGTGAGCGGCATAACGGAAACGAAGAAGAAGACTTTCGAGCCGGCGCGGGCCTACTTCATCAAGGGATGCCAGGCCATCCTGGAAAAGTTCAAAAACTGGAACTTGGAGGAGCGCCGGCGGAAACAAGAACGGGAGAAAGCTTTGGCTGAGCAGGCGGCTGAGAGCAAGAGCGACGAGCAAGATGAGGAGGAGCGCAGCGCCCAGGACGACGAAGAGCAAGGGGAAGAGGAAGAGGAGGACGATGCAGAGGAGGAAGCGGACGAGGACAGGACCATGCAAGGCACGGGCGCCGACCGGGAAGAGTCGGAGGACGTGTCGACGTCACAAGACGACACCAGCGAGGCCTCGTCGCCCGCCAAGCAGCTCCGTCAAGAGGCAATGGCGAGATCGCGCATGGCCGCTGCTCTCAGACAGGCGCGGTCAGCGAGGCCGACGCCGCCCAGGCCGCCAGAGACGCCGCGCGAATTCAAATCGTTCTTCAGCAAGCGATATGAGCGCGAAAGTGCGCTCAACAAGAACCGGCGCACGGGCAGAAAAGTCATGGCATGGGGTCATCCGCTGCCCGAGCTCCCGGAGGCCGATTTCGTCCTGCCAGAGGAGTACCGAGACTCGGAGACGCTCAAAGCGCGGGCTAGGAAGAAGCGCAGGGACAAGCGCGGCAGCAAGCCGTGATGTAATATCGAGGATAGAGCGTTGTGATACCATTTGCTGGGGCGTTTCCTCGCCTCTCGCGCAGGCAGGGGAAGGGAAAGGATTCACTGACTTGGGGCCTGGCGGGCACGGGGTGTTGGCATGGCGTTTTTGGGGGGAGGACGACGGGCGTGGGATGGGACTCTGGACCGGACATTTTGTACCAAGTAGGATTACTTACCACTGGCTGAGGACGCGCAAGCTGGCTCGAGTCATGTCGAGCGGCTTCCAAGCGATTCGCTGCCGGGAACAGTGAGCTTCAATTCGCCGCACGCGCGGTTTTGTGTTTGGCGCAGATAATGTGCAGTGCGCCGTGTCGGTGCTAGGATGGGAGGTTGCTGTTTGTTAGTGAGGCGGCGGTGGCTGCTGTCGCTGCGATCTCAGATCCACGGGCCCCATCGATGCGGCGGCCCCAAGCCGCACTGCGCTAGGTGGTCCGTGCACCCAGAGCTTCCACTCCACGCGTGGCCGCCTCATGAACGCAACTTCACTTTCCAACCACCCATCTGCGCCGAATCCAACCCTCAGCGCGCCCCCTCCCCGAACTGCCTGCCGTCGCCGGAGCGCTGGCATTGTTAAGTCATCCCTACCGACCCTTGCGCGCGAGTGCGAACCATTCGGCGCGATCCTCCCAGCCACCGAGCCGAGTTCCTGCTCTGCCATGAGCGCGACTGCCTGAAGCCTCGAACCGAGTCGAAGAGCGCCCGCGCGGGCCAGACGGGGTGGACATCGATGCAAGGCCCCTTGGGAGCGAGCTCGTCGGAGCGCTACGCTGTTTGAGCCGCCGGCCTCTACGCACAGCGCGGCGATTGGAGGCCGCCTCTACGAGTCACCGCGGCAAAGCTCGTCCACGGGCAAACCAGCAGCACCATGGGCGACGCCAACGGCGAGCGGCACCCGCTGCTCGATGCCGACGACGGCCTGCCCCCCATCGGCGACAGCCCCGTCTGCGAATACTTCATCGTCAAGCAGGAGGTGAATCTAGACGTCAACTTTCGCGACCGCCGCATCGACGGCACGACGGACATTTACGTCGTCACATTTAGCGAAAAGGTGGAGGACGTAATCATCGACGCCGCGCATTGCGAGGTCGACACGGAAAACGTCACAGTCACCGAGATCCGCGAGTCGCAAGGCGAGGCCGTCGAGGGCCAACCGCGCAAGGCCGCGACCGAGTATGTCGACCCGTACAAGAAGCTCTCGCACCCCAAGGGCTGGAACTGGAGGGCCGAGCACCACGACCTGCGCCGCATGCGCGCCCGCGACATCTTTCACACCCGCAAGTCAGACGTTGCCGCCGAGACTAGAGAGCTCGTGGGCTGCACGCTGGTGTACGGGTCGCTCAAAGTATCACTCAAGGGCAAGGGCGAGCAGGAGCGGCCGAGACTCATCATCCGCAAGTCCATGTCGAACCTAGACGGCGCGGAGAGGATGCACAAGCAATTCAAGATCCGCGTGCCCTTCTACAACAAGGATCCCCGCGACGGGCTGCACTTTGTCGGCGTGGACCACCTCGACAGCCGATTCACGCACATGTACACGAGGCACTCGCTCCAACCCGGCACGGCCTCGTGCATTTTCCCTTGCGTCGACGATCACGGCGCGCGCTGCGACTGGCGGATATCGCTCAAGTTCCCGAAAACGCTCGGCGACGCCCTCCAGCAGGCGCTGGTCACGCAAAAGGACACGGGCGTGAATGGCACGCACGACAAGGCGCATGCCGGTGGCGAGGATCTCAAGCTGGCCGAGGAGGACAAGCTACGAGAGATGACGGCGGTGTGCTCTGGCTTCCTTATGGAGGAGGCCGTGGATCCAAAGGACGACCGCAAGAAGATCATGGTCTTCGAGCCCGAGAAGAAGGTGTCGGTGCAAAAGCTCGGCTTTGCCATCGGGCCCTTTGAGCATATCGACTTGTCTTCGGAGTTCCGCAAGGAGGAAGACGAAGTCAAGTTGGGTATGAGCGCGCTCAAGGTCCATGCGTACTGCCTCCCGGGCCGCGGCGACTGGGTGCGACACACCGCTGCGCCCTTGACGAATGCTGCCGATTTCTTCACCTACACCTTCGCGAAATACCCATTTGAGAACTTCAAGATCTGTTTCTTAGACGACATGGTCTCGGACACGGTGGCCCTGCACTCCCTGGCGTTTGTCAGCAACCGGCTGCTCTTCCCAGACGATATCATGGACACCGAAGTGGATGTGACGAGGGCCATAGTCTTCACACTCACGTACCAGTGGATCGGCATCAACATGATTCCAAATACGCGCAACGACCTGTGGCTCGTCCTCGGAGTCGCGCACTATATGACGGAGCTCTTCATGAAGAAGATATGCGGCAACAACGAGCACAGGTTCCGCATGAAAACTCTGTCGGACAAGCTGATAGAGGTCGACGTCGGCCGCCCGTCGCTGTGGGATCTCGGCCCCGTATTGCACCTGAGCGATGCGGAGATGGAGTTTATGGCAATGAAGGCGACGGTCGTCTTCTTTATACTCGACAAGCGGATGCTCAAAGCGTCGAGCGGATTTGGCTTGACGCGAACCTTGCAAAAGTTTCTCACCAAGGCTCAGATCGAGAGCAGCGACAAGTCCACGATCCTCGACACGGAAAAGTTCCGGTTCACGTGCCAGAAAGGATCCAAGTACAGCCTGGAAACGTTTTGGAACCAATGGGTCTACGCGGCAGGGTGCCCTCGCTTCGACGTCAAAGCCAAGTTCAACAAGAAGCGCCTCTGCGTAGAGCTCACCTTGAGCCAGATCCAGTATCAGGTTGCGAAGCAGCCGCAGCTCGACAAGGACGATTTCCTGCGCATCATCAAGGAGACGAGGAACGGCATCAAGAACGGAGAAATGCAACCGCTGTTCACGGGGCCCATGACCATTCGCATCCATGAGGCGGACGGCACCCCGTACGACCACATGGTCGAGATCCGCGAAGACGGCTCTCGCACAACCAAGTTTGAGATCCCTTACAACACAAAGTACAAGCGACTGAAGCGAACGCGGCGGCTCAAGGAGAAGAACACAGGTGCCAACGCGGACGCTGCCGAGAACGCCGACGACGCGCTGCTCTACTGCCTGGGTGACGTGCTCCAAAGTGCGGACGACCAACGGGATTGGGAACTCATAGATTGGGATCCCGAGACCGAGCGCAAGATGGACCAGGAGTCCTACGAATGGATCCGTATCGACGCCGACTTTGAGTGGGCATGCAGCATGAAGCACACACTCGAGCCGTACATGTATGTGTCGCAATTGCAGCAGGACCGGGACGTGGTAGCGCAACAGGACGCGATTCTGTACCTGGCGCGAGGCCCGCTGCACCCCATCGCCTCTGGCTTCCTCGTGCGCACGCTTGTCGATCGGCGCTACTTCCACGGCATCCGGACGATGGCTGCCGAGGCTCTGCCGAGGCAGGCCAACATCAAGGACATCCCCATGCTTGGCCTGCGTCAGCTCATGAGGGCATTTCGTGAGATGTTTTGCTACGAGCAGACGAATCAGCCGTACCCAAACGACTTTTCAGACAAGAAGCAGTACAACGTGCGCTGCGCCATCATCAAGGCCATCGCCCAGGTGAGGGACCATACTTACCGGTGCCCGCTGGACGCGAGGCGGTTCATTCTCGACCAATTGCGCTTCAACAATAACGAGGGAAATCCATTCTCTGACCACTTTTACATCGCGATGCTTGTGGAGGCTCTGGCCACGTCGCTTATCCCGTCGCAGCAGGACGACTGGATCACACGGCAAAACAAGGCACCGAGCGAAGAGGAACGCCAGTTCCTGGAGGAAGCTTTGGAGCAGATTGAGCGAGTCCTGCGACGCGACGAGTGGACCAACTCATACCAGAACGTCTGGACCATCGCCGGCCTGGACGCGAAGCAGCGCCTGATGAAGGCAGAAGTGATTCCGAAACGCTACCCCGACTTTGCGCAGTATCTTCTGGACGGGACGCTGGACCTGATTCGCATCAAGGCCTTTGACGCCTTGGTAGATCTCGGGGCCCTGATGGACCATACCTTCTTCACCTTCTTCCTCTACTGTCTGACGACGGACCGCTCGCCGTACGTCAGAAAGCAGCTCATCCAGTCTATGGCACGCGGCCTTGCGGCGATTGCGTTCGGAGAACATTCCAGGGTCGTTAAGGACGAACCTGCTGCCGATGACGCTGATCCCCTCTTGCTCATTCAGGACAGCGCCGAGGAGGTTGAGGCGCGAAAGCAAATGTTTGCACGCCGCGAAAACATTGACGCGGCGCTCAAGGCGCTCCGTAAGGAAATGGAGGAGACGTACGCCAAGGACGACAGGCATTTTAGCACGGCCATGCGTAAGGCATTGGACCATCCTGCTCTGGGTCGCGACGAGGTGGAGAGCCTGCTCGACCTGGCGGCGATGATGTTCGAGGAGGCGCGGAGCTGGATCCTGACGTTGAATTTGCCCAAGGCTTGGAAGGTCGAGCGACCAGTGCAGAAGCTTTCTGATCGGGTATGCATCCCTGCCCCGCCTAGCTTGAGACTGATGCTAACCGGACAAAGTTGCTCGTCCACTTCAAGTCGTACTACAGGACCAAGCCAAAGGGCTCCATTACGCCGCCACCAGCACCGTCCCCGGCACCGGAAGTTAAGAAACCAGCGCCGCTGGCCAGAACGTCGTCGATTAAGATCCACACAAAGGCCGCCACGCCGCGACGTCCCTCCGTCACGCTCCCTCAGATCACCGAGGCGACCCCTGGCACGCTGGGGACTAACGGAGTGGGCGCCGCCGCCACCGGACCTGGGGAAACCCCAAGCATTCCTTCAGCCAAGCGAGCCCGTGTCGAAAAGGAAGACAGCGGCTCCCCTGCGCCGAAGCGCCCCAAGACCGAGTCGCAGCCATCGAGCTTTGACGGCGAGAAGCCATGGAAGAAGAGGCGTATGGTCACCCTTAAGACGGGGGATCCCAGCCGGCTTGCAGTTCTCTTGGGCCAACAACCGAGCGCGTCGCCTAACGGTAGGACGGCACTACCGACCAAGGCGCCCAAGGAACCTTCTCCGGCGGGCTCTAAGGACAGCATCACGGCCAAGCCAGCCCGGAAACCCCTTCCTTCTGGTGGTGACGGCGTCAGACGTCCTTTGCCTAACGGCAGCGGCTCGGCAATGTCACCGCCATCGAGCCAGTCTACTCCGAAGGTCTCGCTCAACACAAACGTCAGCTCGGCTTCGTCTTCGAAGGCGGGAAGCCCGCCCACAGCCACACCTGTCAGCGCTAAGCCGAAAATCAAAATCATTCGGAAGCCATCTGTGCCCCAGGCCCAGCCAAACCCACGGCCGGAGTCTTAGAAGGCGAAAGGGGGAGATGGGATTGCGGGGCTTGAAGAGGCTGCGATACTCTCGACGTCAGAGCCAAGCGACGGACGTCGCGATCTGGGGTCTTCGTTCGCCGCTGATTATAGTGACGCCCGGTCGAACACAAACGGGCACGGGAGACCTTGGGACCTATGAAGGCAAAGCTTTCCCGGAAGGATGGAAACATGAGAAGGGGGACTTAGGGTTTGGCTTCGAGAAGGACAGGACGGCAGGGTTGGGTGCTTTACAGGGACAATTTTGGCATTGCGTTTGGCGTTGCGGTTCGCAAGACAGAATACCTTGAGTGCTGTGTGATTTGGGAGAGCTGCTAGCGGGAGGATGTTGTCGAATAGGAGCATCGTGTAGACTACCGGACGGTAGCGGACGAAAAATCACAGTATAATCCAGCGATGTTGCCGTACGGATCATGATCATGCCGATGTTTGTTTGCTGCCATGCACCGTCATAATACCTGTGAATGTCGCCTCGGGCGCCTTACACCGGATGAACATCGGGCGAGTGACGACATGATTTTGCGGAGCGAGCAAGGCTGGGCTCGGCTCAAAAGGCACGGGCTCTCATTGGCCGTGCCCCCAGCTCTCGGGTAACGTCGCTCCACATCCCATTATCGTGGTCTTATCAACACGTGACGCGGCATCTCCCGCGGCCGGACCAGGTTGCTGTGCGCTGGGCTGGGGCGTCTTGTCAGATCCCTCGTCACCCGCGGCGCCGCCAGGAGAGCTTCCTCAAGTTTGCACCTCCTGCCCTCTACAGCGCCCACCCTTGTGCGGCCTTTCCTCGAACGCCGTTGCCTTTGGGGCATTTGCTCTCATGTAGATGCCTAGGGGCCTAGGCCAGCCTAAAGCTGTGAGTACACGCCGCCAGCCGCTGTCCTTTTTTCCTCCATCGCGACGTGGAGCTTGAGCCGACCGGTAGCGGGCTCAAGGGGAGCGGGCAACCCTGCCTCGCCCTGCCGCCGCGACACGCGGGCTCGACTGCCCCGCGTGACGGCATTGTCTGGATACTCGCTGCGACACCGGGGATTGCATTGAATTGCGCTGACGACGTTTGTGCTGCAGATACCACGATGAACAGCCAGGGCCTCCACGGGCGAGGCGGCGGCGCGCCGTACGACCGCGACCGAGAGATGGAGGAGCGACACCGCGCGATCCAGCACGAAGAGATGCGACGCGACCAGGAACGGGAACGCGAGCGAGAACGCGAGCGCGAGAGAGAACGAGACCGAGAAGCTGGCGACCGCGGCTACCAGACGGCGCCGCCTCACCAGAGCAGCGCCGGGTCCATCCCCATCCACCAGCCCGTGGCATCGCGGATACCCGGCGCCATACACAGTCCCGGGGGCCTCCTTGCGAACCACAACGGCGGCAGCGGCAGCGCGGGTGCACCACCGGGACAACATCTAGGCGCGCCGCCGGGTGGCCCCATGGGCGCCTTTGGCGGGCCGCTGCAGCAGCAGCAGCAGCAGCAGCAGCAGCCGGGCGAGCACGGCCGACAGATGCAGCCGCAGCCGCAGCCGCAGCATCAGATGTATAACCCAATGCAGCAGCACTCGCAGGCGCCGCCGAATGCGTCTCAACCGGCGCCGACCGGCTCGGGCGGTGCCTTTGGCGGCCCCCTGCCGCAGCAGCAGGCTCAGCAGGCCCAGCAACAACAGGCTCAGCAGCAGCAGGACCGCGGTGGCAAGCAGGGCGGCGGTCCGGTCGGCGGTGTGACGCCCGGTGGCCATCAGATCCCCGGTGGCATTACGCAGGGGCAGCAGCCAATTTTGAACGTAAGTGTGCGACGTTCGCTATTGTTTTTTGTCGGGTGGGCAGAAAGCCTGAACAGGGTGTGCGGTGTGCAGGCAGCTGGCGGCAGCAGGCACACCACCCAGCGCGGCCCGTTTGCTTCTGAACGCCTTGCACTGTTCACCTTTGCTCGTTCTGCACCCTTCACCTCACCTTCAACTTGAACCATCATCGTGCACACCCCTGCTGCTTCTCGTCTATCATCTCTGCATCCTTCTCCCTTTCTTCAAACAGCATTTCTGCGATTCATTCCTCTGGCCATCGGGCTGCTTCCTTTGGCATTTCCTTCGAATTCTCGAGAGAAACCCGTCAAGGAGAGCCATGAAGGGCCGCTCGCGCCAGTCGCGGGCGCCGCGAGAAATCGCGGAGCGCAGCGATGAGCTCGCCCGAGACTATTCATATGCCGTTAAACGCTTGCATGTCCGTTCAGCCGACTTTGGCCCCAAGATCCCTCGTCACGGCATTCCAAAGTGGTATCAGGAACACATATTCGGAAGAGATGCTGACCTCGTTCTCCCGCAGGATGCCTTGACGTACCTCGACCAGGTCAAGGTGCAGTTTCATGACCAGCCGGACGTCTACAACCGGTTTCTCGACATCATGAAAGACTTCAAGAGCCAGGCGTGAGTATTCATGGGCATGTTGGTGCGTGACAGGACCTGACTGACGCGTCCGCAGAATCGACACCCCTGGCGTCATCAACAGAGTTTCCGAACTCTTTGCCGGCCACCCGAACCTGATTCAAGGTTTCAACACGTTTCTCCCGCCGGGCTACAGAATCGAGTGCGGAGCTGGCAATGATCCAAACACGATCCGTGTCACCACTCCCATGGGAACAACCGTGCAGTCTATTGCCGGACGAGGTGGCCAGGGCGATGGCCAGGGCCTGGGTACGGGCCAGCCTCTCTTCCCGGAGCGCGGAAGCCAGTGGCAGCGGACCCAGCACAGCATCGAGAGCCCCGAGGCCAACTTCAGCACTCCAGCACAGAATGGTGGCAGCCTCTTCGTGCAGGCGGCCGCGCAGAGCGGACCGTTTGACAGCTCCACCGCACAGAGAAACGCGGCGCAGGCGCTCGGCGCGGGCCCAGCCAGCGGACCAAACGCCCGCGGCCCTCAAACACCAGTGCCAGCTGGCGGCACACCTGGCGCCAACGGTCCAGCTGGCCAGGCAGGCATGGAACGCAGAGGCCCAGTTGAGTTTAACCACGCCATCAGCTACGTCAACAAAATCAAGGTGAGCGTCATCTGAATCATCAAATGCAATCGTATCACTGACGCGCGTAGAACCGCTTTCAGGACAAGCCAGAGATATACAAACAATTTCTGGAGATCCTGCAGACCTACCAACGCGAGCAGAAGCCCATTCAGGACGTCTACGCTCAAGTTACGACGCTGTTCAACTCGGCACCCGACCTCTTGGAAGACTTTAAGCAGTTTCTGCCAGAGTCTGCCGGCCAGGCCAAGGGAGGAGCGCGCACCGACGAAGGCACGCCCGCCGGCCCCAGCCATACACCTCAGCCTGGCGCTAGAGACGGACAGAAGATGCCTCCTCTCGGCAGCTTTGCGCCGCCCCCAAGCGCCAGCAAGGACAAGAAGCGCCCGCGTGCAGACAAACAGAGCCAGGCAGCTGACGCGCTGCTGGCCGAGGCCAACAGTCGACTTCCTCAAGCCGCTGTCAACGGCAACAAGCGACCCAAGCTGAGCCACGCCCGTGCCGTCGCCGATGCTTCTGCCATCGAACCGACCTTGACCCCAGTCATGCCTGAGCCTTATCCGCCTCGGTCGTCTGGCCACTCCAACCAAGAAGAGATCGCCTTCTTCGAACGCGTCAAGAAGTACCTTAGCAACCGATCTTCGATGAACGAGTTCCTGAAGCTGTGCAACCTCTTCAGCCAAAATATCATCGACAAGAACACGCTTTTCCACAAGGGAGCGCTGTTCATCTCGGCCAACCCGGACCTCATGCAGTTCTGGAAGACGTTTGTCGGCGTTGACTCGGGCGACGTGATGGTCGACAACCGCCCCGAGCCGCCTACGGAGAAACTCTCCCTCAGCAACTGCCGCGGCTACGGCCCCAGCTACAGACTCCTGCCCAAGAGGGAGCGCCTCAAGCCGTGCAGCGGTAGGGACGAGCTCTGCAACTCTGTTCTGAATGATCAGTGGGCGTCGCACCCGACGTGGGCCAGCGAGGACTCTGGCTTCGTGGCTCATCGCAAGAACCAGTTCGAAGAGGGCCTGCACCGCATCGAAGAGGAACGCCACGATTACGACTTCAACATTGAGATCAACCTCAAGTGTATCCAGCTGCTCGAGCCCATTGCTCAGCAGATGCTGGCCATGAACACGCACGAGCGCGAGAACTTTCATCTGCAAACGGCGCTCGCCGGCCAGAGCACCTCCATCTTCAAGCGCATCTGCAAGAAGATATACGGCGAAAAGGGCATGGAGGTCGTCAACGACATGTTCACGCACCCGTTCGACGTGGTGCCGGTCCTCCTCGCCCGCATGAAGCAAAAGGACGAAGAATGGCGCTTTTCGCAGCGAGAGTGGGAAAAGGTGTGGCACGCCCAGACGGAGCACATGTACCTCAAGAGCCTCGACCACATGGGCATTCTGGTTAAGAGCAACGACAAGCGCAACCTCACCGCGAAGCACCTGGTCGACGTCATCAAGACCAAGCATGAGGAGCAGCGCCGCGAGCGCGCTCTCCAAGGCAAGGCACCCCGACATCAACTGGTCTGGGACTTTAACGACAAGGACCTCGTCCTCGACCTGCTTCGTCTGATGATGCTCTATCCCATGCACAGCGGACAACACAGCGCCCAGGAGAAGGAGCGACTGCTAGACTTTTTCGAGTCCTTCGTCAGCGGCTTCTTTGACCTCAATGAGGACCTCGTGCAGGAGCGGATCCCCAAGCTCCCACCCGACTCTGCCGAGGAGGAGGCGGAGGATGCTACACCCGCCGAGCTCACCAACGGTCGCAGCAAGCGCACCGGCAGAAAGGGAGATCTCCTTCGCGGCGTCCTCGACCCTGGTCGCAATGGCAGCAAGCCTCGCAGCCAGAAAGAGGACAGCGCAGCGTCTGGCAGCAAAGAGACGACCCCCGATGTCGGCTCCGGCAACGATGAGGAGATGCCCGACGCGCCCGATGAGAACGCGGCGACCGAGGTGTCCAACGAGCGATGGATGCCGACCGTGCCCAAGCCCGTGGTGGTTGGCGGCGATGATGCCCTCATCAATGCCGACGGCGAGCTCAAGGCCGACGGCTTCTTCCCCCGCCCCTGGTACAACTTCTTCGCCAACCAGACCATCTTTGTCTTCTTCAGCATCTTGCAGACCGTCTACGGCAGACTCGCTGAGCTCAAGAACTGCAAGGATGCTGTGGCCCGCGAAATCGACCGCCTGAGCAAACCCAAGCCAGCGCGCGATCTCGGCTTCTCCGATGCCGTGATGGACTACTTTGGCAACCAGGACGAGCCTGACAAGTTTTGGGGCAAAACTCTCGAGCTCATTGAGGACTACATCACGGGCGACGTGGAGGAGACACGTTACCAAGAGGTGCTGCGCCACTACTACCTCCGCAACGGCTGGAAGCTGTACACCATCCAGGATCAGCTCAAGACCCTGTGCCGCCTCGCGCTCACGTGTAGCAGCACCGACGCCAAGGAGAAGACGCCGGATCTGATCCAGCAGTACTTTGCGAACCGGGAGAAGGAGGAGACGAGCTACCAGACGGAGATAAGCGCGCGCAAGTTTGCCGAGAAGTGCGTCAAGGATGGCGACATTTTCGTCATCTGCTGGGTACGATTTCCCTCTACAATGCTTGGCGAGAAAACATTTCTAACAATCATGCAGTTCCCGTCCAAGGCCGAGGCCACTGTCCGCTGGCTGCAGCGCAACGAGACCACATTCTATATGGATGAGCTGCAGATGCGCGAGCGCTGGCAGTACTACATCTCGTCGTTTATCCGCGTCGAGCCGACCGAGGGCATCCCGCGTTCTAAGCTGCAAAAGGTGGTGCTCACGCGCAACATGCCTTCGGGCGACAACGAGTCGGACGAGGACCATATCCCCAAGCCGGTTGCCTACAGCGAGAACCTGACCACGAGCATCTGCCTCAAGAGCTCCAAGATGGTCTGGGCGCCCGGCACGTCCGAGTACTTTGTCTATGACCAGTCGCCCAAGTCGCCCGAGAAGCGCGAGCGCCATGACATGGTCGACAAAGCGGTTAGCAACACCCGCGCGGACAAGTTGATGGAAAAGTTCGTGCACAACCCGCCGTGGGCTAGGGGCAGAATCCAGGACAGGGTGCGCGAGTACAACGCCATTTTTGACAAGTGGAAGAACGAGGGCATCGTGCCGCCTAGCACGGGTGCCGGCGGCGAGACGGTTTAAATAGGGCGGCGCGGACAAGGGACATTGACAAGGTGCATTAGGATGAACCATGCTTGGAGCCGTGGATATCTGGTGTTTTTCTTCTTCTTGCGTTTTGCGAGATACTGTTGCCTTGCGCGCACGGGTTGCAGTTGGGGCTCTGTTGCTTTTGCTTGCTACGAGGGGACGTCTTGTTTGGGGCGCGCGGACGGCAGCTCATGTTTTGCAGTCTCGGACTCTATACTCCCTTTTTTTTGTCACTGCGCTTTTCCGCGTTTTGCGTGTTTATAGGCTAGGCACAGAAAACGAATGGGGGCTCACCTCTCATTGTTGCGACTACGGTTGACCATGTGGAGGAGAGTTGAAGCGGCGGCGGCGGCGGCGGCGGCGTGGGTTCTATACCAGGTGCGAGGGTGGTGCATGAGGCCACGGCACTGCTCTTTATGTTCATTTTGCGTGTACGTCTAGGAGCAGCAATGATAAGACTTTTTCACTTATGTGTGGTTCTGGCGAAGGGATCGTTGCCTGTTTGTGTCCATGAGCCCTGGCTCGAGAGCAGCCAGGTCATCTTGTCCCCAGGACCAACTCTCGGGACATACGAGGAGTGCAGCCGAGCTGAGACCAAAAGTTACTTAATTAAGTGTCTATATGCTGTACATAAGCCGTGCTGCGACATCACCTTTGGCTCAGAAAGGGCGGCAAATATCCTCCAAAACATGTCTCTGTCCGACATGGCTCATGTAGTCGTTACAGCCTCGCAGCCTGCGCGTGGTGACCGTGGCCGAGTCATTGCAGGTTCTCGATGACCAGCGCGGAGGCGCCGCCGCCGCCGTTGCAAATGCCGGCGCAGCCAATCTTGGCGCCCTTCTCCTTGAGGACCGAGGTCAGGGTGGTGACGATGCGGGCGCCGGAGCAGCCCAGGGGGTGGCCGATGGCGACGGAGCCGCCGTAGACGTTGACCTTGTCGGCGTCGAGGCCCAGCAGCTTGATGTTGGCGAGGGCGACGACGGAGAAGGCCTCGTTGATCTCGTAAAAGTCGATGTCCTTTTCGGTGAGGCCGGCGTGCTTGATGGCCTTGGGGACGGCCAGGGACGGAGCGATGGTGAAGCGCTCGGGCTCACGCTCGGCGTCGCCCCAGCCGAGGATCTTGGCGATGGGCTTGACGCCGAGCTCCTTGACCTTGGCCTCGGACATGAGGACGACGGCGGCGGCGCCGTCGTTGATGGGGGCGGCGTTGGGGGCCGTGATGGAGCCGTCGGACTTGAAGGCCGGGCGCATGGCCTTCAGCTTGTCGACGTTGAGGTTCTTGACCTCGTCGTCGCGGTCGACCTTGACGGGGGGCTTGCCGCGGCCGCCGCTGACCTCGACGGGGACAATCTCCTTGAAGAGGCCGGCCTCGGTGGCGGCCTGGGCCTTCTTGTACGAGTTGATGGCGTACTCGTCCTGGGCCTCGCGCGAGAGGTCGTGGTCGTCGGCGCACAGCTCGCCCTGGAGGCCCATGTGCTCCTTCTTGTAGGCATCGGTCAGGCCGTCCTTGAGGACGCCGTCGACGAGCGTCTGGTCGCCGTACTTGGCGCCGGTACGGAGGTTGGGCAGGTAGTGCGGCGTGTTGGACATGGACTCGGCGCCGGCGGCGACGACGACGGACGATGTGCCGAGCATGATGTTCTGCGCGCCGAGGATGATTGCCTTGAGAGACGAGGCGCACACCTTGTTCACCGTCGTGCAGATGGTGGACTGGGGGAGGCCGGCGCCGATGGCAGCCTGGCGGGCCGGGCCCTGGCCAAGGCTTGGAAAATATCAGCAGCTGTTGCACCCGCGGGGGATGCTTGCGCGGTAGGAGCGGCATGGAGGTATCGACATACTTGGCGGACAGGACATTGCCAAAGAAGACTTCCTCAACGTCCTCGGGCTTGATGCCGGCTCTCTCAACGGCACCTTTGTACACGGGTCAGTCTGTCTGTCGATATATTCGCATGATTCGTACGCGACGCACCCTTGATGGCGGAAGAGCCCAGCTGAGTCGCGCTCAAGCTGGAGAGGGAGCTGCATTGCAACCGTCAGCCTTTTTACTTTTTTGTTGAGGGTGGTCCGCGATCGGTGCGCCGAATGGAGGGGCAGCGAAGTTGGCAAGCAGAGAGAGGGGCTCGCCTACCCAAGGAACGACCCGATGGGGGTTCTCGCGGCGGAGACGATGTAGACGGGAGGAAGGCCAGCCATGGTGTGCGTATGTATGAGGTGAGCGCTTGAGCAATGGAGGGATTGAAGGATAATGGAGTATTTTCGAGAGGAAGAAGAGGGACGACAGCGCTTTCGCATCCAGGGGAAAGAAGACGAGGCGGGCGTGGGGACAGGCGGGAGCTTCAAAAAGTGATGGCGGAGCCTAACGCGCGCAGGGTGGTGCGGCTAGCGCGAGGCCGTTGGGGGTTTAGCGCCATTGGCGCTTTAAGTGGTCTGCCGCAGAGGGACGGTTGGTTGGCGACTTTCAATAGGGCGCTGGATGCTGTTGGTATTGTACTCCGTACTTCGTCCGTGAACCGTAACAGCACCAGCAGTGCATCTGAATTGGGTCGGTGTGTGGTAGCACGTCGACCACGTCTCTCATATCGAGCATTGAAAGCTCTTGGTCATTTGATGGACGTAGCCTTAGGGAATCGTCACAAGTGAGGGAGTGAACTGGACGTGGTTATGTAACCACTGTGCGCTGAAAGAGTGCTCGAATCTGGACCAACGGAGAGTTGTAAAGCCCCGTATATTGCTGGCCAGCATGCACGATATCAGTGCCGCTCTGAGACTTGCGAGCTCCGCCAAGGAGGCCTTCTCTGTCTCTGCGCCATATTCTGGATCCCTCCGTTATCAATCTCTGTGGACCTCGCGGATTTACCTCGAGTCGCCGAGCCAGCCAGCACCATGAACCTCCACCGTCTCCTTGTATCCTGCCATGCAGAGCATGATTTAGCCAACTGTACTTTGCACTGCTCTCGGCGCACAAACTTTGATTTATCATCATGTTTTGTTGGGCCAAAGTTGCGGTAAAGCATTCCCATCCTGGTCGACGGTAAGGCGGCGACGCTGTCCTGCCACCGCCATCCACCGCAGGATCGCTGGAGCTGTCGTCACCCAGCAATCCATCTTCCACGGCGGCCTGGAGCGAAGGCGGTGGGGGGAGGGGCAGCGCTGGCCCGCCGCTGTCGGCAGACGCCCGGACGACCCCTGGACGGTTCCCTGGCTCAGCGCGCCCGCCTCGGTGGATTGACGCCCCAGCCTCCGAGCTCGCCAGCGGTCTCCGGCGCCACAGCTCCAGCCAACCATCTGCGAGGCGCCACAGTTGTGCCCCCAGCCTTGCAGATGGCCCGCACGTGACACAGCCTTGGAACTGCTCGCAGCGAAAAAGTTACTGGAGCTCCAGCGCGACGGGCGACGTGCGATAGTCGCGAACTACCATTGCGGCAGCCAAGCAACCTCCCGGCGCGCAACATCCGTCACCGGCAAAATGGATGATCTCTACGACGAGTGAGTACCTCGCGCGCGCGTCTTAATGGCAAGGAAGTATGAAATCTAACGCAGGGTCATCACAGGTTCGGCAACTTCATCGGCGAGGAGGCCGCGTCCGAAGAGGCTTCCGAGGCGGGCGTCGATGCTGGCGACTATGTCTATGACGAGGAGCCCGAGCAGGCCGCCGGAGTCGGGGAGGAGCTCATGGAGATTGATGGTAGGTTCTACTCGTCCCGGCTTGGCCTCAAGGCCGGTCTCTGACCCGCGACAGATGGTCCCTCAAACGCCGTCATCCTCCACGAGGACAAGCAGTACTACCCGACCGCCGAGCAGGTGTATGGCGAGGACGTCGACACTCGTGTCGAGGAAGTGGACGCGCAGCCCCTCACCGAACCCATCATTGCGCCCGTCGAGGTCAAAAAGTTCAACATCGAGGAGGCCGACCTGCCACCCGTCTTCTACGACCGCACCTTCATGACCGATCTGATGAACTTTCCCGAGCAAACGCGAAACATTGTGCTGGCTGGGCACCTGCACCACGGAAAGACGGCATTTATGGACATGCTGGTCATGGAGACGCACGATATTGCGGATAGGCTAGACAAGAGGTCGGGGCGAAAGCGAGACGAGAACCTGCGATATACCGACACGCACCTGCTCGAGCGCGAGCGGGGCATCTCGATCAAGGCTGCTCCCATGAGCCTGGTCTTGCAGAGCACCAAGGGAAAATCACATCTCGTCAACATCATCGACACGCCCGGTCATGTCAACTTTGTTGACGAGGTGGCCGCCTCGATCCGCCTGGCCGACGGCGTGTGCTTGGTCGTTGACGTCGTTGAGGGCGTGCAGGTCAACACAGAGCAGATCATAAAGCATGCCGTCCTCGAGGATGTCCCTATCACGCTCATCATCAACAAGATGGATCGTCTCATCTTGGAACTGAAGCTCCCACCCAGAGACGCCTACTTCAAGATCAAGCACGTCGTCGAAGAGGTCAACACCATCATCACAAACACAGCCCCCGCCACGGCGACTTCGAAGCGAATCAGCCCTGAAAAGGGCAACGTCCTCTTCGCATGCACCGACTTTGGCTGGTGCTTCACCATCCAGTCCTTTGCTAAGATGTACGCTGCCCAATACGGTGGCCTGAACGCGGACGACCTCGCGAAGCGGCTGTGGGGAGACGTCTTCTTCAACCCCAGGAAACGCAACTTCACCCGGAAGCCCGTGGAAGACCGCGCTTCCAGGTCCTTCCTCCACTTTATCCTGGAGCCCATCTACAAGCTCTTCACGCACTCCATCAGCGACAGCCCTTCACAGCTCAAGGTCGTGCTAGAGAAGCTGGGCATCCAGCTGAAGCCATCACAGTACAAGGCTGACGCCAAGGTCATTCTCAAGCTGGTATGCGAGCAGTTCTTCGGCCCGTCCAACGGCTTCGTCGACATGATTGTGCAGCACATTCCGTCGCCTGTCGAAGGCGCCCAGCGATACCTGGAGAGATACTACACGGGCCCGCTCGACTCCAAGATTGCGGCGTCAATGGCCAAATGTGACCAAGACGGGCCTCTGGTTATACACGTTACGAAGCTGTTCAGCTCATCCGATGCCAAGAGCTTCTACTCGTTTGGTCGCGTGCTGAGTGGCACGGTGCGGCCCGGAATGCCCGTGCGCGTTCTGGGAGAGGGATACTCGCTCGACGACGAGGAAGACATGGCCATGGCGTCGGTGGGCGAGGTTTTCATTGGCGAAGCGCGGTACAACATCCCGACAGATGGCGTGCCGTCGGGCAACCTGGTGCTTCTCAGTGGCGTCGACAACTCGATTGTCAAGTCCGCCACGATTGTGGCTCCGAGACTAGAGGACGACGAAGACGCCCACATCTTCCGTCCCGTCACTCACTTCACCGAATCCGTCCTCAAGGTTACCGTCGAACCCATCAACCCGTCAGAACTTCCCAAGATGTTGGACGGCCTCCGGAAAGTCCAAAAGTCCTACCCTCTCATCAACACCAAAGTGGAGGAGTCCGGCGAACACATTGTGCTGGGTACCGGCGAGCTTTACATGGACTGCGTCCTGCACGACTTGCGACGGCTGTACGCAGACATGGACATCAAGGTATCAGACCCCGTCACGCGGTTCTGCGAGACCGTCGTGGAGACGTCGGCACTCAAGTGCTATGCTATTACGCCAAACAAGAAAAACAGAATCACCATGGTCGCGGAGCCGTTGGAGAAGGGCATCTCGACGGACATTGAGACGGGCAAAGTCAACATTCGCGACCCTATCCGCAAGACGGCCAAGTTCTTTGAGGAGACGCACGGCTGGGACAAGCTGGCGGCGCGCAGCATCTGGGCGTTTGGTCCCGAGGACAAAGGCCCCAACATCTTGCAAGATGACACGCTCCCGACCGAGGTAAGCACACTTTGGTCCGCGTTTGGATGAGCTAGGAAACTAACTCGCACTAGACCGACAAGAAGCTGCTCGGAACTGTACGAGAGTCGATCCGGCAGGGATTCAGCTGGGCCACCCGCGAAGGACCCCTGTGTGAAGAACGTGAGTATTCAAGTACCTCTGATTGCCTCGGCGCACGTGCTAACGGCCTCTAGCCATTCGAAACACCAAGTTCAAGGTCACGGACGTCGTGTTGGCCAACGAGGCCATCTACCGGGGCGGTGGTCAAGTCATTCCGACGTCTAGACGTGCCTGCTACTCGTCCTTCCTCATGGCGGCCCCGCGGCTGATGGAACCCGTCTATGCGGTGTCCGTCACCTGCCCGGAGGATACAAACGCGGAAGTCTACAACGTGCTCTCCCGGCGGCGGGGCCACGTGCTCTCCGACGGCCCTGTGGCCGGCACGCCCCTTTACCGCGTCAACGGCCTGCTGCCGGTGATTGATAGCTTCGGGTTTGAAACCGATCTGCGGATCAAGACGCAGGGAGGCTCCATGGTCAGCCTGGTGTTCGACAGCTGGAGCATCGTGCCTGGCGACCCGCTAGACCGGGAGCAGGTGATCCGGCCGCTGCAGAAGGCGTCGACGCAGGCGACGGCGAGAGACTTTGTGCTCAAGACGAGGCGGCGCAAGGGCTTGAGCGAGGACGTCAGCGTCAAGACGTTCCTGGAGCCCGAGTTTTACAGCAGCCTCATGGAGAGCGGCGCGCTGGACAACATGTAAGGGGACTGAATGTTGGACTGCATGGCAAACGAATTCTCTTTTTTCCTTTTTTTTTTTTTTTTTTTTTTTTTTTTAGATGATGGCGCCACGGCGTGGGTGGTTCGCATGACGGATGGCATAGTCGTTTATGTACATATATCGGGAATGGGGACCGCAACGGTCGATTTGCCCCGAGCTGGGACGGGATAAGGGGGTGGGCTAGCTGGAGTCAAAAGAAGAATCAATGCGAGACGCCGACGACGTCTCAGCTGAATCCCGCATGTGCATCAGCAACTGCCGCCGCCACCACGTGAAGCGGGACCCTTTTCCCCCTCGTGAATTTTCCTTCTTTCTTCCTTTTTCATCTCCTCGTGTTCTTCTTCTTTTTTTTTTTTTCTTTCACCCCTGTCAGTTGGTCTATTTCAGTGCACTTTAGAGTTGCCCGACAGATCTCGCCATCGGGCTACGTACCTACATACAGGTAAGTGCGTATTCGCCTCGTGCGTGCGTGATCCGACGACCCGGCCCTCGCAGCGGTATCCCTGCTGCGCAGCGCAGCCAGCCATTGGGAGTCGGCGGGACATACTCGTACGTAGAGACGACAGGCTAAATATGATGATGGATGCTCTGCAGGCCGCGAACCCGCCCGGGCAGGCGGATGGATGATGCAAGGATGGGAGGAGGAGGAGGAGGAGAAACACGCACTCGCGCACGCGCAGATGCAGGCCACACACGTATGGGTTTGCCGCGTCGAGTTGCCGGCTGTCTGCTGGCCCCGTTTTCTCCCACATGCCGGGCCGGATAATTGTAATTTATATGGCCTGCTACCCACACGAGCTGGCCACCCCTGTGACTGGGGGTTTTTAATTTTTGAGAGACTCGCTGGCAGTGGCACCATGGGCTGCTGCTTGCCGGGGCTGCGGCAGTCCCTGCATCGGCTGGTTCTACGGAGCGTTGATAGATTGCTGTACGTACTTTGTACATCTCGCCCCGTACACTCGCACGCGTGAGGGGGAGACAAGCAGGCAGGCAAGTTGGTAGGTAGGAAGCCAGACAGGATGGAGGCAAATGTCGTCGGTCCGAGTTGTTAGCCTCATCGCGTCGGCAGTTGTGCATGTCTCTCTCCTCGCCCCGTTTCAGATCGAAGGCTACCGGATTTACGCCTACACACTCCTGCTAGTTAGTCTCCTCCGTCCTACGGTCCTCCCCTTCCCTCCCTCTGCCGACCGCGGAGACGTACGCACTAACCTACATCCTTATTCGAACTCAAAGCATACAATTCCCTCTGCGATTCTGCTATAACTCTTTCAAGGGGGGATACAAGAACAAGACCGGAGTCAACGGCACCGAGCACCGGCGCTCGTTTCGGGTCTGTCAAGGACCGGCAGCAGCACGAGTCAGTGCGACAACTGGGGAGGGGGGGACGACGTCTGAAGCGGCTGGCTTTCTCGCGTGTGTGTCTCCTCGGATGGTTGTATCCATACGTGCCGTGGGTGGGCGTAGTAATGAAGCCAGGCCATCGTCTCGTGTATCTCACGAATCGCATCGAGTACGTGTAGGCTTTGCGTCTCTTGTTGTCGAATCACTGCCGAGAGTGGATGGACAGATGGATGATGTGGTCGTGAGGATGAGCTAGCTATACGAGGGCCGCACAACAGCAGCAAGACTAATACTGTACTTCGTACGTCGAAGACACGGACACACAAATATGTTCCGGGCGGCGCGGACGAGACAATTGCAATTTGTGCCACATCAAGTGACGCCCCGTTGAACAAGCGTGACTTCATTGCAACTCGATTTCTATCAATAGCACATACTCTGTACCCTGTAGATATCATGGTGTTCAACCTTGGCGAAATGTCTCCGGCAAGCCGGTTAATGCGAGTACAAGGCGCATCGTCCACAAAATGTAGTTCATTGTCCGGAGTCCCGGCATGCCACGGTCCTTGGCCAGAGTCCGAGGTTCCGCTGCCGCTTCGTGTTCGGTGCAGACAGAGCACAAAGCGCAGAGTACGGAGTATTGATCCACACTCGCCCGCATCAGCTCATTTCCCGCCGTCTGATGCCGCCAAGCCAACCCACAATGGCGCTCTTGTCCAAAATCTCATAGGCGAGCCGAGCTCACCGCTGTCGATCAGCGTCCATTGCGGATTGTCTTGCAACCAAAGTCGGAACCCGGAGTCCTCCGTTGACGAAATAACACCTGGTACTGCGCGCCACGGCACAGGACAGAATGGCCCACCGCGGCCAGTGGACAAGGAACAGCAGACCGCCCACCGAGCGCGTCAAAGCGCAGACCGTGCCTCGCCAAAGTTCCAAGCAAGGGTCATCGTTGCTGCTAGTGGGCGAGCCTCAGTGTAGACTCGACGACCCCTGTTCGAAACCCAGTCCACCTCAAAATTGCAGAGCGCCTTTTGGTTCGAGTTGCAAAGGCCCGTCGGCGACCCGGGAGCGGAGCTTTTCAGCCCTGGGCCGGGGAGTCGGGCCGAGCCGTCACCACCACGGTAAATGAATTACCTAGAGATTGGCATTGACAGATTGCCACGAATGCGACTGTCTGCGAGAAGCACACGGGGCCAAATCACCGTCCGCCTCTACAGGCAAGAGCCGCAGACGGCTGATTTCGGCACGTGGTGATGTTACGGCGGCCTGCGGACCAGGGTGCCAAGTTGTCGTCACGAACGTACTGTGCCCGCAGCAAACGCATCAGTGTCCAGGTGCCAGAATGCCAGCAGAGCGCACCGGCAAAATGACTCTCATGCGCAAAGGAAGCGCTAAGTTTGACCAGCTGTTCGGTACGTGCAACCGTGTCGGCCTAAGCGCATGTCTCGAGCATCTTGTCCAGAACTCCCTTAAGAGTGTCGTTTTCGAGTGCCGCAGCGACGCGCTCCTTGTCAGCGAGCTGCTTGTTGACCTGATCATCCTGGGTGTGACTGTTTTCCTTGCAGCGGACGTCCACGCGGTAGTTGGGCGGCAGCACTTGCTCGAGCCTGACTCGAACGCCAAGGCCAAGAACGGTGGCGAGAGAGCAGTGTGTGACGGTGGGCGTCAGCTCCACTGACACATTTACGATGGTGTTGGCGTCGGGCACGCCCAGGGCCGGTGAAGGGGTGATGTGGATATCCGGGAGGTTGACGACGGACAGCAGTCCGAGTGAAACGGGGTGTTCGGGGTCCGATATGTCGGATATCAAATCTGTTCCGCAGTCAGGTCCAGGGTCCACGACGAGACGTTGCATAAGCATAAGTGGACGGCGTCAGGAACCGCGGGGTGCCGACAGCCGTCCCATGTCTGACAGAGAAGTCCGGAACAGAGCACGGAGTATGCGGAATTGAATCATGGGAAACTGCGTACCGTAGATTTCTTGCTCGTCTATGGCCTCGTCGGCAAACCCGTCGTCTCCGACATCGCCGCGGGCCCACGGCACATCGACGTCGCAGAACGGACGAGACAAGTACGCTGGGCGAGAGAGCGCATCGTCAAACTTGGTGTCGGGGCCCTTGCGCGGAGCCGCCTTCTTCTGGCGCGTAGGCAGCTGCGAAGCGCTGAGGATCGTAGGGTTGGCGTTGTCGAGCGCGGTGGGCGCCATGGCTGCCGACGGAGTCGCTGATGTGCGATGACGTGGGAGGGGCCGCGGGCGTGTCGCAGCGCGCTGCTATTCCAAGAGCCGAAACTCGGGGCAGCCGGCCAGGGGTGCGGCGGCGGCGGTTGAAGGAGCAGATGTAGCCAGAGAACTGAGCCAGGAGCGGCCGGGAGGATGCGAGCGAGCGTTGTTGGTGCTGTGCTTTGCTTCGACGTTGACGCGGGATGGAGGTTTTCGGAGGTGTAACGGAGCATCGGCTGTGGGTCGCCAATGGCCGTCTTAATAATTCGCCAGCAACAACTATCGGCCCGCCGACACCGCACGGCGCTCGGGCTGCCACCCACCACAGCAATCGCCAGCACCGCCGTCCGCTGGCGATGTGCCGCCGACTGAATGCGCGACGCGACACAGCGCGCATCCAACTTACGTACGAATTATCTTGGACGACCCACGGGCCGGGGAACAGGGTGCTACGCAATACGTAGTTAGTATTACTTTGTACGAAGCAAGGAGTACAGCACCGCAGTCCAGTGTCACTGTCTCGGCGGGGCATGTTGATCCTGAGTGTCCCCCGTCTGCCTTTGGAACGCCCTGTTGGCTGCGACAGCTTCAGCCGTTGGCGGCGATGCCGGTCGTGTCGACACACTGGCCGCGCACTGCCGTCGCCGCTCGCTCTGAGCCGGCCCAACCGGAGCGACTCGGTCATGGAGATGAAGGTTGATGCTCAGCTGCACGCCACTCCTCGTGGTGGCGGTGTGGATCAGGGGTTGGCCCAAGACGCATGACACCCAGCCATTCCCCCAGGAGGATGCCGCATGTCCGGGGTGCGAGAGGGCCCCCCAGTAATGACTTCGCGCTTGGCTCCTGTCCATCACCAACCGGTGCCAGCCGCTGGGGACTCAGCTCGGGAGCATCAGACGAGTCAGTGAGACGTCGTGAGGAGCACAACGGACACCGACGTGGCGACCCGACGCTTCCGCTTCGCTGCTGCGCCGCCCAAGCACAAGCCCAAACATGCATCCTGTTGTGCTTGATCCAGGCATGTATCTCCCAGTCAGACGGCCGGCCGATTGGCGCATGTTCCAGAAGCGCAATGGAACCTTTTGCATCCCTGTAGAAGAACACCGGCCGAAGGTCTCGGGAAGCCCACGGGTTCCGGCAAGGCATCTTGGTCCTTTGCGGTCCCTCGACACGATCTCCCGGACGCATTGCTGTATACGGATGGACGGCTGCGTGCCCGTAAGCCCATCCGGGCTCTTCGACCGTCGCTGCAACAGCTCGATCGATCAACTGCCGCGCTCCAGGCACGATAGCCGGCGACGCACCGTTCCTTGCGATGGCGTCGTCCATGCTGTCCAATGTCATCCAGCGGCAACGATGTCGCCTGCTTTCTTGTCAGCGGCTTCGGATGCCACCGCCACTCCAAGCCAGCGTTTCCATGTCGGTCCTGCATTGGCCTTAGCCCCTGGTCCTTGCCATCCGCATCTCACAAAGGCACCGCAGATCGCTCACGCCATGTACACTCGACGTACCTACCTGCAAGTGCACCACTCTCTTGTCTGGCCTCGTCCATTGCGCTGCAGTGCCGTCTCGAGCCACCCGGTTGTCGTGGCTTGTTCAGTGCTGTGGAGCCGTGAAACCACCAGCGTGTTAGCGGGGATGCAGACGGGCGCACCTTGCCTAGGCCCTGGGGGACCTTGGGGACGTGGCAGAAAGCCAAATAATCGACCAGCCTCTTTCGGTTGGCGCAGCCATCGTGGTACGCTGGCGAGCGAGGTCGAACCCTTGAAGCCTCGGCAATTCAGGACCCTGCTCTTTCAACCACTTTTGCCGCTGCAGCCTGCTGGCATGTGAAAAGTTGACGCAGCTCGGCGCCTGGTCTGGCCAGCGCCATTTCGCGGTCCCAACGCGCTCACACAGGCTGCAGAGGAGGCGGCAATGCAGGCCGAGTGGTTGAATGAGCGACGGAATGCGGGCAAAGCCCACCTCACACAATTAGTAGTTTCACCCAGCAGGGCCGGTGTCTCGTGCTTCGGAGGACCTCCTAGCGTGGATACGTTTTGAAGAGTCAATGACATCTCCTGGCCAGCGCGCGCAAGTTGGCTGACCTCGCTCCAGGTGGCATGGGCGGGATCCGAGCCGCTCGCGTGCACGCCTAGCAAGGAGCAAAGGCCCGATTCTCATTTGGTGTGCCCGATCGGGCTTGACGCATCTTCTCTGTGGGTGCGCCATCAGTTGTGGTCGTTCGTGACAGCCACCGGACCTGCTTCACTGCATCTGCGCTCGCTGCCTGTCAAAAGGGCCGTCTGTGCGTCCACGGCGCCTAGCCTTACCCAGTTGCGCAGAGGTGCATAAATGAAGTGACGCAATGCCCCTCCCGAACGCTTCGAGAGCTTCCTGGCGCTTGAGTCCCCGCCCAAGGTCGGGTTCAAGTGTGTGCGCCCTCGGGGCCCGCTTCAAGCCAAGACAGGAGCCCTGTTATTATTCTCAGGGCAAGATTGGCAGCCTTCCAGACGACTGTGTGGTGTGACAAAGGGGCGGTCTCTTTCCTGTACTCACCCACCAACAACTGTCCGAAACCTGTTTGCACCTCAGCTCAAGGACTGGCCCGCCCCTGGCGTTGCGACGAAGATCGGGCCAGAAACCCTGCCGGCGGCGTCAACCGCCTCTGGCCACGACCTGGCAATCCTTCACCAGCATTAGCTCGTGGACGGGCCGTAAAGCAGCCAGTCAGATGTTCACGGCGTAAGCAAGCTCAGATCGACGCCGCAGCCACGGCAGCGACAGAGGAGTAGCTCCTCACGAAACTTGAGACTCTCGCGATGAGGCAGCTTGGTCGTTCCCACGCACGAACGGCCGTCATTGCACTGCCTGTTGAAGCTGTGGGATGGGGAATGCAGAAATGGGGGTCTATCATGCTGTAAGCTGTCGGAGCACCGTGAGGACCAGGGACCACCATCTGAACATTCTGTGCCAGAGCGTCTGTGGCATCCACAAGTCTTCTGACAGGTGGGAACATGACGCCCCGTACCCCGGACGCAGGCGCCCCTCCCTGGGACAATGTCCACAGTGATCTGCCCAGAGACGACGTTGGCGACGTCGTCACGGGACGATCCTGAGGCAGGCCAAACCCCTGAGGGCAAGACTAATGCGGACTCGGGGTCTGCCGGCGAGCGCCCAGAGAAACGCCAGCTGCTGCGGCTCGCGCGCTGACGGAATGAAAGTCAAACGGGGCGCTGGCGACGCGATCGATGTCGTTGTCTGCAGCAATTCAACGTGACGAGCCAATGCAAGGGACATGAACGCGGTTTCACCGTCATACCGATCCTGTCTCGCACAATGGTGGCTATTTTGGGTCGGATGGCATAACGCCCTGACGAATTGGTCATTCCGGTTAATATGGCAGCGCTGCGGACGGAGGGAGGGTTGGCGGTGAGGCGGCAGCAGCGTTAGTGTGGGAGTCGACGGGGTGGCGCAACTAATATTATGGACCAGGAAAGCACGAGCCTGGTGCCATGAATGACTTGCGCGCTGTACGAATACTCGGTAATTAATACTGCCTTGGCCTGCGCGGGACCCTATACGAGGGCGGTACTGCAAAGGCAAGGACCAACTCGGACCAGGGAGGACGGGTGCGCCTTCCGTAGGTCCATGGATACTACGTACTCGTAGACGATACATCCCGAAAGGGGAAGAGCAACCTGCTCGCGCTTCGCCCTCTGCCCACCGGTCATTCCACCACGATGTGGCCGGCCAATGGTGTAAGTCGGCTCTCATATCGCAAGCAAGTGCGATGGCCGTTACTTCCCCAGCGGTCGTCTGCTTGCAGCGGACAAGCTGGTGGCCAAGGCCAGCAGCACCTGCCTTCCTGGACCTGGTTTCGTGGCGTGTCCAAAGCTGCAAGTCGTCCAAATGCTTCGTATCTCGCACGTGGCACCTGAAGCCGCTGCCCCTGCGCTCCGCTCCAACGTACGCGGGCGCCTCTCTGCGGCAATTGCACAATTAAGCTTTGTCTCTGGCGCTCGATGCCGCCACACGACCTCTGCAAGTCCTGAGTCGTGAGTCGTGCCGTCTTCAGCGCCGGGAGACGGCGAGAGAGTGAGCACACGTGGGCGCCCAAAGTAAGTTGCCATCTCATCTCGCGCCGCTGGTACTGACGATGTTGCGCCTCGACTTTCACGTGCGTCATGCAGTACTACAGTCCCAGTCTAACGCTACGGACGACATCTGCCACATCTTGGGGGCTAGGCCGCACCCATGCCATGCGCCATCGAATGCGTCGCGGGGCCGGGCGGGAGGCTAGGCGACCCAGACACGCGCCACCGCAGCCCCTCGATGCCCAGGCACCGCGACGCCCACATGGCACTGCCGCCGTCCGTCGACGACCCCAGAGCCGGTGTCAGGACGTGAACAAAGCCTGGAAACTCAGCCATCGACGTCCATCTCAGCCCGTGGCACCCAGCTTGATGCCGAGCCCTGAATCCTGGCGCGTTGGCGGTCATGGGGCATTTCGTTCTTTAGGCTGGTCGGGCAAGATACGGTCATACGAGCACCATGGACGCCGCTTGCCTGCCCGTGGCATCGCCTATAGCACCTCGCACATTAATCGTCCGTGGATGCTTGCCAATACCTCGTACTGATCGCTCATGTCCTTTCCTCCCTACCCCTGCCCACGCCTGTCGTCTCTCTGACGCCACCACCTTGATCATCACCGTCCAGTCCATGCCATGGCCGCCCTGCCAACATGCATCGCTGGGACAGCAGTAGCGCCGAAAGCTGCAGCCGCACAGTGTTGGGCCGACCAAGGTAGGCGATTTCTCGTCTGCGGGTCGGTGGGAGCTGTCGGGGGTTTCTGGCCACGAACATCACCTCAGGACAATGGGCGGCGAGGCCTGTGGACTGGTTGTAATCTGGGTAGGGCTTGTCCCGACCCGCAGAGACGCCCGCTCGCCCACTGCTGGCCCCAGACGGCGGCTCGCTTCAGCATCAACCCGAGGATCCAGAAGGGCATTCCTGAGAAGCGGACGCTCCTAGCGGTCGGCACCGGTCCATCGACGACCGACGGATGACATGTTGCAGCACTGGGGTATCTGGTAGGCAGAGCACCCCGCTAACGCCGCCAGAGTCCACCTCGAGTGCGTTGCCCTCCAGCTCCCACGCATCCTTGGTGTGGGTGCCAACTCGAACGGATCCATTGACGTGCAGCGCAAGGTAGGACATGACGACCTTGGAAGCACCGTAGGTTGGCACCCCCCAGGGGAGACTTGACACCGCAGAGGTGAGTGCCCAGGTGCCTCACGCGGCGACCCGGCCCAGCCGCTCAGTGAGGTGGATGCAGGCGATCAAGCAGGGTACCTTGGGCGGTGCATGGTGGCGCCCACTGCATGTTGCCGGTCCAGGGGGGCCAGGGCTGCGGACGCCCTCGTCTCCAACTCCCGCACACCCTTGACAACTCCATGACATGCCTCCCCTCCACCCTTCAATCTGCGGGCCTGTGGCTGTCGGTACCAGAGAGCCCCGCATGCCCGCCAGCAGGGTTTGGCCCACGCTCGCCGTGGGCGAGATGCCGCCAACCAACAGTCGCTCCGGCGGTTCCTCTTGGCTGCGCTGGAACATCAAGTTCTACTTTTTCGCAGGCCGCCCACCAATCCGGCTGGCAACAGCCGCTGCCGAACGACGACTGTGGGTGCATGCGCATCAGAGGCGTCCAGGGATTTTGCCCGGAGGGGTACGGGTTGGCGGCGTTGGGTATCCCTGGCCGTTGTTGGCACGAGCAGGCAAGCAGACGTTTGCTTTTCATTTGGTGGTCTGCACTGCAGTCCAGCACGAAACGGCGCAGACGTCCCGCCGTCCGAGTCGCGTCGACGACGAACGACGACAGCGAATCCGACTTGAGCATCGACTTGCAAATGTGCATCCCATCCCCCCCTGGCGCACGACACGACGGCACTAGACACCAAGCCCCCAGCGCCGGACCGTCTCCCATTGCGCGCTGCCCCTCATCATCTCCCTTCCCCCCCATCGCATCGCCCATCGTCCGCTAGCCGTCGACGTCGGCGGGAGCCACAGGCTGACCCCCAAAAGAGGAGTCGACACGGCTAGGGCCAGATCCCGGATCCAGAAACGGCGTGCCTCGGCGGCAGCGTTGCGGGCGTGCGGTACGTACCTGCAGCGCCGTGGCCTCCACGCCCACACTCACAGTCCCGTCCACACCCACCTGGGCACCTACGCCTCCCTCGTCGCCCCCCGTCGCCGCCGCCGCCGCCGTCGTCGTCGCTCTGACACCAAGCCCACACACAGCCTAGAGCAGAGAGGCATGCCATCCCTGCACTGTGAGTGCAGTGCCGCGCGCCCCGTCCTCGAGATGCTTGTACCCATCCGGTCGCACTTTGGGTTCACTCTGCTGCAGCAGTAGTAATACCTGGCAACTGCCATCCAAACCTAGCGGCCGCCTGCCTGCCTGATTGCCTCGCTCCCCACATCTACGGCCCGCCGACTTCCATCTCCTGCAATCCATTCCCGTGTGTCTTCTCCTCTCCTTCCGTCTGACTGTATACTCCCTCACCGCCCAACTTGAGGCCGGAAGCCCTTTGCGTCGGCTTCATGTCGACTGCCCGCGGCCCCGCCCCTATCCACGTCCCGTCTCGAGAGCCATCTTTCTTCTGATCCCCGAGCCGCTTCTCCCGCTTCCGCTTCCGCCCCCTCCGCCGCGGCCGCCCGCCGCCCCGTCGCAATGTCCAACGATCCCTCGGTGCGGCGCATCCTGCCCCAGGACGCGCAAGACGCGCACGCCGGCCAGATGAACACTTTCGCCTTTGCGACGCAGCAATATCCGCAGCGGGAGACGCAAAAGAGTGAGCTGCCTCCTTGTCCTCCGTCGCGGCGATGCCTAACATTCGCGTCGCAGACTATGTCTTTGTGGACGAGCACAACCGTCACAAGCGCCTCAAGGGTACGTCTGCGCTCGCCTTGGAGCCGCTCCGGCCGCATTAATAACGTTCTTGACAGTTATGAGGGCCTGCGAGGGCTGCCGGAGAAGAAAGATCAAATGCGACGCCGCGACCACAAATACGTGGCCGTGCTCGGCCTGCATCAGGTTGAAGCTTCACTGCGTCCGTCCCAACGGCTACGACGGCTCCGACACGACAACATACGATACCTTTGTCGACTCGTCGGGGCAGTTTCAGCAGATGTCGATGCAGCCGCAGCTCGCGCAAGTCCCCCCAAAAGGCTCCCAAAGCGTGTACGCGCCCGGCAGCTATTCCGACAGCGATCCCGCCGCCTTCCAGTCCCTCGGCTTCGACGCCCCGCAGTCGCAGCACAATCTGCACTACACCACCATGCCGGCAGCTTCCGTGTCGGTAATGGACCAACAATACGCATCACAGAATGCCTTCCCGACTCCCCCCCTGCAGCAGGGGCCGCGACCCGATTCGTCTCCCGAGGCATACTCCACAGACTCATATCAGAACCAAGATTTGGCCGACCTCTTGGGCGGCTTGAAGGTGAACGAAGTCGGGACAGGTATGGCCATGCGCTGTGTCCAGATGGGTCGGCTCTGCTGACTGGTTTTGTAGCGCCCTACCTGCGCAACAAGGCGTCGTTTCGTCGCGGAGAGCAGCCGGCCGTCGAGGATGATGACGATTTCGGAAGCGTGCTCCCTCGCATCGCCTCCGGCCCGGGCCACAAAATACGAATACCCCCCGAACTGATGCCCGACGAGGGTTCCGCGCTTCACTACTTTGACCTCTACTTTAGCAACGTCCATCCATATGTCCCCGTCTTGGACAAGGCTCAGTTCTACCGCCAATGGAGCACGGCCAGAGAAGCGATCTCGCCCTTGATTTTGGAAGCCATGTTTGCAATCGGCGGTCGCTTGGCGGAAGACCCCGCTCAGGGTCAACAATGGCTGGCTCTCGCATCAAGTATGTGCGCCGCCAGTGCGTGTGAACGTGGACTAACTGTTGCCAGGACACGCCGACTCATTCATGGACATTCCTCGCCTCAGCACGCTCCAAGCCCTGTTGATGATCCTCAAGGCTCGAGAAGCCGCGCCGAAACGGGGCTACTACTACCGCTCGTGGATGACAGTTGTGCAGTGTGTGCAGATGGGCAAGGACCTGGGACTCGACGAGCACTACGACGAGCATCAAGCCGGCCGCCCCTGCGAGTTCAGCCCTAGCGAGTGTCAGCTACGCACCCGCATCTGGCAGACGGTGTTTGTTTGCGAGGTCATGGTCGGCACGCCTCAAGGTTTGAACACATCTTCGAAGGGCTGCGAGGAATCCCCGGCTAACAGTGATAGGCCGTCACGACTTGTCTGTCGACCTGGAGTCCGTGGACTTTAGCATACCGCGTCCGATTGCGGGGGGTGACGACAACGAGTACCTGGTATCGCGAAACTTCACCTACTTTGCGCGGCTCGTGCGCAACATCGGCAAGATGAGCAACGTCTACGCGAGGATCAGGAGAAAGAAGGACTGGGGCATGGATCCCGAGTTCCAGCAGCTCAGCCAGAACATATCATCGTTCCTGACCGAGCTGCCGGCGGACATGACCGTAACCTTTCCCTCGGACGGGGCGCCACCCATGCTGCAGTCCTCGTTCATCGGCAATCTGCACGCCTACTACTACCTAACCCTTATTCTATACCACCGACCTGTACTGTCGTTTCTCGACCCGACCACCAACGAATCGCAGTGGAAACATCACATGCTGATCTGCTACAATGCCGCCAGAGCCCTCTGCCGCCTGCAGGAGGCCACGCTGCAGACGTACGGGCTCACGGGCTTGCAGAACATGCAGCGGGGCTTCAGCTTCTGCGTCTACTCGGGGCTGTCGTGCATCGTATTGCATTTGGTGCGTGGTCTGGCCCGGGATCCCGGAATCCGCGCTGACGTATTGCAGGTGGCCATCGTATCGCCAGACCCTGAGCTGAACTCGGACGCACGTGAGTACTTTACGCGCCACATGAGAATCATGGAAAAGGTCATGGAGGCCTGGTCGATGCCCGAGCTGCAGAAGCAAGTCGACGCCGTTCGGGAAGCCTTTTCGGCCGATGTACGCAAGCCCTTTGTGCTGAAGCCGTCGTTTCCGTACGGGAGCCCACATTCGTCGAGCCACTCGAGCCCGCCGCGGATACCGCAGGGGTATCGGCCCATGGACAGGACAGGTTCTCTGGACCAGCATCTGGACCCTCAACACCCAACAGTCAGTTACACAAGCCACCCCATCACACCTCCAATATCCGTCGGTCCAGGGGACAGCAAGAGTGACTCGCCAGCTGTACAGTCGCTCGTCATGATGCCGCAAGACAACCAGGGACCGGACATGCACCACGGCATGCCCGTCCCGACAAGCCAGTCCTCGTGGAACCCGCAACGCATCTTTGAGTATGTATCCAAGCGAGCCACCGTTTTGCTGCCGAGGATGAGCTGACAGGCCACTTTAGGCAATGGAACACGTCATTCGGGACGCCCGCCCAGACCGGGCAAGTGTCCCCTTCGCCGGCTCATGGCATCAACGTGGCGGCGTCGTCATCTGGCGCGTCGGACGTATCCACGATGCACGACTATCAGGGCGCCAGCTCGTCGTTACCGCAGCAGATGCCCTCGCAGCAGTACTCTGCGCCGGCTCCGATGGCCAACTTTATCACACCGGCCATGTGGCAGGAATCTGTCGCGAGCGTGTACGAGGGCGGGCTGAAGCGGGCCTGGGACTACGACACAATGCAGCCGATGAAGCGCCGCTAAGCCGGTCATGACAAGCGGCGAAGCAACGAGCCGGCGATGGCACACCACCTTTGACCTCTGCTGGCGGGATCCTTTCGTTGGTTGCATACTCACCGTCGAGCTTCCTCACAACCGCTCGGCCCGCTCGGATGACTCGAATAAATTGGCCCGCAGTCAATGGCGGGGTACTTTGGGCATGCACAAAATGTGCCTGTTCCTCTGCATGTATGAGTACGCTGGACAGAGGTTGGGGGGCCCACGTGTTCTTCTGGGAAGAACAGATGCGTGACGGCTGTCGAGGCACGTGGACAACGCAGGACGGAATGTTCATGAAGATATGAAGCTGTGGAGGCGTTTGATTTCGGATCACAATGATTGTATTGGCCTCTGAGGCGGTGCCGTCAGAGGGTAAAATGTACAGTAGCGCACGGCGTCGACTGGCGTTGAGCCACCCCTTGCAGCACGGGGGCGGCGTATTTTGGCTACAGCGGCCTGGCGGATATACCACGGGGTGGCAGGAGTCTTGACAGGGCACGAAGTACGAAGTACGAGGTAGCAGGTTGGTAATCGAAGCGCGCTTGCGGTTGGTGGTGCAATGGACGGGCTGTCGATGTCATCGTGTGCTTGGGGGGTCGGATGCCCGAGGCCAATTCTTTGTGATACAGGCCTCATCGTTCAACGCACAAAGCAGCGCCGGCTCTCATGTCCAATATCCCATGTCCCAAGTCAAAGACGCAGCAGCGAGCACGTCACCGAGGCGGGATGGATACGTCGCTCGATTGGGACGCCGCACATGCAAAGCGACGGAGTACAGAGTACAAGCACGAAGATACACACATGTTGTGCGACCGTGCCTGCAAGGGAAACCCGCGGGCGCGCGTCTCGGCAATCCCCAGCAGTGCAAGGTGGGAATTGCTGCAGGCGACGTGACGAGGAATAGCGGTGGATGCGACGCTGGCGACGGGGCCGGCAGGGGGGCCATTGAAGGTTCTGCGGGCGGTTACGAAGTCTTGGGAGCACAGAAGATGCAGAACGCATTGATGAGAGAGAGAACGGATGAACACGGGGGTGGTGGGCAGCGATAATAAATGGCACGTTGTTGCATTGCAGGAGCGAGCGTGCGTGCATGCAGGCATGGATGCGTGGATGATGGATGCGTGGATGCGTGGTGCCGGGCAATGTTTGGTTCGCCGACGACAAGGGAGGAGGAAGAGAAAAGCTCTTGTGCGAAGCTCTTCAATGTCTTTTATGCCCCTCACTGAACAACCATTGTGAGTGGGATCCCGTTCAGGCACAGCTATATCGTACAGAGCCCAGCGGCCCATCGGGCCCCTTTGCGCCGAATAATGTACATGCAAGAAAGGGGGTATACGTCGTACAAAGCCTCGCATCACTGATGGATGCACAGACCGCGCAGGATGACCATGCAGCCTACTACACCTCCTTGGCCGCCCTCTTGGCAATCTTGTCCCTGACGGCGTCCCAGATCCACGTCTCGACGACGGCCCTGCCGCGCCGTCCCGAGGCCGCCGCCCCGGGTTTCCTCCTCGGCCCCGCCGCCCCGGCCGCGGAGCCGCTGCCGCCCCCGGTGGCGGCGGTGGTGCTCTCCTGCACGTAAAAGGCGTCGACGGCGCGGAGCTCGTACCACTTGCGCGCGGCGTTTTCCTCGGCGGCGTCGCGGACGTAGTTGACGATGCCGAAGCGCGTGCTGGGGGTGCGGCGACGAGTGGTGCTGTGCTGCTGCTGCTGCTGCTGCTGTTGCGTCTGCGCCGCTGTGGCGGACGACGACGACGACGGCGGCGGCGGCGGTGACGGGGAGGCAAAAGAAGGGCGTGACACGCCGGGCCGCAGCAAGTCACCCACGCGGACGTCACTGTAGCGAGGCTTGGCGATGGCGCTCATGGTGGTGAGGGTGAGGCGCGTCGATGCGGGCATGGCGGCGACGAAGCGCGCGAGGGTTGCGCGCGAGGGGCGCGCCGCCGGGGGAAGGTGGACGTGGATATGCGTGACGAAGGGGGCCGTCGTGTACGCGACGAAGGCGAAGGGGAGGATGCCACACAGCGCGACTGAAGTTCGTCAGCAACAACGAACTCTCTTCGGCGTGCGCTTCGTTTTCCTCCTCTTCCCAAACAACGCAGATAGGATACGAAGCCTTCCCTCCCTCTTTGCGCGAAAGAGAAAGGGGGCTGAGGATGAGAGAGCACGTAGTAGGGCAGGGTTAAGGGCAAAACGCACCTCCGGCGGTCTCGCCCCAGGGCTTGTCCGCCTTGACGTAGCCCGGGACGGCGACGAGGCAGAAGAAGGCGCCGACGAAGAGGCTCGTGAGCTTGAGCATGGCGAGGAAGGTGGTGCGCCCTGTGCCGGCGTGGTAGATGATGAGGCGCTCAGGGATCTCTGCGTGGCGCTGCCGTTAGTTCTGTTCTTCTACACTCTGTCATCTCGGGACGTGGGGGGTTGCCGTCGCAGGCATTACGCTACCACGCCGGCACGAAAACGTACCGTATTGCTTCGGGTTCTGGGCCGCCGCGCGGGCTTGTTTCTGCAGCTCAGGGCCGGATGCCTTGCCGGCGGTCGTCCCGGCGGAGGGTGGTGGCTGCGAGGCGAGGCATCGGCGCTGTGGCTGGCGTTGCTGCAGGAGGAGTCGCAGCCGTGGTAGGTGTGCGCGGGTTGCGCGTGTGAAAGGGGCGGAGTGTATGGAGCTGGTCAGTATGCATGCCCAGGGGGCTGCTATCCTGAAAGGCAGCATGGCTGTTGTGGTGATGGTGGTGGTGTTGTTGACATGAGGTTGAGGCCTTGAGGTGGATGAAATGAGACGCCAAAAAGCATGAAGAGCTCTGGGGTGTGACTGGAATAAGTAGCCTACCCTACAGTGGTGACATTCGACGTGAACAGGCGGCTCTACCAAGTTGAAGAGCAAAGGAGCGCCTTTGAGCCGATAAAATGCTGGATGATGGACTGTTTACGTTTTGTGGAAGGGGCAGATGACGCGCGGGTTGGCGCTCATTTCGTTTCGCGTTCTGTGGGCCGCCCCACCCGTCTGTATCGATAAGCAGATTGTAGACTCCCAGCAGCTCAGCACGTCCTGTGCCCCGTCTCGGGGACCTGAGCGACCTAAAGGTCGCTGGACGAAAAATACACTACTACTACTACTACAGGCGGCTCTACGAGAAGCACCAACACCTCAACCAATTAACGAAACCAACGTATCACGAGACGATACTGCTTGAGTAATCCCTTAAGCTGCATCCTTGTTCCGTAGCTTTGTCTTCCCTTTGTTGTGCCAATTGCAGGAGACTTTGCCGCTCAATGGCTTATACGGTACTTCACACGCAATCTCATCAGCACAAGCATCAAGACCAACCAACCTGTGGAGTTCGCAACCACCCTGCAACGCTCTACAAGTTCCTATTTGATGAAGATATCCTCGGCAATGCTCCTTCCAGCCGTCACATGCCTTGGTCGCAATGCGCACGCGACGTCAGTATCAGTGCACGGACATCTGCAAGCGCATCAAGCACGGGGGCCAATCAACTCGATATCGCTGCATGAAGGGTTCCTCTATTCGTCGACATCTAGACAACATTCTTGTCGAGCCACTCCTTCCACTGGTCGACGGACCAGCTGGAGCTGGTGTCGTGGACGACACCATCAAAGACGACCGTGGGCGTGACGTGGACGCCGACGAGGCGGTTCATCTTGGTGAGCAGCTTGAGGTCGTTGGTCACCTGGTTGCCGACGTTGAGGGAGCCGTCCTGGGCGGGCCTGTCGGGGACCTCGAGGAGGGCGTAGACCTTGGCCTCGTCGAGGCCGACGCTCTGGGCGGCGAGCTTGGCGAGGCGCCGGTACGTCTGGTTGCGGGGCTCGTTGACGACGTTGACGTCGAAAAAGTCCTTTTGGGCGTCGAAGAGGGCGGCGCTGTACTCCCAGAACTTGGCCGGGTCGAGGCGCAGGACGGCCAGGGCCGACTCGTGCAGCAGCGTGGAGCTCGGGTGCCAGGGCTGGACCTGCTGGCGGAAGACGACGGCGAGGAGCGAGGCCCACGAGGGGTTGGCGCGCACGAGGGGGAAGACGTCGCGCGTGAGCGTCAGGAACTGCTTGGCGGAGAAGGGGCAGCAGTAGTCGACGTAGAGCTCGAGCGTGTGCGTCGTGTGCGGGACCGACGAGGCAGAGGGCGACGAGGCCGTGTGCGCGGCGGGCGGGGAGCCGAACTCGAGCTTGTGGGCGGCGAACTTGGGCGGGACGGCCATGGCTGCTGCGGTGATGATGGAGAGCTGTGAGGGAATTGGAGCTGGTGGTTTTGCTTTCTTGCTTGGTGTCGCTGTCACCAGGCCGGCTGCTAGGAGGGACGGATGGATGGGGGAGGAGAGCGCAGGGTGCCTCGGACCGGACAGGATTGGCAGTGGCAACAAGTATTGGCACACGCAGGAACTCGAACGGGAGAGCTGGGGGGTTGGGGGTTGGGGGGGAAAAGCAGTGAGAGTGAGTGAGACTGATGAAATGGCGATGATGTGATGGGTGCATGCCGCCATCGACAGTCGATGCACCAATGATGTCAATGCCACTGCCGCGGCTTCCGCCTGCCGGCTCCCGGGGGGGGGGGCCACAGGGGCAGATTGAATTTACCTGCGACAACGACGACGATGGGCGGGCCGCCTGGAAGTCAATCCAACGCCAGGGTGGCCGGCAAGGGCGGACAGCTGCACCAGCGGCAGCAGCAGCATGGGCCTGGGTGGATGGCGGGGTCATTTACACGGCACTGTGGGGGTGGGGTAAATGCCTTGCAGGCGGCATCAGATTCCCGTCAATTACAACATGTCGCGGCTTGCCTCATCCACGACGACAACGTGCACCAGCACCCGGAGAAGCTATGAGCTAGTTGACTCCATGCAAGCCGATAGCCGAGGATCACAAAGGGGTATCGGAACTCGTCGGTTAGATACAATACTACCATAGATCTCGAGCAGTAGTTGGGTGTCCGTTCTTTCTCGGCACTTCAATGTTTATGGATCATATACAGTAGCGGCATGTAAGGGTGGAAATGTCAATTCGCAGCCCAAGGCCCGTCTAAGACTCCAACGCCCATGTCCCATCGTATCGCTACGACCAGTCTATAGTAAAAACACAAAAGAACCACAAGAAGAGAACTGCACGCCTGCTTGGGTCGCGCTAATAGGGGTATCCCGCTCCTGGCCACAACAACCCTGGCCACACACTTACACCGTTGCGAAAGCATAACAAACCCAACACCAAAAGAAACCCAACCACAACCGTTGATCTGGTCCAGCCATCCCAACCCGTCTTCAACCCACCCTTCCCCCCCATAATCATCAACCGGCTCGGACCAGCCGCACGCGCACGTCGTCGCCCAGCCGGTCGAACCCGACGTTGGTGCGCCGCAGCCGCGTCGGCGTCCGGAACGGCTCGTCCTCGAGCTCCTCGATGTCAAAGTCGCGCAGCAGCGTCGCCGCCATCGCCATGGCCGTGTCGAAGCCAATCTTCTTGCCCGGGCAGAGGTTGCCCGCCACGCCGAACCCGCGCACCTTTTGCGTCAGCGGCCCGCGCAGTGAGCATGTCGGGCCCGTCGCCGTCTCGTCGATGTTGAGGAAGCGCTCCGCCCGAAACGTCTCGGCGTCGGGCCCCCACGTCTGGGGGTCGAGGTTGAAGGACAGCATCGGTAGCAGGAGGACGTCGTTTTTGCGTACCGTCACGGCGTCAGCTGATGCTGATGGTGCTGATGGCGCTCCTGAACCCGAGGTTGCTGACGCCACCGCCGGCACCTCAAAGTCCTCGGTCGCAAGGCGCGGGACGATGGTCATGCTGAGGCGCAGTGTCTCGTACCACGCCGCCACGAGGTGAGGGCACGTCGTCCGCACGTTGGATAGGTCGGGGCGGCCGTCGGCGCCGCGCTCCAGCCGCCGCACCTCGGTGACTACCTTGCGCCGCAGTTGCGGGTTGACGAGCAGGTACCGGAAGAGCCATGTCGTGAGCGTGCTCGTCGTCGGCAGCAGGCCCAGCGCCTGCAGCAGCTCGCACTTGTAGTAGTCCGGGTTGGCCTCCCAGTCCTCGCTGTTCATCCGGATAGCGTTGATGCGGTGCGCCGTGCTCGATACCCGGCTGGCGCGGTGCTCCTTGTGAAAGGCCATGAGCTTGGCGACGAGCAGCTCGCGGGCCTCGTAGACGGGCTTAGCCGTGAGCCACGCCACGGGTCGTACCAGGTCCTCAAAGCTGTCACTCAGGGTAATAAAGTTGTCCATGAACTCGCGGTCCGTGTTCCACGGGTTCTCAGCCCCCCAAAAGGAGTGCGCCGTCGCGCCAAGGACCGCGTCGAAGATCCATCGTCCGAGTTGCACTTCCTGCGACGCCGGCTGCTCCCCAAGGCGGTGGTGGATGTAGTTCGCTGCCGACTCGAGCAGCTCGTCGTGGCTCTGTGTGCTGGCAATGGCCTGGTTGTGAAGCGGCCGCGGGTCGTACTCGGCGAAGACGCGGATTCCCTTTTCGCTGAGCCCCAGGGAGCGAGCGGCCACGAGTGTCACGACCTGGATGAGGCTGGTCTCGCGCGAGTGCTTGGCCAGGGCGCGGTCCAGGGCCGGGTTCACCACGACGAGCTTCTTGTTGAGGAGGTCGATGGTGAAGAGAGAGTGGCGAGGGTTCTGCAGGATGAGGTCCCGCACGTAGTGGCCGCCGTTGCGCTTCAGCTGTAGGGCGTGGCCGATGAAGGGGATCGTGGAGGACACATGCGGCAGGGTCGAGGTGTCTGGCGAGGACCGGGCCTTGGTTGTGTGTCGGTTGTATGTGGAAACGATCTTGGGTAAAAGGAGGACAAAGGTGAAGAGGTAGGCGACAAGGAGGTGCTGTGGTATCGCCGTGGTGTTGTCATTGTTGTCCTCATAGTCATAAGAGGACGTGCGGTGTGCCCAAGGACGCAAGAGGTAGTCTGTGTCGTTCATGGTAGGCATCAACAAAGTTGTATTGCCTCTTTTGTCTGATGTGTTAAAGAAGTTGTCTTGTCTCTTTTGTGTGATGGGTTAAAGAAGTTGTATTGTCTCTTTTGTGTGATGTGCTAAAGAGGTTTTGATCCTTCCTTTTCTCCTTTCGCTTTCGAAGCAGTCTCTCCTCGCCTTTATAAACACCTTGCACCGTTTGCACTTACACCGCACACGAGCCGCACAAGGACTGAACAACTCGCACACTCCCCCCTCCCCTTCCGGTCCGAGCACCGCCCCGGCCTCACAGGAACGCCTCACCGTGAAAGGGAACCAACCGAACAGACAGAACACGCCATGACTCCGCAAGTCGTTTTTCTGTCCTTGTGTCTGTCGCGATATATTGCCCGTGCCTGGAGCTTCGCCCCCATCCGCGAGGCTGCTGCGGGTCCCGGTGTCCATCACCACACGCCACACACACACACCCCCTCTCACACCCCTCCCGCCTGGGTCAGCTGCGTTCGTGAACACGGCCGCCAGCCCAAAGAAGCCCGGTGGGGGTTCCCGGGGGGGAGGGAAAGGTCAGGCACCGCTCGTGGCTTTTTGGATGCCGTGCAGAGGGACGAAGCCGTTCGTATCCGGGACGCGGGCGAGGCCGGTGTGTGCTGTGTGTGGACAGCGGCCGGCACGAGGGGCGGAACGACGGCACACCGAGAAGGGTGCGTGTCTTGTATCATGAACGCGATGGGCTTGTAAGGGGAGATGTTTCGTGGCCATGGCTCCTGTGTATTTTCGGTCTTGTAGTTGTGAAACTGCATGCTCGAATTGCTGATGTCGTTGTCATCGTCGTGGGCTGCCGCCGCAGTCACAGTCTAGACTCGCAGACGGGCACCTCAGCTCTTACACGAAGCCCAACGCGGCCAGCCTGCATCTGTGCCCTGCCAATCAAGGCCGAACCACCGCCCAAAAAAAGGTCAAGCAAAAACCATCTACTGTCCGATAGCTGAAAAGAATTGAGCGAAGGGAACCCCGCGCCAGCCGTGAGGCCGCCCAAAGTAGAACAGGCGACGGCGGCTGTTCCGGTTCCTGAACCTGGTGTATTACCACGCCGCGGCTGCGAGTCGCGGCTGCGCAACCACGCCTGCGGTAAGCCAGGCAGTCGAATTCCCTAGCTCACTCGCTCTCGCTCGCACAAACATGACATGATCTTGGGCCAGCCTAGTAACTTAGTAACCGAGTCATCGTTCGTCCGGTCGCACGCCTCGCCAGTCCAACCGGCTTGGCGCGCGCGCCGCCCGCCATCAACCATGCGGCACCGAAGGCCAGGCAGGCAGCGCAGCACATCGCGGGGCCCGATTGCGCCCAGGGCGCCCGTGGCGGGCGTTTCCCAACCCATGTCATTGACGAACTGGTGCGCATTGGCGCTTCCGATTGGGCGGGCTCGCCGGTTCGCAGCGCGTTTTACCACCGAAGCCAGACTCTGCCAGACGAGGGTTCAACTTTCCAAGTGCCCCACGTGGACCCGGCGTTCTTCGTCCGAAGACTTGCTTGTTGGGAGTCTCTTGTCGAGTCGTCGTCGAAACATGGGTTGGGTGTTTGAAGAGTAGTATTGGGAGTTACAACGCCCCCGCCGTGCAGCTCCGATTCTGGCAACGACGGCGACGACAATCGAACCGACCAACGTGCCTCGTGCGCGACGTCGCACAGGCCGCAAGAGCGCGGCGGCCGAGCCTCGTCGTCCCTGCGATGGGGGCAGCGCTTTTCTGACGCAAAGGTGGGACAGAGGACATACATACGGTGTCATGTCATACACAGTCAGAGCTTCAGAAGCGGCGGCAACAGCAACAGGGGAGATCCCAACAGACGTCACTGCTCGGTGTCTCTCATTCTTCGCGGCACGTCCCCACCATCGCAAGACACCGAGCCAGATGCCCCTCTGCCAACTCTGCCCCGCCCGTTCAGCTCCTAGTCCGCCAGGCTACCGAATTGACAACCGGCGAGTGGAATCGCAGCATCGGTCACAGAAGCCTTCTGATGCGAATATAGCCGGGAGGGTCTCAGGGCGAGCTGAAGGAGGGGGGAGAACCCTGCGTGACTGCGTCCCTGACCCTGTCAGCCTTGTGGAGGCCAATCGTCAGGGTGTTCGCTTGGGCGCGCGGGCGTGCCTGGGCTTGGCTCTGCGCCAGCCGCACAGTTGCAACCCGAGGCCAGCAGCAGCAGGTAGCCCAGCCTGGTCCCGAGTCGTTGCTGACTTGACTGGACCGGATTGATTGACTGAGTAACTGGAGGACCAGTTGTGCCGGCCGGCAGGCTGGCTGGCTGGCTGGCGGGGAGGCTGGAGGAGAGGGGGCGGGGCGGAGGCACACCGGACGACTGCGGGCGCCGATGCTGCTGCTGGTACGCCTGCTGGTTGCTGATTCCGAAGCCGCTGAGGGTGGTGGTGTGCGCGTGCGAAAGCATGGTGACCGCGTGGTTTGGTGTTGCATTGGTTGCACGACCTTTGGACCCCGACGACGACTACGACGGCGCAGACGCAGGCACAGATTACTCACTTTCTCGTTTCGTCATTGCTGGTGACCGACGGGCACTGCCACGGGCGCTGTGCACAGCGTCCCGATTCCCGAACGAGGCGACGAGTGCGGGCGGCGTGCTCTCGACAAACACACTGACTGGAGTGCAATCGCGAGGCTGTCCGACCACAGGGCAACGACAACGACAACCAGGGAACCCAGCAGCCCGTCCCCGTGACCCGTGACCCCGAGACCCTGAGTGCCCCGCGCCGCCGCCGCGCCGCGGGCAATGACGGACGGGCGCAGCGACGGAGGAGGAGGCTCTGCCACCCCGCTTGCCTGCCGGCGGCGACCGTACGAAAACCACCACCAGAGGTGATGATGAAGCTGCGAATCTCGCTAAGCAGAGCAGGTGAGTCACGGGAACACGAGGTCGGTCGCTCGGTCGATGGGGGGGCGTGAGGCTCGGCGGGGTCAAGCTCACAGGTCAAGTGAGCTCTGCCTGGGGCGCGACGGAGGGGCTTTCAATCGCGAGTCCTGCGTCATCGTCGGTGTCCCCCGGGGGAGGAGGAGGAGGAGGAGGGGGAGGGGCAAAGCCGGGCGACGACCAGCCCGCAACAACCTCGCAGAGCCTCGCTCGCTCACTCGTCCGTCCGCCCGCCCAAAAAAGAATGAGTCCTGAAACGGGGCCCCTCGGAAAGCCTCAAACGGGGCAGAACACTCGGCGGTTGCCTGCCTGGTGCATGAGGTCACCTTTTCGGGGGCCAGAACGAAACCGCTGCTGCGCATTTGCAACTTGGGCCCCGATCGCGTCTAGCGGCCCCGCGCCGCCCGTCCTGTTACCTGCAGCGGCTGCTGCGATCCGGCGTTTTTTCTGGCCTAGCCGCCTGGCCTGGCTGCTGGTTCATGCCCTGGAATCAGAGAAAGCAACTAATTAGCCTAGCCTAGCAGTACTAACGTTAGCGGTGGCACCCAGGCCCAAGGAATAAGGCTGCTGCTGGCAGGACAAGGCAGGACAGGGTGTCGCCCGAGTGGCGTGCGCGAGGAACGCTTCGCTCGTAGGGCTGACGGTTGGCGCCGTCGTGGTCTCGCGGCTCTTTGTCTTGGTCGGCCGCCAGGTGGGGCCGTGCGCCCGGCCGAGTCGCCCGCCTCCGCTCCCGAGATCTGCGGCCGACCCGGCGTTCCCAATCGGGTAGTTGGCACCCGGTGGTTCATCCGCACGCCCGCCCGCGAGCCCGGGGCTTCAGTCCGACGCCTCCGGTAGCAGCAAAACCCAACAGCAAGACCGAGTTCCATCCCCTATTGCACCACTGAATGCCATATTTCAACACGCGCCCGTTCACATCAGTCGCGGTTGTGTCGTTGGGCGCACCTCGTAACTTTCTTTGGTGTCCCCACGCCGAATGGACGGCGGCGTTGGCAGGCACTGCGCCCCCCCTCCCCGCGGCCAGCGTCCCGAGAGATCGGATCTCGCATGAACGCCGTGCCGCGCGTTGGTTGCATTGCAGCGCGCGGGCACGCGTGGGTTCCTGGCGGACGCGCCAACTACATATGTAGTAGGTATCGCGCTGCACGTTTGGCGACGGTGGGCATTGATGCAAAGAGGGTTGCAACGTCTGTTGGTTTGCCCGGCGTGTGCAGTTCGCGGAGGAATCGATGGTTGCGGCAGCATGAAGGCCTCAGGCACCTGTTTGGATGCACATGTTTACCCTGGGATCGTCGCGTTCCACGTAAACGAGGGCTTTGCGCGAGACAGAAAGGACGCACCTGTGCGATGGTTGGGTGGTGATGGCCAGCACATTTGGGTTTGATGCCGCGACGTGTAACTAAATGGCGATCGCGAGTCGCCATCAAGCGACAAACTATCCCGCCTCGGATGTAGCTTGTTACTTATGGTCCAGGCGTTGGGATGCGGCTTGGACATTGAATCCATCACCGAAGCGTGCTGGGGGTCAATGGCGGAATCAGGAACACGCCGTTTCCGTATGCTCGCAAATGGAGCTACAAAACAAAGCATGGCTCCAAGTGCCCTCGTCAGCCCGGTGGAAGCGTAAAAGTGTTCCCAAACCATGACACTCACAACCATACGTGTCCCTGCTACCACGGTTCTGCGTGTCGAGCCGCCAACACCAACGCTTTGTGCCATGCAGTGCGACGTGCCCCTCGCATTATTGATAACGTCTAAACACGATTGCAGTATTGCTCGTGAATATGACCCTGGAAACAACCTACAACCAGAATTTGTCCTTGGTCATGTAACTGGGCACGCCGCTAGCCACCAACCCAACAGGGTAGAAGTGAGCTCCTGAAACTGACACCGGGGGCATCTTGTAGGCCTACGTACTGCTGTCTGCTTATGTTTGGATATAATCTTCAATTGTCCTACAAATTTCGCGAACCTTGTCGTGCGCTGTGCATTGGATGTAGCAGTATGGCAAGCAATGAAGCAAATTCGATTAGCGGCAAGCTCAGTCTCGTGAACGAATATAATACCTGATGTGGCAATGTTAGGAAGCTTGCATCCTCAATCGTACCGCTATTCACTGTGATACAACCTGCATACCTTGCAAGCACCGCAACCGTCACTGATCGAATGCTGTAAAGTACGTTCGAGTTGAGATCAGCTCGACGATGGCTATCCTGCAACCAGATCAATCTGGCCTGGGTATAGAGATTGAAGTGCTCGTCAGGTCGAAGGAGCTGTGCCAAGTTGGCCACTTAGAGCGGGACCGTCGAGTTCTCAGGCCATCAGGCGTCAAGAAGGCTGACCAAGCCATTCCTTGGGCCAATTTCACCGTCAATTTCGCCAACAGGGCCATGATGTACGCCTGATCGCGAGTAGGCGAGTCGAGAGACCATCCAAACAGGCGGCAGCTCGATGCTTTTGTTGGGCAGTGATGCAGCCCGCCCACCAGCCCTGTGAGCATCTCATTTACTTCAGGAGATAGCCGCGGTTCTGGGAAGAGGCAGCCCAGTGAATGAGTGTTTAAGTCGAGGTCGACCCCGCGATTTCCATCTTTGTTATGGTTGAGGAGTTTTGCAAGAGGCAATGAAGGACGTGATTTCAGAGTAGTACTTTTCAACAGTAGAGCACCCTCCCGCACGCGTGGCTGCAAATACAGCACCGTGTGTATTTCTCACTCTAAATCGAGTAGAGTGGCGTCGGGACCAGTGCCGGCACTGCCTCATTAGCCAGTGCGGGTATTTGAACAGACCAAGGGCGCCCGTGGTGGTCATGCTGGAACCCCTTCCGAGGCCTACGTGACGGCGCAAGAGCCATAACCTACGCGCGGCGGAAGTGTGACCCCAAGTCTCGCCACAAGCGTCGAGTCCACGCAGACTCGTGGTCTCTCGACACCGCCTGTTGCCCAGTTGACGTGTCTTCCAGCTGGGCATCAGAGGATCCTGGTGAATTGCGGGCAAGCCCTCGGTGGCGTTGCGCCACGCGCTGGAGATGCGCACGGCAGAGAAGAGCAACTCAGCTGCGCGTTGCAAAGCAGTACTTATGGTTCTTGACGGACCGGGGCTCTGGCGTGATCGTGTATGGCAATGGCCGGATCGCTGTGAGGGGGAAACGCGCGCATTACAGATATTAGCGAGGATCAAGGCCAGGGCGATGTGAGGGGCGGGTTGGCGGACACGATGCATATTTTTGCTGGTGGCTTTTGGAAGAGATGGCCGTGTTGGTCGTGCCACCGCGCGCACCTTGACGGCCACAGAGCCAGACGACGATACTCTAGCAGCGATGCAATCGCGGATTGCAAGACATGCACGCCAATACCCGCGACACGCACGCAGACAGCATGTCTGAGACCTTGGGCAGCGTGCAGCGGCCCACCTTGTAACGGGCAACACGCGACACTTGCACGTTTTGGCCCGCCGTGTCGTCGCATCAATGATCACATCATATCAGATCAAAGCGCCCTCATTTGGCGTTTTTTAACTTATAAGGTTGCCCGAGGTGCCGGCGCTAGAGGCTGGAGTGGCCCGCCCGCTGCCACCTCGCTTATTTCGAGGTGCCGGCAGCGCCTGGGCCCGCCTACACGCTACACTGTACAGGCACATGCCTAACGGGCAGTGGAGGGTAGCGTTAAAATGTACCTACAGTACAGCACCTCTTCTGTGGCACTGCGCCCTATCGCCCACTGTTGTTACGGTGCATCGTTCAACCGGCGCCCGGCCGTTCAACGAGATTGCATGCGCATTCAACCCTCTAACGTTGGCTCCTCGTCTCCAACCTGACGATCCATCGCCAAAACCAAACCCGCCGAGATGGACAATACGAGCTTCCCACGTCGCCGCCAATGCGCGCTCCCTCATGCGACTTGCCCGCCGCGCGGCGGCCCACGGGTGCCATTGCATTGCAACTACCGCCAAGCCTCCCCGCCGCCGCCTTCTTGGCTGGGAACCGACTAGCCGGCCCCATGGGCTGCGCCATCGGAAGTTGACGGGCAGTGGATCGCTGCCCGCCCGCCGCAGCAAAAGCTCAGGCGTCAAAACCATGTCGCCGCCTCTCTATCAAGGTCTCCCCTCTTGCGCCGTGTCATCCTGCCGCTCATCCAATCTTCATCCTCGCCGCCCTTGGCATCATCACGGAGCGTGACGACGTATATCTGCACTCACACACCCGCACCGTAAACCACCAAACCCCGAGAGTGCGCAGACGAGAAGGCCACCATGATCTGCCTCAACAAGGCCGACGAGGGCACCTTCAAGCACCTCTCCTTCAACCAGAGCCCCCCCGCCCTGGCCCCCAGCCACACCACCCGCCAGGACCTCAACGGCATCGCCAACCTGCGCGAGTTTGTCGCCGGCGGGCAGGACGTCAACGGCGGCGACGCCTCGGCGGTGGGCGCCAACGGGGACAGAGGCGGACCAGACGTGTGGCATCACGAGCCCTGGCCCGTCGCCGCGGCTCTGGATGCGAGACGACGGCCCTGTGCGTCCCCCCTTCCTTCCCATTGACCTCGTACATCCGTGTCGAATGCTGACTCTTGCCTCTCCCAGGGCTGTTCTCGCGTCTCAAGGCGGCCGTTGGTGGTGAAGACCAGCCTCGCCTCCGGGTGTCGTCCTCGGGCCGCCTCGAGCGCCTGTGGAGTTGGACCACCTGGACCCTTTCCGTCCTCTTCTCTGCGTATCTGCTTTCTTCTCTGCCTCCGTTTCTGAGCTCGCACCATGGATCCCCCACCGCCCATGTTGTGGCAGCCGACGCCGCAGCTGCCAGTGCTCCCGCACGCCTTCGCAAGCGCTCGACGTGCGCGACTGGCGGCGTCGACCCGGCCAAGTACAACCTGCCGCTCCATGCGGGTGCCATTGCCATCATCCTCTTCGTCTCGACCCTCGGCTGCGCCTTTCCCATCATGGCCACCAAGTTCCCCGGTCTGCGCATCCCGCGGCGCTTCTTCTTCGCCATCCGTCACTTTGGCACCGGTGTCCTCATTGCCACGGCCTTTGTCCATCTGCTGCCCACGGCGTTCCAGTCCCTCGGCAACGACTGCCTAAGCTCGTTTTGGACGGAAGGCTATCAGCCCATGCCAGGAGCCATAGCTTTGGCTGCCATCTTCCTCATCACCGTCATCGAGATGATCTTCCACCCGTCCCGCCATGTGCCGCCGCCTCAGATCGTTTCGGGCGGTCGGGCCGGTGGCCAGGGCCAAGAGGCCAAGGGCGGCCACCTCTGCTCCAACACGGCCTTGATGCCTTTCCGGGACATGGGGCCTCTCCGCGGCCGCTCCTCTAGCATTGGCCAGGGCCTGTCGCAGCTGGACCAGATCCACCAGCTGGCTGAGCGGGATGACGCCGCACAGGTGTCCAAGCAAGAGGACAACACGGCCATTCAGGACAGCGGTGCCGAGTCGCTGTCAGAGGTGCAATTGTCGCCCGAGATGAAGCTCCGAAAGGAGCGTCTCCAGTGCGTCTTGCTCGAGATGGGCATCCTCTTCCACAGCGTCTTCATCGGCATGGCTCTGAGCGTCTCCGTCGGGACCGACTTTATCGTCCTCCTCATCGCCATCATCTTCCATCAGACGTTTGAGGGCTTGGCGCTTGGCTCCCGCATCGCCACCGTGGATTGGGGCACCAGGACGTGGGAGCCTTGGTTCATGGCGCTCCTCTATGGATGCACCACGCCGCTCGGCCAGGCGCTTGGCGTGGCGACGCACACGCTGTACAGCCCGGACTCGGAGGTGGGCCTGATTGTCGTGGGCGTCATGAATGCCATCTCGGCCGGCCTGCTTACCTTTGCGTCCCTGGTCGAGCTGCTGTCCGAGGACTTTTTGAGCGACGAGAGCTGGAGGTATCTGCGCGGCAAGCAGCGCGTGGGTGCCTGCGTGCTCGTCTTTGCCGGCGCTTTCCTCATGAGCCTCGTCGGGGCCTGGGCGTAGACAGAAACACACAAGCATACGCCGGCGCTGCCAAGGAGACGCAAAGTATCGTCTCTGGGTAGCGCCGATTACCTGCTTGGCGCCGCATGTTGTCAAAAGACGAGATGCGGGGCCGGCGGGCGTTGGGCGTCGACCGGATGGAGGTCACATCGTCCACCTTTTCATTCTGCACTGCGATGGCGTGTAACATGGCACCACCTGTCGTGCTGCACAACGTCGCCTTGTTCTGCAAGGGAATGCCGTTCTCGGCCCACAGGACATTTCTACACATGGAACATCTACTTCGTACCACATCTTTTCAACAAAGGTGCTTGCATATAAACACATATAGCCTTGCAAACATGCAGCCGTTCATTCGTTATTGCCTCTTCTGTGATGTATGCCGTCTATGAGACCGTGTTCTTGGCCACGACGCCCCGCGCAAACTCGCCAAAGGTCAGGTGCTGCTCAATGTCCACCTCCTCGCCGAGGTTGGGCTGCGTGAAGACGGCGAGCGTGTTCCTCGCGACGCGGCCGTCGCTGACGCTCGCGCGCACGCCCCTGACAAAGTGCGGCACGGCCTTGAACCGCCCCGCCGTGATGCGCTCCAGCGCCTCGCCCGTCTGGAAGGCGATGCAGTCGCGCGGGATCTTGACCTGCACCGTCTCGCCGGTGCGCGACTTGATGTACAGCCCGGCCTCGGGGTCGGGCGACGCGCCGAGCTCCTGCAGCGGCGGTAGCGAGGCACCCGACCCGGCGGACGCGGCGGCGTCGCGCGGCACCGCGGGGCTCACCTCCTTCTCGTCGATGAACATGGCCGACGTCAGGCCCGTGAGGCACCCGTGGTCGAGGTGCGTGGCGCACCAGTCGTCCTCGGTGGTGCCGTCGTTGCGGTCCAGCCCCTGCGGGAAGTAGTGCAGCAGGCGGGCCTTGGTGGTGCTCGACGTGCTGACGACGTGCTCGAGGTAGCCGCGCGGGTAGCCCTGGATCTCGCGCTCGGCGAAGCGGTCGCACGCGCGGGCGACGAGCACGGCCACGTCGATGATGAGCCGGCAGAGGGCCGTGACCGCGGGCTTGAAGCCGGGGAGCACCTCCTCGCGCGGCCACAGGTTCGGCGACAGGTACTCGGGGAATGTGTCGGCTGAGAACTCGGCCGTCGGCACGGCGCACTCGAGCGACGGGTCCACGTAGAAGGCGCAGTTGGCGTAGTAGGAGCCCTTGAAGGTGTCGGCCTGCCCGTTCTTGAGCGTCTCCTTGCCGAGGGACCACCCGGTGAGGTACTTGGCCTTGACGTTTTCGAGCTTCTCTGTATTATGTGTCAGTGATCTGTGTGTTACTCCCGCTGGGCTCACGCCATGGGCTCATCGTGCGTCTCCCTCCCAGATGGTACCCTCGGGATCAGCGTCAGGGGTCAGCCAAGTGGCCGGCGTACCTAGCTCCGCCGCGGGCAAGTTGCCGAGATAGCTTGCATAGGAGAGCGCCATGTGGCGCAGCTGGGCAAAGTCCTGGGGCACGTCCTTGACGACCAGGATGCCGAGCGAGTCGGGCCCAAAGGCCGCCTGCAGGGTCTCAAACGAGACGGTGCCTGCGCAGTGTGTTAGCTGGGCTGGTCGGATCTCTGTGACTTGCATCCCGCTAACAAGCAGCACGGGGTCAACCGTCATACCATCGGTGAGGTCCTTGAGGGACACGGTCACGGCCTGAGCTTGCGCCACCATCTTGCTCTGTGTCTTTTAACTGTGTAACACTGGACCCAGTTGAAACGGGGCGGGAGGAGAAGAATCAGATAAGAAAAAGGATTGAAATGGCATGAGCTGGAGCAGGCTTCCCCGGAAAACCGTTATATCGTCCTATGCGTTAGCCACCCCCACTGTTTTCCGCTGGAGAACCCGACCTCCCAGGGCGGCCGCGGCGGGGGAACTGGTGCATAGACACAGCACCCTCGTTAGGGAAGGTGGCCCAACTCGGGGGCCCTAGCCGCCCGCTTACATAATTTATTGACGTCGCGTAGCTGTCTGGAGCTCGCCGCATCCCGATCCGCCGTGCTGTCCAACGACACATGGCCAGTCGCTCAACATCGCGGCACGCGAATCCCGACGCAACCCGCCCACCATGGTCAAACCGCTGACCTTCAAGGGCGACAAGAAGCCCAAGAAGCGGAAGCGCGACAAGCCTGCCGCTGGCTTCGACGACGACGACGAAGGCGCCGCCGGGCCTGCGGCCAAGCAGCTCCAGCGCGCGCGCGGCGACGATAATGGCGACGGCGCCGAGGCGGCCAGCGACGACACCTGGGTGTCTGCTGAGGCAGTCTCGGACGTGGTTGGACCCGTCATGATTGTCCTTCCCACGGACAAGCCGTCGGCGCTGGCGTGCGACCCGAGCGGCAAGGTGTTTGCCATGCCCGTCGAGAACACGGTCGACGATAACCCGGCGACGGCGGAGCCGCACGACGTACGCCAGGTCTGGGTCGCCAACAAGATTGCGGGCACGGAAAACTATCGCTTCAAGGGGCACCACGGACGGTACGGGCCGACCTCACTTCCTCCGTCTCATTTGATCCAGGCCGGCAGCTGACTTCCCCTGGTTAGGTTCCTGGCATGCGACAAGATCGGCCACCTATCTGCCACGTCCGAGGCCGTCTCGCCGCTCGAGTGCTTCAGCCTCATCGCCACGGCCGACACACCCGGCACGTTCCAGGTGCAGACGCTGCGCGACACGCTGCTGACGGTCAAGCCCTCGACGTCGGCCAAGGCGGGCGCGCCGCCGGCCGAGGTGCGCGGCGACGCCGAGACCATCACCTTTGACACGACGTTCCGCATCCGCATGCAGGCGCGCTTCAAGCCCAAGCTCCGGGCCTCCAAGGAGGAAAAGGCCCTCGCCAAGATCAGCCGCCGTGAGCTCGAGGAGGCGGCCGGCCGCAAGCTGACCGAGGACGAGATCAAGATGCTGAAGCGGGCGCGCCGCGAGGGCGACTACCACGAGAAGCTGCTGGACATTAAGGTCAAGGGCAAGCACGACAAGTTTGCGTGAGCGGGCGGCGTTTTCCCATCCGAGCGACGGCAGGGGTGCAATGGGGACGTGCCGGGTCGGGCTCCGGTCCGGTGCCTGTGACGGGCTTGGCCCCCGTGGGGGTTTATGTGTCGGCTACGGGACGACGGAAAGGGCGTTGTAAGCGCCTCGCGACCCACCCCGACGACCCCGCGGCGCTTCGATGCTTCGATGCGTCGACACTATAGCGCCAAGCCCTCTCGTTTGCGCAGCTCAAACCACAAGCGTGCCAGGTGAGATTGGAACCAACGATCCTCAAGGAATGGGTAGAGCACCCGATGGGGTTCAGGCCCAGGTTATGGCGCCCTGACTCCTCTACTGGCTTCGAGGACTGCCAAGTCGGGTCAGGCAGGCTCTCGCAACTGTGCATGAGTACCAGTGGCCTGAGAACAGACGCCATGGTTGGGCCTAGCATATACACATCACAGATGGCAACACGTGCCTGAAATGACATTACTGTTGCACATGCCATGCATTGACACGATGACACGAAAGCATGCGCATGCTGATTTGACTTGACTTGATTTCATTTGATTCATCGCTGGACACTCAGCTGCCCGGCCTCCACGCCTTGATGTTGCCGTCCTCGCCCGCCGTAAACACCAGCTGCTCCTCGTCGAAGAAGCAAAACGAGCGCACAATCTCCTCGCCGTGCGCGCCCGGCAGGCCGACGCCGTTGGCGCGGTCCAGCACCCACTCCTGCCCCCGCGCCGGGTCGCGGGCCATGAAGACGAGCTCAAAGTGCTGCTTGCTTTGGTGGCTGTTAGCGAGTACACCAAGTAAAGCAATGAACTTGAAGTTAAGGGTAACATGGACACAACGCTAAAGTAAAAGGCAGGAGAGGAACAAAGACGTACTCTTGAGATCCCGCGCCGATGACGGCCCCGCTGCCATCCGTCTTGGGCGTCACGCCGGCCACGTACTGCACGGGCACATCGTCCTCACCCGCGAGGGCCTTCCGCAGGTCTCCAAACGCCTGCGTAGCGTCTCCCGAGGCGCGATGGTCGGCGACGTCGTAGAGGGCGAAGCGCTCGTCGTGCGACAGGGCGTAGACCTCGGTGTCGGTGAGGAAGCCGGCGTGGTGGATGCTCGCGCCGAGGTTGAGCGTCTGCAGCGTGAGGTCGTCCTCGTCGGCGACGCGCGTGTCGTACACGTTGACGAGCCCGTCGGTCGAGCCGCTTAGTAGCAGCGCGGGCTGCGCGGGGTGGAAGGATAGTGTTGTGACGTCGTCGGAGTGGACTTCTTGGTAGTGCGCGCGCGGGGAGGGGGTCGACCGCACGTCCCTGTGTAGTTGTTGCGTGAGTGGTGTGGACTCGGAGAGATCGGGCGCGGTATGAGAAGCGGGAGTGGGAGGAGAGAGGGGAGAAGACTGCGTACCATAGATATATCGAGGCTGTGTGGTTGGTGAGCTCCGTGCCCACGGCTATCGTCTGCGTGCTCGCGCTACACGCCATGCTCAAGATCGGCGCATCGCTCGCTGCTCTCTTCCGTCAGCATCCTTCTCCCCGAGTCCCATCCTCTCTCTCTCTCTCTCTCTCTCTCTCTCGCTCCATCTCCGACACCACCAGGGCCTGCATCTCGACGACGCCTCTGCTCACTCTCACTCACCCTTGAACCGCGCCACCCTCGCCGCCTCGCCCGCCGCGCGCAGATCCCACACGGCCACGCCCCCGTCCTCGCCCGCCGTGCACACAAGCCCCGCCGGCCCGTCGAACACGCGCAGCGCCGCGACGCCGCCCCCGTGGCCGAGCGCCCAGGCGTTCGCCGCCGCGCTGCCGCCGCCGAAGCGTGTCGGGTCCAGCAGCGTCAGCCGCTGGTCCGACGTGATGGACGCGAGGCCCGCCGCCGTGCGGTGCAGGTCCAGCACGTACACGGCATCACCGTCGCCGCCGCCGCTGCCGCCCGGGAAGTGGTGCCGCGCGACGTTGGAGAGGTTGTACATGGTCGCGGACCGTCGTGGTCGGGGTGGGTTGTGTATGTGTGTGTGTGTGTGTGAGTGAGGTTTTGGCGATGGTGGGGTGAGGCAAAAGTTTTGGGAGCGCCGCGGGCGGTGAAAGTTGTTCACCAGTGACCTCACCGAGCTCTTCAAAATGTAAAGAGAAAACACAGGAGCAACTCAGATTTTACAGTATCTCGTCGAAGACAAAGTTCACGTCCTTGGCCTGTCCTCTGGCGGGCGGCCACTTGAACTTTGCGGCCTCGTTTTCAATGGACAGCCTCGTCCGCCTCACGACGCTCACAGCTTCACAGACGGAACTTCAACTACGCTTCAAGACGTCATCGACTGAGGTCCACAACTCGGTTGACTCATTACGGCAATGGCAATAAACCGCCATTACCCTTTACTTATTCATATCGTACACTCGTTTTTGTCTATCGGCTGAATGGAGTGCCAAATCGCCGCCAACAGTCCGCTGAACCAAAACGCCGAAAGATGCAGTGTTGTGTTGCTGCCCATTAACCCATGCCGCCGTTACATGTCGTCCTTGTGCTTCCTATCCGCTCGCTCGTTTACGCCACGGAACGCTCGCTTGCCCACTTCGTAGCTGCTGATCATTATGGCGCACGCCGGTGCCACCTTGAGTGTGCGCGGGATCCAGCCCCTCCACAGCCCCGCGAGGCCCTCCGTCTTGAAGATGTGCATCAGGAGGCGCACCATGCTGAGCTCTTCGGGCGCCTGGGCGGCCGCATCGCCCACTGCGCTCTTCGATCCGTCCCGGTATACCTGCGTGCGCGTCTTGCCGACGTCGAACGGCATGGTCACGATCGAGGCAAAGGCGCCGGACATGGCGCCCGCGGTGAAGCTGTCGACAAACGTCTCGGTGTGGTTCTCCCGGCTCTGTGACCTGAGCCGGGCCTGCTGCGGCGAGTCTGAGAGAGTCAGAGACCGGCCCCGCTTCTCTTCGCGCGCGTCGGTGAGCTTGGCTCGGATCGTCTCGTATCCCCACCAGTAGATGCCCGAGAAGGGCACGTCGCGCCAGAGGGTCAGCGTCAGTCCTCTCCAGAGCGACGTGTACCCGTGAGCGCCGACCATTTCCCGAATGCCGTTGAACGCCTCTACCAGGTGATTCGTCGTGCCGACCCCGGAGGCGGCCTGCATCCTCGTGCGCACCAGCTCGATGGGGCTGACCGCCGTCGCAGCAAATATACGCGCCAGGGACCCCGACGTCAGGGGCGCGTGGTCCGAGGACAGCCCCGACAGAGGGCTCTTGCTGCTGTACCGCAGCCAGTCGTATCCGGCAAAGTAGATGATGTTGGCGGGCACCGCCATGGCCAGCGTCGGGGACAGGCCCCGCCACAGCGTCGTCACGCCCTCGTTACGGGCGATTTTGCGCATGCCGTCGATGGTGGATGTATACGTCTTCTTCTGCACCTCCTGCACGGCGCAGTCGGCGGGCGCGGCCATGCGGGGGGCGGCGATGCAGTACGACGCGTCGTTGCCAGCGAAGAAGACCTCGCGGCAGCACGCCGTAACTCCGAGCTCGGCCGTCTGCGCCGGGGTGAGGGTGGTCGTGGTGAGGGCGAGGCGGGAGAAGTCGACCGTGGACGTCGGCATCTTTTGCGACTGCAGCCGGACTCGGACTACGTCGAGGGGCGTCACTGGAGTGGTGCACGTCAGCACTGGCGGTCAGTCGTCGGACTTTCTCGGAGAGGTCACGAACTAAGCAGCGACGTCAAGAGGCTGCCGGCCGACGCCGACGCCATCTTCTGGGGCGCCGTGATGGTCATGCCGGAGGCGTCGTCTTGGACGGCCTCGATGTCGACGAGGCGAGACATGGCGAACTCGTCGTCGGCACCGAGCCGGTCGTGGTTCTGGCCACGGGCGCTGTCGCGCCTTGTGGAAGCCATGAAGATTGGTGATGTCGGCTCAGAGCATCATCCACGGGTCGCGCACTCTTGCTCAACAGAGGAGCCGAGTCGTCGCAGCCGCGTCGGAGGCCGCAATACCGAATGTTGCTGTGAATGCGAGTCGAGCGAGGTGCGAGCGGAGAGAAGGGTTGGGGGAGGCGAAGAGTCAACGATGGATATTAGTTGGCAGGCATTCGGTTACCAAATAGCTTCTGCGACCGCCTAGAATTTTGGGGGGCCATTGGGGTGTTCGCCCCCCCGGTGGCCGGAGATAAATGGGGCCTCTTGGGTGCTCGATGCCGCGGGTTTCCGATGATGTCAAGGATACGGTCTGATTGGCTGCGACCATCGGCCCTTGCGGCCATCGGCGCCCGCGCATCGCCCGATAGCGCTATCAACTATCGATAAGCCTTGGCGGCGGCTGGTCCCTGACAAGACTGACAAGCCGACCGACAGCGCAAGGTGCGAAAAAAAATTAGTGGGGGAGGGGCTCCCTGACTAAGCCAAAAAGTTGGCGATAAGATTCTGATTTTGTTCGCATCGTGCCTCGCCAGGCCAGACCAGCGGCGGTCAACGACACCCGTGTGCAGCGCTCGACACCGTCAAGATGCGGTACGTCTCGCGCGGCCCCCAGTTCATTGCGCAGCAGCTGACAGAAGTAGTATCGAGCCCTGTTACTTTTGCGGGCGGCCCGCCTACCCGTCCAAGGGCATCACCTTTGTCAGAAACGACGGTACGACGTTCCCCCATGATCCCCTTGTTCTCGGCGGATGCATTCGAAAGAGACAAACAAACCTACAGAGAGCGAGTGAACCCCAGGGACTGACCGAATTCCACAGCCAAGTCGTTCCGCTTCTGCCGATCAAAATGCCACCGTAACTTCAAGATGAAGCGCAACCCGCGCAAGCTCAAGTGGACCAAGGCGTACCGCCGCAATGCGGGCAAGGAGATGACGGTGGACAGCACGCTGCTGTTCGGGGCGCGGCGCAACGAGCCGGTGCGCTACGACCGCGACCTCGTGCAGAAGACGCTGGCGGCCATGGAGCGCGTCAGCGAGATCCGCGCCCGCCGCGAGCGCGTCTTCTACAAGAAGCGCATGGCCGGCAAGCGCGAGCGCGAGCTGGCGACGGCGCGCAAGCTCGTCGCCGAGAACGAGCACCTGCTGCCGCGCCTGCGGGGCAGCGAGCGCAAGCGCCTCGAGGAGCTGGCCGCCGAGCAGGGCCTCGACGTCGACGAGCTGGTCGAGGAGTCCATGGCCGCGACGGCCGGCAAGACAAAGGTCTTTGGCGTCGAGAAGAAGAGGCTGCGGGTGCGGGCCGACGGGGACGTCGAGGAGGAGGGCGCCGAGGACGACGGCATGGACATGGACTAGATGGGGCAGGGTCGCGCTCTGCTGCGATGGAGTTGCTGGTGGGATTCTTCGACTCCGGGGGACGGAAAAAAAGTGCTAAAGTGCTTCGCATACCCACGCCGCGAGAGCACGCAGGAGCATGGCCGACTTTGCTACATAGCGTTCTGGGATCTTTTCTAGATGACAATGGAGTTTTCCTTCTCATGGCAGCTCGGACGTTCCAATGCTGACCTGCCTCATTACTATGTCGGCTTTGGAATCGTCATCTTCACGGATTTGGAGACTCTTGTACTCGCCAGTCTGTCCCGGGAGGCGGATGCCAAAGACCCAGTCGCAGACGTCAAGCACCCAGTTCTGAGCAGACTCCTCTGTCGGTTGATGGTTAAACGGCCCACGCGTGCGGTCGGCCTCCCATGTTATCTCCACGATGCGCGCCGCCTCCTCCTCTGAGGTCTCTCCCCCCTCGGCACCTCCTCGCCGCGCCGTCTCGATCCTCGCCGTGACGATGGGATTCCCCGTCCAGCTGCGCAAAAAGTGCACGTCCACCTTCCCGTCGGCGTCAGGGCCCTCGGCGTATACGTGCCACTTGTGGTCCATGATCTGGGCGCTGAAGCCCATGAGCAGCGTCGCCAGGCTGCCGGGCGGGAGGGCGACGACCCATGGCGTGGTCACGGGCTGCGCGTAGTCCTTGGCGGGGATTTTTCTTGGGAAGCTGGCTTTGGTGACGCGCTTGGTGGGCGCGTACTCTAGGTAGTGCTCCATGGGACTGGCGGGAGTCTGAGTGTGAACTCTGAGCTGCTGCGGAGTCGTGATGAGTTGGCGGCTCAGTCCCTGGACATGTGTCGTCTGTTCAGCCGCATTGCCCCGAAGCCGATGCCGTCTTACAGCGGCTCGCTCATTGCCACCAGCGTCGCCAGGCAGCAAGCACCTTCAGATTCCATCTTGGCCACTTTTAGACTGCACACCTGATAATGTGGGATTCGACCATGTCAAGTCAAGAAGCTAAGCGCAGTGTGCCTATCCTAGTGTTACCGTACCATGCGTCGTCGCCGCTTCTCCAGGCCATTGTCCGCCACTCGCCGCTGAAGATGGTGCAGAGCCAAACGTTAAAAATGCCTGCTGGCCAAGCTCATTGCCGGGCCATGTGCCACCCAACGGCACCGAATCGGAGCGCAAACACAGGTGGCGGGTGCCGTACCGTTTGGTGCTCCAGCGCAGGCGCAGGCGATCCACCTCCACACTCGAAGTGGATTAATCATGCCGACTCCATTCATCCATCATCCATCCTCACCCGTCGCCCATCCTCACTCACCGTTCATATCACAAACTCATACACACTTCTCCTCTCAGTCGCGGCATCATGTCTATCCTCAAGTCATATTAGCTGCATCCTGCCAGCCACGCAGCCGTCTCTCAACCTTTCCTCGCACAGGCAGGCCAGGGCAGTCTCTCGGGTTCTCCCCCGCCGCCGCCGGGCTTAGCGGACTTATTCGTCGTCACCACCACTCATCCGTCCTGTGCCCTCCCATCCGCCATGTCGGACTCCAAGCCCCCCTCGGGCCTCGACTCGGAGCTCGAGTCCTTTCGGCAGCAGTGGCTCTCCGACCTGCGCACCCGCAAGGCCGATGCCCCTCCTCAGACGCCGTCCGCCGCACCCGCCGGCGCTCATCACGGTCAGCCGCCGCCGCCGTTGCCATCATCGTCAACAGCTGCAGGCACAGCATCCGCGGCGCCGCCGTCACGACGGACCGCCTCGTCGCCCACGCGCAGCAGAAGGCCCGCGCCACCGCTGCCGCAGCAGGTCGACCCCGCCGACGCAGAGGATGATTACTTCAAGCCCCAGTCGTTCGATGACCTGCCGTCGCCGGCGCCGGTCACCGGCCACACTCTCGACGGGTCCGTACGGCCGCCCCCTGCGCAGGTGACGCCGTCCTCCCCGTCCGAGGGCCGCCTCGTCTCGGCCTTGGACCACTACGAAGAGGCCATGGAGAAGGAGGCCCAGGGCAGCATGGGCGACAGCCTCAAGCTGTACCGGCAGGCGTACCGGCTGGACCACCGCGTCGACAAGCGGTATCGCGAGAAGCACTTTCCCGCGTCATCCTCCACCAAGCCGGCACAGACCGCCGCAACGGCACCATCCTCCGCGGCCGCCACTCAAGCCCCTCCCCCTCAGGCGCCGTCAGGTAAAGGCGAAGACGCTGCCGCCGAGCCGCTCTCCACGCCCGACCTCATCGCCTCCTTTGCCGCCCTCACCATCGAGCCCCTCCCGCCGCACGTCGACGGCGACCCCCCTCCGCCGTGCCCCATCGCCGCCCTCCCCTCGGAGCTCCTCGTCCACATCCTCGCCGACCTCGCCGCCGATGACCCGGCCGCCCTGGCCACCGGCGCAGCCCTCGCCTGCAAGCGCTTCGCCTACCTCGCCGCCACCGAGCAGCGCCTGTGGCGGCGTGTGGCCCTCGGCTCCCGCTGGGGCTTCGCCGGCATGCACTACTACTGGGCCCGCGCCATCGAATGGGAGCCGCTCGAGGAGGAGGACGTTGTGCTGAGCCCCGACGAGGCGCGCGAGCTGCTAGGCGACGACGACGACGACAGCGGCCTCGTCCACGACCTTGGCACAGACGGCGGCACCACGGCCCTCGTCATCACGGCCGAGGAGCTGCGCCGCCGCCGTGCCCACGCCCAGCTCCGTCTCACCACCTCGCTCGTCCCGTCGGCCGCGTACCCGTCGTGGCGGGACCTCTTCCGCGGGCGCCCGCGCATCCGCTTCAACGGCTGCTACATCAGCACCGTCAACTACGTCCGCACCGGCCAAATGTCCACCAACCAGGCCACCTGGGGTGGCGCCCCCGTCCACATCGTCACCTACTACCGCTACCTGCGCTTCTTCCGCGACGGCTCCTGCATCAGCCTGCTGGCCACGGACCCGCCCCGCGACGTCGTCCACCACCTCACGCGCGAGGCCCTGCTCCAGGCGCGCGAGCGCCTCGACCACCACCATCACCACCACCATCATCATCGCGACCGCGATCAGGCGCACGTGCTACCCTCCTCAGCCACCTTCATGCGCAAGGCCCTCAAGGGCCGCTGGCGCCTGTCCGCCTCCCTTCGCCGGCCATCCCCGGGGCGAGATGTCCCGCACCACCATCACCAGCGGGCGGCCTCGGCCGTCGACGCCGCCGCCGTCGTTACCAAGGACAACCCCTCCGAGGATGCTGCCGCCGCCGCCGCCGACGCCGACGAGTTCGAGGGCGACGTCTTCGTCGAGACGGAGGGCCTCGTCGGCACAAAGTACACGTACAAGATGGACCTGGCGCTGCGCAGCGCCGGCAAGGGCACGCGCAACAACAAGCTCGTCTGGCGCGGCTTCTGGAGCTACAACAAGCTGACGGACGACTGGGCCGAGTTCCAGCTGCGCAACGACAAGCACTACTTCTTCAGCCGCGTCCGGAGTTACGGCATCGGGGAGTGAGTGAGGATGCGTGAAAATACGGGCATCTCGTCACCTTCCTCACAATAGAGCATCGTCACCCTGCACCACCCCTGTACGGTAGATCACATCCACAGTCACCACATAGCAAGCAATCCTCGAATTGATAGAATAAAACGTCATTATTTTTTGCTCCGTTTTATACGTCTCGGCATCTGCCATGTCATCCAATCCAACCACCGGCATTAAGTACATGATACAGAAGGTGTAAAGAACCAGAGTGAACCAAACCCAACCCAACCCAGAGTTCGCGTCGCTATGGCGTGGTAAAAGGGAGCCCACTCCCACCCCCCATCCGTGTCCCGAATTAATAAAGCATAAAAAGAAAAAAATCAGGCGAGTCTTCGCCGAGACGGGAGTGGCCGTTGGTTTTCCCTCCCCGAATAAGTAAAGTGTATTGTGTGTAAGTGGTATCTTGACGGGCTTTTGCCGCTCCGTGAGTGTGTGTGTGTGTGTGTGCTCTCCGCTACTTCAGGGGTATCGTTGCGATTATGTGTGTATGTAAGTGGGTGTGTATGCGCTGAATGGGGGACAGTCGGCCGTGCTGGGGGTCGTGGGATAGTCGGCCCAGCCTTCATCGGATCCTCCGCCCGTCGAGAAACTTGGGACTATTGGAGTCGTAGTAGCGGTCCCGCTGCGCCATCTCCCGGCGCGCCTTAAACGCCGCCTTTTCCTCCTCGTCCATGCTAAACGCCTTCTTGAACCAGCCAAAGGCGCTCTTCTTCTTCTTGAGCGTCCTGTCGCTGTACGTCCGGTCCGAGGACGCGGCGGAGCCGCGGTCGTCGTACGTCGCCATCGTCACGTTGCTCAGCATGCTCATGCCGCCCAGGTTCGAGGGCTGGTTGCGCAGGTGCTGCGGCCGGAACTGCGACGCCCGGGGCCCTGCCGCCGTGTGGGGGCGCTGCTGGAGGGGCGAGTGCGGCGACGCCTGCACCGGGCGGTAGTACTGCTGGTGGTCGGAGCGAGGCGAGCGGGTGGTCTGCGGCCGCACGGGCGGCGACATGCTCATGTCGGAGCCCACGTTGGAGCCCTGGCGCCGGGAGCGACGGTCCGCGTCTGACGCGTACGCCGAGTCAAACGGATGTGAAACCGCCGTCCGCGGCGTCGCGTGCTGGGATGAGGGGCGATGCAACGGTGGCTCCGTGAAGGACCTCGGTGGGATATGGATCGCATCGGGCAGGTTCGTCTTGAGCTCGACGCGGTGGCGAATGGAAGTTTGCTTCCTCGGTAGGTTGCTGACGCTGCCGTTGGTGTTGCTGGTGCCGTTGCTCGGGGTGGCCGCATGGCTGCGTGGCTTGGCGTTGCCTGTCCCGACAGCGATGGTTGCCGCCTCCCGGAGCATGGGAGACGGGATCGGCTCAGGGGGCTGCGGGGTATACGTTCGAGGCTGAAGCACGTAGAGCGACTCTGGTTCCTCGGTTGACGTGCTGTGGAGGTCATCCTCTTTGGTGCTACTAGGCTCCGCCGTCGCAGATGAATGAGTGGACTGCTTCTCGGAGGGATGGGACTCGACGGAGCGCTTCTTGGAGACCTGACGGGCTGCCGACCGCGGGGGCAGCAGGGGGATGGCGCCAGGCAAGGGAAACTCAATCGTCTCTGCGTCTGTGTAGTCCATGGTCATGGGTCGAAGGTTGGTTGTCGACGCGCTGCGAAGGCTGGGGGGCGCGACAGACCGCACCACTGATTGCCTAGACGATATCGAGGGGACAGACGTCGAATTGCTGAGCGTCGCCTGTTGAGCGGGTCTCGCAACTGATTGTCTGGATGATGTCGATGGGATCGACGTTGAATTGCTGGGGCTCTGTGCGATGCGAGCGAGGTGTGGCGCCGTAAATGGAGGAATCATAGCCTACGGACGTTAGCATCCTCGCCTGCCCGGATCGGCTCGTATACTCACCCAAGTCCTCCGGCTGACCTCGCCGGCCTTCTTTTCCATCTCGGCAATCACAGTCGTCAGCCGAATAACGAGGTTGTTGACCTCTTGGGTGCGGTCGTTGATTTCGTCAAACGCATTGAGCCACCCCTCGGCGTTGCCCTTCATGGCGTCGATGACATCGGCCACGTCCGGTCGTGTGAGTCGCAAGGACTCATCCGTCTCGTCGCTCAGCCAGCTCGTAAACGCAGCCGTGCACTGGAGGCCCGTATCGATGTCATCGTCCCATTGCGTCATGGCCGCATTCGTCCGCGAAAGAACGTGGTCGATTTTCTGATTGCCCTCAAGGATTTCGCAGCGAAAGTTGCGATCCTCGAGCAGTTCCTCAAAGACGTTGACATTGGACAGGGGTAGCTTGAGATGCTCGATGCGGCCGTTGAGGTCCTCTGTCGCCTGGTTCAGGTCCTCGAGCGTGACTTCGAGGAACTCGTCTATCTCGTCAATATGACCCTGCAGGATGCTGATGACCTGGGCGTTGCTGTTGGCCATGCCTTTGAGCATGAGGTAGACGCCAAACGAGATTTGCGCGAGGAGCTTAAACAGCTCGTGCTGCTTCTGGCCGGGACGGTAGCGCCAGGCCCTGTCAAAGGGCTCTGCATCGCGGGCCTGGGCAATGAGCTGGTCCCTCCGCGCCGGGGCATCGAGCTCCCTCAGCTTGGGCTTGGCGACAATGGTCCCGCTGGTGACCTCGTCCAGAGACTCGGTGAATGCATCCTGCAGCGACGGGATTGGGTGGACGGGTATGGCCTGGGCCGGCGGCGCGGGGGCCGGCGACGGGGGAACGTGGGGCTCGGCGGCGGGGAGTTCCTGAGGCTGCGGCTGCGGCTCGTGAGTTTGCAGCTTGAGAGGCTCGGGCGTCGCGGGCATCTCGACCGGCGCCGTCTTCCTCTCCGTGTCGAGGCCGTCGAGCTCGACGTAGGCGGCAGCGGGCGCCTTGGCGGCAGGAGCGGCCGAGGCATCAGGCTTGTCGGGGATGCGAAAGTCGGACGGGAAGAGCGACATGCGCAGGCCGTCACCGAGGTTGAGCGGCGGCAGCTGTGTCGACGTCATGCTGTCAGATGTGCCTTTGTGAGAGATGAGGGATGGCGTGGACAAGCGAGGAGAGGCGCGAGCGTCTGCCGCCGGGGCGAGAGGCTCCTCTATGAGTTGGCCGTTGGCTGCGGCGGCCGCGGGGTTCGAGCGTGCGAGGCTTGAAGTGAAGAGCGAGGTATTGCAGTAAGCGAGGGACAAGTCAAGTCAAGCGTTGGTCCCGACTCGAGCGACGGAGGCAGATGGGATCGACTCGCCGCCCGCGATCAGACGGACGTTGCTGCCCGGGCTCGTCGTGGTCAGCGGCGGGGAACTGCCATGAGCGACCGGACGGCCCCAAGGAATGGGATTCCTCCGCAAAGGAAGGCCAGACGCTGCGCGGTGAGTCCGGCGACGGCGTCGTCTCGTCTCTGAAGAAGGGCCCAGGTGAGACGGGCGGCGACGCTGCTGAAGATGGAAGTGAGACAAGGACCCGGCGTGCGTGTGTGCGTGCGTGTGTGCGTGGACGGCGCGGCAGGGTCGGCGACCCGGCTGGGCCCGCCGAGCGATCAATTAAATGCTAGTTGGACGGCACGCCCAGGTTGGGCTTTCGCTTCAGGGCGCCGTGGTGGGTGAATGCGCGAGAGGGTTGCGAGTCAAAGGGCGGAGAGGAGAAAGGGGACGACGAGGAGGAAACGGTCGAGCAAGAAAGGGAGGGCAAAGGTGGTGAGACGAAGGAGGTGACGGGAGAGGATGGCGCGGTGGTCGACGGGCGCGCAGAGGCTTCTGGGGACGTGATGCGCCCTGGGCCTGGGTTAGGTACCTACACCGGTACCCTGAAAGGCGCTCCGCGGGTTTTCCAGGTTGAGGTGTGTTTGCGTCGCATCGTTCGTACAGCAGGTTGGCCTGAGCATCAGCAGCAGCAGCGGCGCCGGGAGCAGAACATGAGCGAAATGCAAGGCAAGCAAGCGAACCCTAGACTCGCCTCGACCGCCATGCCCTGCCCTGGGCTCGTTGTTGGCGCTGCATCGCCAGCAGCAGGCTGCCGCTGCTGCACCTTTGGTGCACCCATTCCCATCCGGCCGGCCCTCGAGCGTCGGTCCCCATGCGTCCCATCCCATCCCATCCCATCCCATGCGTCCGCTCATTGATTGCACCATGCCGAGCCCGTCTAAACTTCTCTAGCGCTGGCGATAGCGTCCGCGAGCGTCGCCCAAAAGGGGTTCACGGGACGGCCGTGGCGGGGGGGCGTGCCCCTGGCTAGGCCCTGTCGTGCAGCCACGGATCCCCACCGCGCGTCGTGCTGCTAATTTGGGCGTCGGCGGCGGCGGCGGCGTTGGGGACATGGGGCGGCGGGCTCAGGAACAGGAACAGGCTCAGGAACTGGCGCCTCGACGGGAGGCGTTTGGCTGGCTGGCTGGCTGGGCGCGACCGCCCCCCTTTCGCGTGAATGGTGGTGGTACGACGGCGCAGTGGAGGTGGTGGTGATGGAGCGTCGGTCGGCGCAGGCACCCGACATTGATGAGGCCCTCATTACGGAGTAGGGGGAACAGCCAATCCCCCCGCTGGATTGTCATGTCCACAATGTCAATGACGACGACGAAGCCGTGACGAACAGTCGCTGTTGCATGGCAGAAGGGAAGCAGTCAATTTCGACCAAGGGCGGCCGGCCGCCGTTTGACACCACCTTTCGGCGAACGCACCCAGCCCAATCCATTTCGCCGCTGCACAAGCGCCACAGAAACGACTGACGTTTGTTTGTCGCCGGGCCGTTGGGCGGTCCCGTTGTTGTTGTCGTCGTCGTCGTCGTCGTCGTCCACGCCTGCTGGCGAGACAGCGCGTTTCAAACTGCAAGGCCCGGGCCAGGCCCAGACAAAGATCTGCGCTCGCGTGGGCGGGTTCGGTGCAGGG